CTGTGCTTTCTCTTTGACAGTATTCTTTGGTGTTATTTTGCGTGATCATAATTAAAGGGCATATCTCAAAGGAACTTGAACTTGAAGAAATCTAGATCTTTGTATTGTAGAGAAAATGAAACATGAGCACCGGGTTTTTGCAGTTTGTTCTAGGTCCTGTAGTTGGTGCCACAATTAAGACTGGATCCTGTAGCACTGTAGCACTGTCCTCCTGTTCATCGGTTTGCTCGAGCAGGCACCAGTAATGTCTCGCAACAAATTGTGAGACTTGTTACTGTTTATGGCATATTGAATAAATCACGGGGAGCTTGCCAGGCTGCCGTGCGAGTGGGATACTCTAGGTAGCTTGCTGGGCTCTCTGAGAGGGGCAGAGGAATCAACCTGGGTTAGCCGTGTGCAAGGCAGACTACCCGCTGTGCTATCGCTCCAGCCCAATATGGATCCTAGGCTTCTGAATTCCCCTTAATAGCAGCAGTCCATCCTTCAAATTTTTACTACTGTAGTAAACCTGCTAATTTTAACCTTGGACGTTCTTAACCTTTCTTATGCCCTACATTCCCTCAGGATAAGAGCAAAATGAAGTGATTTAATTTAGTATGGAAAAAGAGTGTTGGTAAGCTCTTGGCACAGTCCCTTCCCTCACCGCCCTGGAGCTGGGCCTCTCATTCCTTTCTGGCTTCTCTCTCTCTCTCCATCTTACTCATCTAGACTCTGATTTCTTGTCCACAAAATAGATAATAAATAAACAAACGGTGTAACTTTGAAGGGAAAAATTAGTTCAGAGAGTCACCCTCATTGAAAATATGCCATTGATTGTCTGGATAAGAGTAATAGTTACGTTGTGTTTTTATGATCCTATTTTTGCAAATAGTAATATTCTAGATAGCTAAGTGGATTGTTTATACCCTCTCAATTGATAGTTTTCTGGTTTGTGAACTAGAAAAAACAATTTGGACAAATTTGAAGCATATGTTACTGCTGTTTGCAACTTGATGAACTAAATCATATTAGTGGGTTAAGTTATATGTAGAAGTTGCTATAAAAGTTAATAGAGTTCATTTTTTAATGTGACAGCCTACTTATAATGCTGTCTTGTCTGCTTAGTGCTGTTTTCCATCTTAGGTAAAACGATTTTGTGTATCTGAAAGAACGCTTAATAACTTCAAGATTTTCAGTTCAAAATAATTGTAGTGCTAAGTTGCGACCAGAGATAGAACAGCTAGTATGGCACTGGATCGATCCCTGGCACTGCACATGGCCTCCCAAGCCCCACCAGGATTGATCCGTGATTGCAGGGCCTGGAGTGAGCCCTTAGTACTACCCGGAGTTGCCAAAGCCAAAAATAAAAAACCCGAAACCGAACAAATTATAGCACGAGATTTTAGATATTTTAAAGTAAAGGCAGAAAATGAAAATTGCTCACAATCATGTATAATCTTTCGATTTCCTTTTTTAAAAACAAATAATAGTGTTGAAGAGATGATTTAACTAATAGAACACATGCAACGCCTTCCCAATCCAGTTTGGTTTTTAGAGAAAACAGTTAATAGTTTGTATGTAGGCCTTTTAAGAAACAATTCTTTATGTGTATTCAAGCCTGGTTAGTCCCTCCTTTATTCTTTTTTTGTTTGTTTTGCTTTAAGAGATGTATATAGAAAGCATTTTTTTCTCAGTCAACAACATAGTGTTCATTGCTTGGAAGAATGATGTTTCATTATATTTCCTTACTAACTTGTTAAATGATTAATAGACTTGAAATTTTTCCCCCTTTTTGCAATGAACAGCTCAGTTAATGAATGCTACATTTTTGTCTTTGGGTTTTTTTGTTTGCTTGTTTGTTTTATTACTGTTTTGGATTTGGGGTCACGTCTGAAGGTGCCCAGGGTTTTCTCCCGGCTCTGCGCTCAGGACTCAGTCCTGTTGCTCGGGGGACCGGAGGTGGTGGTGCCAGGTTCAGACTGGCTCAGCTGCATGCAAAACAAGTGCTGTCCCTGCTGGACTATCTTTCTGGCCCTCGAAAAACCATTTTAAAAGAAAAGGAATGGGGAGAAAAGAGGGAAAATTATTCCCACAGGGCAGTTTATTTCCCTGGGAGCTAGAGAAGAAATCAGAGCTTGGCTTCCATTGCATCTGCACTGAGATCAAGGTGCCTTTTCTCCCTGGCTTTGCCAGTCTCCAAAATGAGATACATGGGGCAGGATTGATTACCAAATTCATGATTATGATCAAGTAGCTTTTGGCATTTGAAAATATGTAATACTATATGAAGATAAGCAGGTAATGTTCTTCCTTTAAATCTCTAAATTTACAGTGTTCTTGTCTGTGCTGAAATCTCTTGTATTATGTTAGTAACTTTTATTTTGAAGTAGTCATCTTGTCATTTGGGCAGAGTAATGTTTACAGTATGAATTATTTTCGAATGCCGATTTTCCAGAAACTTTTAATTGATTGTAGTTAACTTTCAAGAATCTGTCTCACTCCCACCCTCTCCAAACCTGTGCAATGGAAATTCATCTGAACAAAATACTGACAATGTGTAATTGTCGCTAGACCATCCCTAGTTCCCCTCCGCCTGTTTTAATCTGAACATACCATCAGTCAAATAATTTTGAAAGAGTTCTTGAAACATTCCAGCATATCTGACGTAATAGCACCATTAATGCTATTTTGAAACTCGGGGATTCTACTTTATGTCAACTATACTTATAAATGCTTTCAGTTCTCTAAACATTGACTATCTTAATGAATGGGAAGCATTTGGGCCTTTCTTAGCACTCTATAAAGCAGTAACTATTTACTAATAAAACAGCAATCAGTATGTTATTTAGTAGCATTTAATGCTTTCTGAGCTCTTTTACTATAAAATATACAAACACCATGCACAGTTCAGTATCTATTATTGCTAGGATTTATCAGAAAAATACATATATTTTATTCTTTAGTAGAGTAACTTATTTTTAATCAGAAGCCCTTTTTATTTGAAGACTTAACAGGAATAATTACCATAATATTTGAAAGCTTTAAATACTCAAAGAAAAGAACAATTTTTGTTAAGTCTCTAATTTGAAAGAAATGCTGTTTTTCTTGTTTAGACCTTGCCTATCTCTTTCATAATGTGAGAAGGAAAGACAGCATTGTGCGGCTACTCAGAGTGGGATCAGATGAAAAGACTCATTCACGTTGCTGTAGTCTGCTTAAACTTAGGAAGTGAGGTATAGCTTCGTGAAATAAAAGGAGATTAATATTTCAAAGCATTGATTTGCTGTGTAATTTGTGTAGTGGTTAAGTCCATTTTGAGCCAGAATAGTGCTTCTTTGCACAAAAGTTGTTAAACAAGCTAGAAAACGGTTGGGAGTAGGGGGCTGAGGGGCGCTCCCAAGTGATGCTCGGGCCCGCCGGAGAAGCAGTGCTGCTCCCGAGATGTTGGGGGCCTGCAAGGGTCTCGGGTCCCCAGAGCAAGCTCAGCAGCGGGCAAGACCAGCGCTCAAACCCCTGTCTCTCTGGCCCTGGAGACGGTCCTCATGATTCCGTTGCTCTTCTCATGGAGCCCTGCTCTCCGGCTTGCCGTCTAGGAGCAGGGCTTGGAAGCGCCTGGTACGGACTCTGTTCTGCCGGAGTGACTCTTAGTACAGCGATGAGATTGGGAAATCCCCCAGGACACCTCCAGCCTCGTGTTCGAGTGAGACAGTTCTATAGCCCCAGACCCATTCTTCTAGAGGAATCAGAGGGGAATAAAACTTGACCCTGGAAAAAAGTTTTCCTTGAAGAGAACTCTGTCTCTGGACTCTGCACCAGTGGCTTCCAACTTTGTTCCTGCCTGCTGTGACTGACACTGGTCTGTGACTGACCTAGACCAGGATGCGACATGCGAATAGGGCGGATAGTTTTCTTTTTACGTTTTGGGACATGCCACGTAGGACTTTGGGCGCTCCTGGGGGTGCTTGGGATTGAACCGGTGCCTTCGAGCTCTCTGCCCCAGCCCCTGTTTTCAAAACGGCCCTTAGCACCTTAGAAGGACTTGCTTCAAATGTGTGGCTTTGAGAAAAAAAAAAATAAATGAGTGTTTTCCTCATTCTTATCTCTTGGCCTCCTTGATGGATCAGAAAGGAGGAGCTACTTAAAGTCTCTCCTCTTGGCTTCTCGTGTGTCTGACTTCAAATGAACAGGACAGAGAGAGCTCCGAGTGAGTTGGCATGGTTTAGTTAGGAAGTTTGTCATCGAAGCATCTTCTTGAAGTTTTGTGATGGAACTTGTTGTATAGGATTGTGTTTGTAGATGACTTATTTATAATTGTGAATTATCTGAATTAAGATGAAATACAGCCAGCCACAAATGGGCAAGTGGTGATTCTTACTAAAATAAGTTGCTAACAATTTTACCTTAAAGTTTCCAACTGTGGTTAAATTTCTGAGAGGTAGAATGATCCAGTAGGAGCATTGTAATTGGGTTTTTTTTTTTAAATCATCCATATAGTTTCTTCTCTAGATTACTTTGCAAGATTGTTAATTCTGTGACCTTTTAAAATTTTGGGTGGGGGTCAGCTCAGTGGTCGTTTTTTGTGTGTGAGGGTTCTAATCCCTATCATCAAAAAAAAAAGGGTGGGGGCATGTTAACGTTAACCTGATATATTGTTTGCTGCTTAAATTTTTTAATTTCCCCTTCTGCTTTCTTGCAATATGGGTTTTACTTAATCTTGTTTGCACCTTCCTTCATACATTGTAAGCCAGAGACCATTTTAGAGCGAGCATCCAATTGCAGAATTTTTCCTGTGTTGATAAACAATACTTCAGAAAACTGTTATGTAAGGTCTTAAACCACCTATATTAGGAATTCCCATAAGACCTGAATTACCCATTACAGTTTTTGTTTGAAGATTCAGGAATTTTTTTGAATTGGAAATTTGTCTTAGTGCATACATTAAAACTTAGTGGTAATTTTTGTAAGGATTTATTATCAGATGCTAATTTTCTTCTTTTCTCCCTCTCCCCCTAATCCTTCAGCCATCTGTTGAATCTTCAAGTCCAGGTAAGTAGTTCCCATGTTTTTAATAATATCTATTTGATAAGCATATCTTCTCTTAGTTGCATAAATAGAGGTTAAGGGTGTTAGACGGTCATCTCATGTGCTTTTCTTCTGAATGCTTTTCTTTGGGGAAAAAGAAATGTTTGACCGCCTTTGAAGCCAGGTGAGGCTCCTGTGATTTCAGCCTCATCATTGTTTGTGGGTCCTCTTGTTCTTTTAATGAATTGCCATATCTGTTTCTTGACTTTATTGTTTGTTGTTTTTGTTTGAGCTCTGTATATATGAAGTAAATTTTGTAAAAAGAAATCATTTACTTCCTAGATGTACCTGAATCAGAAATAGAACGAATAGAAGAGTACAGAGTTTTGTTATGGGGGAGTAGGGCCACACCTGGTGATACTTGGGGGTTCCTCCTGGCTCTGCTCTTAGGAATTACTTACTCCTAGCTGTGCTTGGCAGACCATACGGGATGCCAGGCCAACCATGTGCAATGCAAGTGGCCCTACCTGCTGTACTCTCTCTCTCTCTCTGGCCCCCAGAGTCGTTTTCCTCCCCCTCTGACTTAGAAGTTGCAAGTCTGTGCTCTTTGGACTAATAATTGTCCAGCAAAAAGATTGTTTGACCAGTTATAGTGATCTCAATGACAAAATATCTGGGAGCCTGGGAGGCAAAGGGCGTGCCCCTTGCATGTACAACGACCTGAGTTGATCCCCAGTAATGCTCACAATGCCCTGGCATCCCAAATCGTTACTGAGCTGAGCAGTTCTGCATCGCCTGGCCTGAGCTTTCAGCCCTCCGCCCCCCTGGGCCGGATATCGCTGGGAGTGGCCCCTGGCTCCCCTGAACACTACTCGGGACCCCTCCCCCCCATTTAAAATATTTTGTATAAAGTGTGGATTGGTACATCTCACAGTCACGTGGTCAGAGGATTCAGACCACTGGGTGCAGCATTCCTATGTGTCAGGAAATTATTTGGAGTCAGGGAAGAGTTGTGCTGGTTGTTCAGGACTTTATCAAGAGACAGGCCTAGGACTGCCTCTACATGCAGTGCAGGGAATAGTTTCAAAACTGTTCAGAATAAAACTTGTAGGTTACTTAAGTGATCCCCTTTCAATGTTTTAAACATTAGACATAAAGCTTGTTGAAATACTTAAGAATAAGGTAAAGGTAAAGGCCCTCCCATTCGTGATTTGCTCGAGCGGGCCCAGTAACGTCTCCATTGGAGACTTTGTTGTTACTGTGTTTGGCATATCGAATACTCTCGGTAGCTTGCCGGGCTATTTTTTTTCCCCCACTCCTTTGTTTTTGGTGGGGAGAATTGGGCTACACATGGTGGGTGCTCAGGGCTTATTCTTGGCTCTTTCCGCAGGGTTCATTCTTGGTGGTACTCTGGCATGTTATGTGTGAGAGGGAATTGAACCAGGATCATTTGTGTGCAAGGGAAATGCTTTAACCTTTGTACTGTCTCTCTGGCCCCAGGATGAACCTTTTTAAGGTTGTTTCTAGATTAAAACATCCATCTTTTCGGTTATTTTTGTTTTTAATTTGGGATTACTCCTGGTGGTGCTCAGGGGACCCTATGGGATTCTGGGAATTGAACCTGGATTGAACCTGGGTGAACCCGCCTCCCTCCCCCCCCCCACACTTGCCCTGCTTGCTATACTATCTTTCTGGTCTATCTTTTTTTAAAAGAAAGACATTTTAAAGCAGGTAGCATTTACTGTCAGTCTTCTGCCTAAATCATTGTTTTTTCTTATTAACTAATGCGAATAGAAGGCCATGATAAAAGTTTATAGGAAAAATTAGGAAAGCTTCATGTGAAAAAAGCTTTTGATTTAACTGATGAAAGGCCCTTGTACTTGATGCCTAGTCACATGACCAGGCTTAGTGATTTGATTTATCTCTGCCAGTGTAAACCATTGTGAAGGCACCATATTTCACCACTCAGTTATTGTGGATTTTATGCTTTTTATTTTTAAAGGTTAAAACCAGTTTTAAGCTGAAAATACAGGGCGTGAAAATTATGCAGTAGTAATGATTATGCAGTGCCTGTAATAATAGTAACCGTAAAAGTGAGGATTTCAGGAAAAGACAGTAAAAGGATTAAATAAGTGCACGAGATAAATTTATTTTTTAAGCCTTTTCTACCATTTGCTAATTTTTCAATGGATGGAATTATATGTTAAAGCAGTGCAATTACCTTCACAATCTCTCATGACTTATTTGGGGGATGTTTTATCCCCTCACCCTAATAATGGGCTCAGTAAACAAAACAAAAAAAAATCAAATTAGTTCAAGAAGAAAATTGAAATATAGATAATAGTACATCACTTAATGTGGAAAAAAGAAATCTAGCAAGGAGGTAGAAAAGGTTCACTTGTTCTGCTTTTCTTGTAGCAGGAGGGTAATGTGGCAAAACTTCACATATAATTGACTTTGCAGGTAATGACAATAGTAGGTTATCTCAGGTAAGTCGTACAAGATTTGGTATGAGTTTAATATTTTAGTTGGCAAGAGTATATTTAGAAAACAGTTATTTTTGACAGCGTTTGTATCCAATAGGAATTATATTATTATCAGGATAATAGTATGCAGAATGGTAGTCTTAGGTTCTTTTAAGATCTTGCCTACAAGGAAGAAGAAAAGTGTAGTGGCAACTGTAGGAATACATAATTATTGATTACTGAGAGTCCAAGAACCAAGTTTCTTCAACTGTGGGTTGCAATAATATATGGGATCATATAACTGAAAGTGCAGGTTGTAAAAAAAAAAAATCAAAAAATATTTAACAGACTTCCTTATCAGAAATGTTTGATTTTTATACCTCTTTTATATTCCTATATATCCAGGATCATGTAAAAATTTCTTGGGTGAAAAGAAATTTTGAGTGGAAAAAGTGTAAGAAGCTCCATCCTAGAAGATTTCTGGGTGGGTGAACTGAAAAGTTTTTGGAGTTTTCCGTTTAAAACTCAGAAGGAAATGTTAATAATCAGAACCCCCAAAGCTGCATTAGGCCTATGTTCTTATGAAGCCCTTATGACTGATCTCTCAAAAAAAATAAGGTGTTCTTGGAAGTTTATGCCATCCTTTTCATAAGTTTTAAGGAAATTCAGTTAACATTCTAAATGTTTTTAACTTATAAGTTGTTTAAAACTTTGAAAATGTGGGAGCAGAGATAGTACAGTGGGAAGAGTGTTTGCCTTGCACGCTGCTGACCTGGGGTCACTCTTCGACATCCCGGGTCCCCCAGCCCTCCAGGAGTGATCCCTGAGTCAAAACCAGGCGTAAGTCTTGAGTACTGTTGGGTGTGGCTCAAAAATCCTCCTAGAGACTTTGTTATTATGACCCTGATGTGCTCCTTCATGGATGATTCCCGAGTTAACAATTACATATAATACTTTGTGTATCGTATCAGTACCTCGTGTTTCTCAGAGTGTATACTCTTGCTAAGTACGTTGCCATCTGACTCGATTTGCAGTTCACTCATTTTTAAGCATAGGCCCTCTTGAAGTGTTCTTTGAGACAGCAGGTCTTCTGTTTTGGGGACTAACTGAAAAGCACGTATAGAATCTGGAAATAGGTTTAGGATTCATCAGATCCATCCTTTCATGCACCAACTTGCCCTGAATTTAAACATACTGCCTAAGTTCTGAGCCTCAGGTTTTTGTTTTCGTCATAGTAAATGGAGAGTAAATGGAGGTTAAATGAGATTGAGATAAATGAAGTGCTTGCTACTGTACCTGGTACACAGTAAGCACAAAGTCATTTTTAATATTGAAATTGTAGGAGGTGACAAACACCTGAGCTTCAACTGCTCTCTTTTTCTTTAATAGAATGGTTTTTCAAGAGAGAAAAGCTTCAGAACTCTTTATTTTACTAGGAACTAAGAGAAAAATTCCGGGACTGAAATGGAAGAGTAGATACTTTGGGCTCCTTCTCTTAACTGTTTAAACCGATGAAGGAAAAAATGCTAATTGATTTTTATGTTAATTAACTCATTTTCTCATTAAACAGCACTTTGGCAAAATTAAGTTTAGATTTGGCAGTCGCCAAATGTGGGAATATTTTACAGAAATTTATGTCCCATATTTGCAGTCTGTTACTACCCTGGGGTCCCCATCCACCAGTCTAAAATGTATGAGATTTAAATACAAGTATCTGCCAAATGATTATTAGTGCCTTTCATAAGAGATTTATTTGCAGTTTTAATAAGTTTTGCCCTTGTATTTTATTTCTGGACTGAATCAACTAAGTTAAGGAATGCTACCTAAATATTAAGAGTATCTTTTCTGCTGATTGAAGAATAATTGAATAGCTATATTTTTATTAAACTATATATTCAGAGTTTTTCGTTGAGAAGATTGCAAGTTCTATCTTACTATTTTATGGTGCTGGGGATTGAATCCAGAATGTCACACTTACTAGATGTGGCAAGTACTCTGCCACTGAGTACATCCCCAGCTGTGCAGGTATAGTCTTTTTTAAAAGAGTAGTACACGCTTTAAAAAAAAAAAAAAAAGAAAAAAAAAAAACTGTGCACATACTTTTTATCTCCCATTAGTCTTTTTTTTTTTTTTTTTTTTTTTTTTTTGCTTTTTGGGTCACACCCAGCCTGGCTTATGCACTCGGAAATTACTCCTGGTGGTGCTCGGGGGACCATATGGGATGCTGGGAATTAAACCCAGGTCGGCTGCATGCAAGGCAAATGTCCTGCCCGCTGTACTATCTCTCCAGCCCCAACATTAGTCTTTTCGTACTTGTAACAATATACAGGGCAAATAATCCTTTTATTTGGGGGAGTTATGAGTAAGGGCAAGGATTTTAGAAAATAAACCATACTTAGTTATGCATAGATTTCCCTAGTACTTTGACTTATATTTAGCTTCAGAGAGCATATACATTAAGTTATTTTTTATCAGATACACTTCATTTGGTTTACCAAACTTGTTAAAATATTCTTTACCAGGAGGTTCAGCAACATCCGATGACCATGAATTTGATCCATCAGCTGACATGCTGGTTCATGATTTTGATGATGAACGAACATTAGAAGAGGAAGAAATGATGGAAGGAGAAACAAACTTCAGTTCTGAAATAGAGGATCTTGCAAGGGTAAATAACAATAAGTTCAAGGATGAAGTAGTCAGAACTCTTTGTGGAGAGAGGAAACACTTGAAACTACATATGAGTTTTTTTGTTGTTGTTTACCTCTGGGGGGGTTGTTTGTTTTTAAATTGGTTTTATGTAATCATTCATATTGAAAAATTCTTTGTAGTCCTAGATAGGATACTTAAAGCTTGAAACGAAAGACATTTTAGGTAGTTCTTTATTTGGATCTGAGGCCACACTGGCAGTGCCCAGGATCAACTCCCAGCTTCGTGATCAGGGGTTACTCCTGTCAGTGCTTGGGGGGACCATATGGTATTAAGGTTGCAACCAGGCCTCCTGCCTGTGGAGCAGCCTGTTGAGCTATCTCTCTGGCCTTCAAAGGCATTTACAAAAAAGAGAAGGAGGCCTGGGAAATTGTACAGCTCAGCAGATAAGGGCCTTGCTTCACATGTGCCAAGCCCAAGTTAAATCCCAGCACCATATAACCTGAGAAGACAAAAATGATCCCTGAGCATAACCTGATATGGCCCCAAAACAAAGAAAGATTATACCTATATTATGTGAAATAAAATTCAGGTAGTATCTTTCTAATACAACACCTTTATGGGGTTAGATGCTCTATGAATATCAAAGAGACTTGTTACTTTCTGCGTACCTTTTCTACCTTCCACACAACCGCAGTTGATCCAGCCCTTCTTTTCTTCTCTCCAGTGCCAACAATGTTCTTTTTCAAACTCTCAATCTCTTTTTCTTCTCTTTCTGGTGCAGGGATGGAACCCAAAATGTGAGATTTGCACTTGTCACTGAAAGCAAAATTTCTTAGGAAGTTATCTTCCCTCATGAACATTTATTTACTTCATAAAGTCCAGATTGGTTCTTCCCCTTCTTATTAAGATGACCAGTGACTTCCACTATAAAGTCCCTCTGTAACTCTTCTCTGCTGTCAGCAGTGTTCAACAGTTTTCTCTTCTTTTACTTGGATTCTGGAGTATACACTGTCTTTCTCTTCTATTCAGATATTTTTCACCCAAGGTTTAGACGTTGGGATTTCCTGACTCTTAGTTTTGGACTTCCTTTTCTTCTGTCTCTAGAGCTGAAGTTCTGTAGATCCTTCTCGGGGTCATCTGCTTCAGAGTCTAGTCAGAAAAACATGAGGGAACCTTTGCTCTCCCTCGGGCACGCTGAATCAGAATCGCTAGATGAGAGGACTTAAATCTTCATCTCTATTTGGATATTACTAAACTAGACAGTTTGATCTGATCTGTTTCCTTGATATTTGTATGCTGAGTATGAGTTAGTTCATTTTTCTAGTATTAACCTGTTCCCTTGTCCAGTTTTGTTTCGCCACTTTTTGGACTTTGCTGTCACTGTCACTGTCCTCCCATTGTTCATCGATTTGCTTTAGCGGTCCCAGTAACGTCTCCATCGTGAGACTTGTTGTTACTGTGTTTGGCATATTGAATACGTCATGGGTAGCTTTGCTGTGCGAGCGAGATACTCTCGGTAGCTTGCCAGGCTCTCCGAGGCGGGCAGAGGAATCGAACCCGACTCGGCCGGTCCAGCTGTGACTTTGCTATTTCTGATAACTCAGGCTAGATAGCACTAGGTTTTAACATGTTGAGAGCTGAGCTATTGATACGTCTTTTCTTCCTCTTCTTACCATGCCCTCCCTGTCCTTTTTTTGTCATTAAACATATGGCACCAGTATTTACCCTGTTGCTTCAGTGAGAAGCCACCTTGTCATCTTTGTTTATTCCAAATATCCAATTCCGTTTCTACCCACAAAACATCTCTCCAGAGGAGTGGGACACATGCTCTCCACCACCTTTCCGCCCTTGTCACCGTCATTTCCAGCGTAGGCCATGGTGTGTAGCTTCCTAACTGTTCTCTAGTTCTTTTGCCACTTTGACCTCCAGTATGTTTGCTTAACAGTCATGATGATTTTTCCAAAATATAAATTAGTTTATTTGATTTCCTATTTCAAATCCTTCAGTGACTTTTTTAAATGAGAATGAATTCTGTTACACCCGAATTGATCTTAGTGGCAGTGATGTATAGTTGTTACTTGAAGCTTTTTAAGAGTGGCTTAAGAAAAGCTTATGAAGAAGCTGGCATCCAAACTATACTTTAGAATTTGCTAGAAAATCATTCTATAGGGATAATTTCCTTGGATGATTCAGGTAATAGATGAACGTTCAAAGAAACAATTTAACTATCATAGTCACTTTATATATTTATGAAATGGAAAGGCCACTGTTCTCAATTATATGCATGTGTGTCTCAGAAACTTCTATTAAGTATGTTTTCTTCTCAATAACTCATCTGTGAAATTTTAAAGGAGAAAAATCTTAAATTTTCCATTTTACCATATTCTACATCACTTAAGTAATTATCAGTAAGAGTAGATGATAAAGTACAGGTTATAATAGCATATGAGATAGTATGGTTATTGTTTTCTATTTCAAAAAGTGGTTACTAGATTTAATTAGCATGCAATTAATAATGAACCCTGCTAAAGTTTTGGACATGCCATTGTCTTTTTTTGTTTCTCCTCTTTATCCCAGTATCTTATATCTCCTCACAATTTCCTTTCAGATGAACCTTCCTTAGGAAAAAATTTTTTAGAATAGAAGTATTTTTAAAGAATATAGAAAGGAAGAGAAAGCAGTGAAATTATGATTGAAACTTAGGAAATACCTTTAGTACCTGATAAAACTCTTTGACAAAAACAAGCAGATGAAGGATTGTCTTGAATGGGTAACTGACAAGTCCTGGTGTTCTGTCAGCCGTGTTTTAGTCTACCTTTAGTCTTTTTTTTTTCCCCATATGGAAATATTTATTTTATAAAACATCACTGCTTGATCATACTGAAATTGTCAGGAGCAAATGGCAGAAGTCCCTTTCTAGATATGGGTGAATGAGAAATGTAGTGTAATGCTCACCTAGTTTCAATTAAGGGAGCGAGCTAGGGTGCTTTCCTTGCACACTGCCAGTTCAGGTTTTGTCTTCAGCACCACTTCTGGTCCCCTGAGCACAGCTGGGTATGGCCCCAAAATAAAAAGAACTAAGCAAAGACACGATAGAATATATATGTATACACATACATATATACTTTGATCTAATATTACGCATTCTTTATTAAACTTACTCATATTGGAATTACACTGTTATGTGCGATTGGGTTTCAGGCATGTAATGTTTCCAGTCCCAATCCCGTCACCAGTGTTCGCTTCTTCCCTTCAGTTCCCCCCACGCCCATTTGCCTCCCACCCACCAGTCTTCTACAAGAGTCACTTTTGATTTTGTTTTGTTTATGATATATCTATGTTTTTGCAATGTGATTTATACTACTATTGCCAATCGGGTTTTGTGCACAATACCACCTTTCAGCACCACCTCCTCAAGCATTTTTTTAATGGGCTGGAGCGATAGCACAGCGGGTAGGGCGTTCGCCTTACAAGCGGCCAACATGGCCGACCCGAGTTCGATTCCTCCGCCCCTCTCGGAGAGCCCGGCAAGCTACCGAGAGTATTCGATATGCCAGACACAGTAACAACAAAGTCTCCAATGGAGACGTTACTGGGCCCGCTCGAGCAATGGAATAGTCAAGGGTTATTTTGTTTACACATGATAGGCCCGTCTAAATTAGTAAAAGAAAGCATTTTAAACGGTTATTTTTTAAGTACTTGTTGTTTGTTTGGAGCCACACCTGATAGTGCTCAGGGCTAACTCCAATGCTCAGGGATCACTCTTGGTGGGCACAGGGGACCGTGTGGGGTGCTGGGGAATCCGATCTGGATTGGATACATGCAAGGCAAGCAACCTGTCCTCTGTACTATCTCTCCAGCCCCATAAACTTTTTCAGAAGTCATAAACATACCACACACACACACACACACACACACACACACACACACACACACACACACACACACCCTAGAGAGTACAGGAATGCCTAGAAGTAAGAGAGTCTTTGTCATCAGAACCTCTTGTGTACTATCAAACCATGATTAAATCTTGTGTTGTTCCCCTTCCCCTGACCCAAGGTCTAGAGGTTTTTCTTTACTAGTCATTAGTTTAGGTTCTGATTTTATCCCATGTGAATGATAGCAGAGGATTCCAACCTGTCTCCGTCTCCCTGGCAAACTTAAGTCTTTCCCTGCCTGTCTATCTTGAACATTTTATTGTGTATGTGTGTGTAATATTTTTTTCTAAACTATCTGATAAGTTCAGTCACTATTCACTAGCTACTCACAAATTGAATCAAGCATGAGATACAATAGATCTCGTTAGAAATCAAATAACTAACTGGAGAAAGCATATAAAAGGCCAAACCTTGATTTCTTTCTTTTCCCAGTTACTTTCGATAACCTTTGCTCTAATTATGATTATTTTTTTTTAGACCTATACAGTTCTCATTTCCTTGACTTAAGTGGCTTTTCTTTCCCTGTGCTGGTGCTTTTACAATTTTCTTCAAAGCCAAACAGTTCTCTTATTTTTTTTCCCTCTTTATTTATTGTATTAGTGAATCACTGTAAGGTACAGTTACAGATTTACAGATTTCTGTGCTTGCTTTTCAGTCATACAGTGATTGAGTATCCGTCTCTCCACCAGTTCTCTTTGAAATGCACTGTGATCGCCACTTTTAACACTCCTTTTTTCTCTGCGTTACTACATTTTTCTTTGAGAAAATGAGTTTTGTAATGTGAATTACACAAAATGCATTTCAGAGGGAGAAGTCTTGTTTTTAAAAAATATGGTTATGATTGTCAAACATTCCACATTCTTGATAAGAGTTCAAAGATTCTTTCAAGGGTCTGGATGTAGGTCAAGTGGTAGATGATGTGTGAAACCCAGAGTTCTATTCCCTGCACCAAATGGCCTCCTGAGAACTTTCTTGGCGTGGCCTTCACAGCAGTTAAACATTTTTAATGCAGTTTTTAATGTCATCTTTTAGACACATAATTAAATGTCATTTGTTAGAGGTAAGCTTTATTAAAGATGACTTAGATCAGGCTGTATTACTGTATTAACTTCCCACTGAGAAGAGTGTTAGGTGCCTTAGACCTTTGAGGTAAGTGGTTTTTGGGGTGTTTCTCAAGGGGGTCCTATGTTGGCAGTGTCAGTGTCATTTGACACCTAAAAAATGAAGATACTCAGGCCCCACTTTGGCAGTGCTCAGTTAGAAACTTTGAGGTGGGTGCTAGCAGTCCATTTGTAAACACTCTTGAGGCAATTCTGCTTGCATTTAAATAAAACAGATCAAAGGTTAGGGGGCTGAAGATGCTCACCTGGGTGATAATCTGCTGCTTTTGTGTTATCTGGCCAAGTACCATTTCATTCGATAGTAAAAATAATTTAAGTAGTAACAGTATCAGTTCAGCAGTTAAAAAAAAAGGTATACTTTTAAAGTTGAAGTCAATATGAACAAGCTCCTCATGAATTGTTATTTATTTTTGTGGTGTTGGGGATCAAATCTAGGACCTCACTTATGGTAGTCTGTCACCGAGCTTCAACCCCCAGTTCCTCATGAATTCTTGAAAGCCTTTGTCAATGTTAGTGGCCAACTGAAGAGTTTTTATTAGTTTACCCCTTATACTAGTTATACATTAACTCATGCATTCTAGATGATTCATTCATAGTAGAGTCTTTGTTTTGGAATTTATTTCGACTTGGTTTTCTTAGCTAATAAGGACAACAAATACACTGTTCGCTACTTTTAAAGATCTGATGAGATTATGTAATAAATATACTCTACTTTCGTTGAAAGAATAAGATTTTGGAATCAAAGCCTTTATCACATGCCTGACACATACTAAAAAGCACTATGGAAGCTGTTGTTATTTTGTGTACAACTATCCTTCTGGCTTTATCTTTTCAATTTCAAAGTTCATTTTGGGTTTTTCAATAGTGACTCCTAGGACTGGAGAAATAGTACAGTGGGTAAGGTCTCGCCTGCCCATGGTCCCCTTGAGCACTCCAGGAGTGATCTTATAGTACAGAGCCAGGAGTAAGCCCTGAGCACCTCTCCCCCATGCCCTTACCCAAGTAAAAAAATAAAGAATAAATACCAACTTCTTATTCCCAAATTTTTGTCTCCTACACCACATTGTACATCTGCATGACTAGATCCATGAAGCCTTTAAGAGCTGTTATGGTATTTTGAGAATTATGATAGATACACCTATTTTTAAAAATTTACTTTTATTTAAATTTGCGGCCACATGACTTACTGTCTAGTTCTCTCTCTCTCGAGAGCCCTGCAGGCTACCAAGAGTATTCTGCCCACACGTCAGAGTCTGGCAAGCTCCCAGTGGCAGATTTGATATGCCAAAACCCAGTAACAGTGATGGGTCTCATTCTCTGACCCTGAAAGAGCCTCCAAAGTGGCACTTGCTAAAATCTCAGGGCCAGGACGAATGGAGACATTACTGGTGCCTGTTCGAGGAAATTGATGAACAATGGGATGACAGTGACAGTGATTAGAATTTTGTTTTTATAAAGTAGTTCACAATATTTGATTACATTTAATATTCGGACACCAGTCCCACCACCATTACACCTTCTCACCACATTTCAGATGTTCCCATCCCAAACCCCAAACCCTGCCCCAAAGCATAACCGAAATAATTAATTTTATATTATTCGTTATGAATAAACCGCCGAAATTGCTCCCAAAGAGTTTCCTTAGAGGAAAATGTGTGAAGATTGTTGTATTCCATCCAGGAGCTATTAAGCCCTTTTAAAAGAGATCACTAACATGTTGTTAAAGGTTGAGCCTTGTGTGCTTGTATGTATCTGTAAAAATTTATTGCCCTCTAAGATTGGTGGCGTTCCACTTTGGACTGCATCAAATGTGGTGTGGTAGGTACTCTTGGAATATGAGTGGTATGAGGTATGCGATGTCCGGGAATAGGTTCCCTCATGAGTGAGGGTGGGGCTGAGCATGTGGAGAGTGGCTGAGAGCCTGATGGTGGTTGAATTCTGGAAGTTTTCAGTTTTCAGGAGGTTTTCAGGGCTGGGTTCCTTGGAGCAGGGAGGGGAACTCACCCACCCCACTCTGGGATGCCCTGAATGAAATAGCTTGGTGCAGGGTCCAGCGGTATGGCAAGTTGTTTAATGTTCTCTTCTGAGAGATTTAGAATGTGTCTCTGGATCGTGGCCTTTGATGAGATGATCTCAGTTACCTGTTTGAAATATACCAACGATTTAACCAGGGTGGTGCTGCCTTACCTGATAGGCTTAGCACTTCCTTTCCAGGTTGTAGCTACTACAAGGCATTATTAAATTTAAGTCACGGCTCTGAATTCATGTCGTGTACAGAAACAGATGTGTATGTGGCTTTATAACTACAATATCCATTTACAAAGTGAAGTAGAAGTGTTAGTGCTTTATAATTTCAAATTACATTTTATTAATTGCTTCTTGCTCTCAAATTAAGTTATGAGAATTGTATGATTTATGTGTGTCATCAGGTTATTTTATTACTATACCAGTGTATTTGGCACATGGCTAAACTCATTTCTGCCCATAAATAAGGCCACTTGGGAAATATTAAATAGGTTTTCCCAATATTTTTGTTTTGTAGGTTCTGAACTGACTCCAATAAATTTTTCTTCAGAGTCTTTCATATGGTCATATAATTTAGGTTGAATTTTCTTTTCATGAAAATTCTCAGCTTCTTGATAAACCGGTCATTAGAGTACCTCCAGTAGAAAGTTGATTTTATATCTCTGTATTTAAATATTTCATTTCACCTTCAGGATGTTCTTCTGGTTTTAGTTTTGGGGCCATATACAGTGATGCTTGGAGACTCCAAGTGGTGTCAGGTATTGAACCCACCTCGAAAGCATATATGTTAGCGTTTAAAACAATTTCCCTGGCCTTTAGGGTCCTTGGCAGAGACACATGAGGGTATACACTTCAATAGGAACTTAAATATGTCTCCGCTACTTAAACAGGTTGGTGATTGTGGGTAAAATTGCTTATTTGGTTATCCTCACTTTCTTACCTCTGAAATGGTGGTAGTATAACAGCCTTCTTTTGGGTTGGACTGTGAGTTTCATCTCCCTCTCCAGGTTTGCACTTGACTGGCGGCTGATTTTATGTGGTATTAAATGTGAGTGTCACAGATAGTGTAAACTGCCAGTGTATGTTTACTGAATTGATTACACTAAAGAGTATAAGTCATATGAGCTGGAGAGAGAGTACAATGGGCAGGGTGCTTGCCTTGCATGCAGCCAACTCAGTTCAATTCTGACAACCCAGATGTTCCCCTGAGCCATGCCAGGGGTGATCTCTTCGTGCAGAGCCAGGAGTATGCCTGAGCACCTGTGGATATGACCTATAACAAAACATTTTAAAAAACAAAATCATAAAACCCCCAAATAAGTTATAAACCAATTTCATTGCTTTCATTTAAGCATTGTGTTTGTTACAGTTGGCACTCTTTCTGGAATTCATAAAATACTGAGATTTTCCTAGGTTTCAGAATTATTTTCGGACACACTGCAGGAATTTGAGAATTCTTGATAAAAATCTGAGTCTTCTGTTGTATGAAATGATTGTAGATGTGTAAATTATAGAAATGAAAAATTCATTCAGAAATGAACATTTGGTTTCTTTAGGAAGGCGACATGCCAATCCACGAACTTCTCAGCCTTTATGGTTATGACAGTACAATTCGACTCCCTGAAGAAGATGAGGAGGAGGAAGAGGAGGAAGAAGAAGGTGATGATGATGAAGATGCTGATAATGATGATAACAGTGGCTGTAGTGGGGAAAATAAAGTAAGGTTATATGTAATTTTTTGAATTATTTTTATTCTTTTTAGAAGTTACAATTCATGAATAATTGAGTGATTATTTTAATAATCTTCCTGATTTTTTTACATATTTAAATTTAATATTTACATATTAAAAATTAAGAAATTTGAAATTGGTGGGTCTGGAGTGAACGTACAGTAGATAAGAGTATTTGACTTGTATGTGGCTGACCAGTTTCTATCACTGGCATCCCATATGGTCCCCTGAGCACCAGTAGGTGTAATTTCTGAGTTGTAGAGCAAGTAAGCCCAGAGCGTCATTGATTGTGCCACCCCACCCTCCAAAAATAAACCATACTTGAAATTCAAAATCTACTCCTGAGAAATACGGTTTAACCCTGTATAGTTTTAGGTTTCTTTCATTGCCTGTTCTGTTGTATTGAACATTTCTTGTGCTACAATTATTTGTGGTAGTTGTGCCGACTTCAGAAGTGTATGTGTGGGGCTGGAGTGATTGTACAGCGGGTAGGGTGTTTGCCTTTCACGCGGCCGATCTGGGTTTGATTCCCAGCATCTCATATGGTCCCCCGAGCACCACCAGGAGTAATTCCTGAGTGCATGAGCCAGGAGTAAGCCCTCTGCAACGCTGGGTGTGACCCGAAATGCAAATAATAATAATAATAATAATTGTGTATTTTTCAATAATTATAGATATACAGAAGAGGGTCTAAGAATAATAGATAATTCAGAGTTTATATACATGTGTGCGTATGCATGGATATGTACATACACAGACATACACAGGCTCTATCCTGCACCTCCAAATGTTAATATTCTATGCCGCCATGGTTATTTATCAAAATAATAAGTCATTTCTAAGGGGTGGGAAGATAGTTCAGAGGATTGGAGTACATGCTTTGCTTGTGAAATACCAATCAATCACCAACACCACATTGTATCTTAAGCACTTGCCAAGAGTTTCCTCTAAAAGTTATTTTTGATTTTACCAGTTTTTCCGCGTGTGTGTGTGTGTTTTCTGGAGCCATCCCCATTGTTGCTCATAATTTCTCTGGTGGTGCGTGAGTATGCAGTAGGGACCATGCAGTGCCAGAAATCTGACCTGTGGCACCTATGTGCAAAAGCAGCTGTCCTGTCCTTTTAGCCATCTTCCTGACTTGTTCGTGTGTGTGTGTGTGTGTGTGTGTTTTCTCTAGGATCCATTCAGGCCACCATACCTAATTACTATATTCATTTTCGTCTTCTATTTTGAACACACAATTTTACCTACAGTATTCTACACATAATTTCCTAATCACAGGAAGAAAATGCAAAGGATTCATCAGGTCAAGAGGATGAAACTCAGTCTTCCAATGATGATCCATCACAGTCCGCTGCTTCTCAAGATGCCCAAGAAATAATTCGCCCACGGCGATGTAAATATTTTGATACAAGTAAGTATTTATTAGTTGCTGTAATCAGGAAATTTTTTTTTTTTTTTGCTGCTCAGTATATGACCCAAAATTCTCAATCTTTTTTTACTACTGTTTGAATTTATTATAAATCTCACTTAGCTGTAGTGAAATTTTCTTGTAGTGCTGGGGCCTCAGAGTTTATGATTATAGTACAGTAATGTATCACTCACTGTATTACTTGAATTTGAGTGTGTTGCTTCTAAGTATTTAAAGTTGTTCAAATGTGTATCTCCTATCCCCACTCTTAGTTGGTTTCATGATCATTTTCAGTTCTTAGCCTTTTTCTTTTCATACACTATAGTCATTGTCTTTATGATCTATAAGCATTAAATCATTGACTCCCAGATCTAAAGACATGGTAGAAATATTTTATTTATTTCATTTTTTTTTGTCTTGGAGCCATTCCCAGCAGTGGTGAGGGCTTACTGCTAGCAAGCCTTGTGCTAAGAGCTCATTCCAGGGGATGCTCAAGGTGCTGAGGATGGAACCTGGTTGACTGTGTTCAGTGTAAGCGCCCTACCCGCTCTACTGTCTTTTTGGCCTCTTAGACATTTGTTTGTTTTTAGTTCCTCTCTTCTTTTTGCTATTCCTGTTACAGTAACAAGGGGTTACACACTTCTGTGGTTATGGTGCTTCACACATTGCCATGGAGCTTCTCAGAGCTGGCATACTTTTTAGTTGCAGTGCTTGCTTGGGATCACATGCTTTCTGGTTTTTGGTCCACACATGGTGGTGCTCAGGCGTCCCCCCTGGTAGGACTCGGGGCCATATTGGTGCTGGTGTGTTGTCTGTGTGCAAGACCAGCCCCTTAACTGCTATGCCCTCTTTGGTCCAGAGTTCACATTCTTAGTCACATACCTTCTGCTTGTGCTCACTGGATGTCCCAGATTGCAGAGTCAGTGGGATCACACTTGGCCTACGTGGACCACTTGCCAGGGAGGCCTCACAGCTTTTGAAGCTGGCTATTCTGCCACTCAGCTGTGGGAATATATTGTCATAGAAAGAACTAAATTTTTCTACAGTTATAATCTAGTTGAAAGATGATCAGCGTTATAGATAACATTTAATTTATGTATTTACATAATGCGTGGTTTTTCTGCCCATCACGTTTCTAAGTTGGAATCCTTTAGAACAGTAGTCTTCAACTGCTAGTCCTCAGGGAAAGAAAAGTGGAAAACCATCGATCTGTCTCCTTGGTTAAAATTGCTGGCCTTGGGGCAGGTGTGCAGGAGAGGTGCTGGTCTGCAGTTGTAATAAAGTTTGAAAAATGCTGCTCTAGAGGACAAGTCTTTAATGAGAACAAATCAGTCATTAGTGTTACTAATTTAAATTTGTGGCCTTAATTTCTAGTCTTTGAAGAGTAAAAGCATGAGAAAAAATTACTCCTGAAATGCAGTAATAATTAAGCATGACTATGCTTTTTTGTTACACATTAAGTTTAGAAGTGTTGTAATTCTAATAATTGTGACTTGATCAAAGAGATGGGCCAGCTGAAAATATATCAGTGCAAGGTTAAATCAGTCCCTGAGATGTTAACTAAATTAATTTTGTTTGGAGTAAGTATAATGTTGTTTCTCTCTCTCTTTTTTTTTTTAATTAAATGACAGTTAAGCAGATACACAGTTACAGAGAACAGATACACAGGTACAAAATTTTCCATGATTGGTTTTGGTCATCCAGTTTTCTAACACTGGTCCCTTCATCAAGTGTGTACATTTCTGACCACCAGTATCCTCAGTTTCCCTCCTTCCACCCACACAGCAGACACTTTCTCTCTCTCTCTCTCTCTCTCTCTCTCTCTCTCTCTCACACACACACACACACACACACACACACACTTTCTCACTCGCTCTCCTCTCTTGATTGCTCTCCCACTCTTTTCTTTTGGGCGTTATAGCCAGCAGTACAGGTACTGAAAGGTTATCATGTATATTCCTTTCATATTCAGTTCTTGTTCAGAGTGATCATTTCCAACTATTGTCATAGTGGTCTCTTTTCTATTCTAATAGCCTTCTCCCTCCTCCATGTGACAAACTTCCAACCGTGGGTCAGTCCTCCTTGGTATTTTTCCTGGTGACTGTGTAGTATTCCACTGTGTAGATGTACCATAGTTTCTTCATCTAGTTGTCTGTTCTCAGGCACATGGATTGTTTCCAGGCTCTGACTATTGTAAATAGTGTTACAAAGGATAAAGAAGTACAGATAGCTTCTATGTGTTGCATTCTTGGGCCCTTAATGTATATTCCCAGAAGGAGTATTGCTGAGTCAGATTAAAGCTCAATTTCTAGTTTTTCAAGAATATCTATATTTTCCAAAAAGACGAACCAGTTGGCATTCCCAACAACAATGAATGAGAGAGTCCCTTTCTCCCCACATCCATTCCAGCACTGGTTCTTATCCTTCTTGATTTGTGCCAGTCTTTTTGGTGTGAGATGTATATCAGTGTTTTGATTTGCATCTCCTTGGTGATTAATGATGTAGATTATTTTTTTCATGTGCCTTTTGGCCATTTGTATTTTTTCTTTGAAGAAGTTTCTGTTCATGTCTTCTCCCTACTTTATATCTTTGGTATTAACCCCTTACAGATGGGCATTAGGTAAATATTTTTTCCATTCCATGATCTGTCTTTATATTTTAGTCACCTTTTCTTTTAAGGTGCAGAAGCGTCTTAATTTAATATAGTCCCATATGTCTAGCTTTGGTCAGTGGTATTTTATCCTTGCAGATTCTTTTAGCTTCAGTGTCATGGAGAGTTCCGCCTACATTTTTCTTCATGAACCTTAGGGATTCAGGTCTGATATTGAAATCTTTAACCCTGTTGTGTGGTGTTAGAGGTCTGAGTTTATTTATTTTTTTGCATGTGGCTGTTCAGTTTTCCTTAGAGTATATTTTGAAGAGGCTTTCTTTGCTCCGATTCAATTACTTGCTCCTTTATCAAAGATTAAATGTTCATATATTAGGGGGTCTGTGTCAGCGTAGTCAGCTCTGTTCCATTGATCTGTGGGTCCGTCTTTATTTCAATACCATGCTGTTTTAATTACTAGCACTTTGTAGTATGTTTGAAAAGGGGAAAGGTGATGCCTCCCATCATCCTTTAACTAAGGATTATATCAGCTATTTGCGGGGTTTATTGTTTCATATGAATTTCAGGAGTGTTAGGTCTGTTTCTTTGAAAATTGTCATGAATATCCTTATAGGGATTGCATTGAATCTGTATAATGCTATGGGGGGAGTATTGCCATTTTGACAGTGTTCATCCTCCCAATCCCAGAGCAGGAGATGTGTCTCTTATTTCCTCATGTCCTCTTTTGTCTCTTGAAGTGTTATTTTGTAGTTACCTTTGTACAGATCCTTCACCTGATTCTGTAGTGTTTAGGGTTTTCTGAGTGTAGTATCATGTCATTTGCAGTGAATGCTTGACTTCTTCCTTTCCTATCAGGATGTCTTTTTCTTGCCTAAGTGCTAGGGCAAGTACTTCTAGTACTTTATTGAATAGGAGTGTTGAGAGTGGGCAACCGTGTCTTGTGCTTGATCCAAGGGGGAATGCTTTTAGTTTTTCCCCACTGAAGACAAGGCTTGCTGTGGGTTTGTGGTAGTGCTTTTCCTCTTAGTTTTAAAATGAATAGATCCAAACTCTTGGAACAGTTATTCATACTTCTAGCCTGATATTTTGTATTTTGGTTGTGATGAGCACGTGGATATATGTGTGTGCATATAGCTCTTCGGAAATTATTTTGAATATAATGTTAGCCATTTCATCTCTTTGTGCAGTTGTAGAGTTGAGAAGGTGCTGATAATCTTAAATTTCCAGCATTCATGTAAATACATTGTTCTTCTAAAATGTAAACAGCTTGCCTTTCCTGAATAAAAAGATAAAGAGGATTTAGAAAAGAATGAGAGTTTTCCTTACTTGTCTGTGTTCCATGTGCTTTCCCCAAAACAGTGCTGCACGAGCTCACGAAGCATTAATCTTAAACAAGGGAAGAAATTGGGATCATGTAATTTATTGTCACCGGATTGTTAGCAGAATTAGAATTAGAAAAGATTAGCTTGACTAAATGTTTTTTTCCTCAAGCTTTTGTAGGTAGTTATTATGAGACTAAAGATTAGCTTTGTCTTGAAAACTTTATGAGGTGTTTGTTTTTTAAAGCCGACAGGGTGTTGATTATTCGATCAGAAATGTTTTGGTCTGTTTTGGGTATGTTTAAATCTTCTGTGATAAATTTTAAAATGATACACTGATAAATAAGTATGGGCAATATAAAAATTCATAGATTTATTTTTTTTTAGATAGTGAAATAGAAGAAGAATCTGAAGAAGATGAAGATTATATCCCATCAGAAGACTGGAAGAAGGTAGTTAGAACCCTGTTTTCTCCAAACTTATCCTTCAAAAAGCAAGCTAATTTTGTAATACTACCTATAGATAAAGTTGATGCTAAGTCCTTTTGTGGCATTTTGAAATTTGGTATGTGTTTAGATTTTCCTTTAATATATCCAGGTAAGAGAAATGTTTCTCCTAATAATATATCTGAAAATGCGCTATTCTGAGCGTGTTGCCACTCAACACAAGTATAGAAATAAAATTTCTGAATTAGTGCCAAATTAGAATTTTGTTACCCTCTAGAAAGTATAGCTCGTGAAGGTGTTGTAGAGATGGTATAGTTAACCCACTTGCCGTATGTGCTGTAGACCTAAGATTTGGTCCTCAATAGCACAGGAGTGACCCCGGAGCATTGCTGACTGTATTCCTAAAACAAAACAAAAATGTGTTTTTGTGGGATATGAGAGGTAACACAAGGGGCTGCAGGGTATGCTAGACCTGAGTTGGATGCCCAACACTGCATGCCCACGCTGTCTTCCCCTTGCCCCCACTCAGTACCATTGGGAATAGCCCCTGTTTCCTGCCAGTGCCCCAGGCCCTAATGGCAGTGGATGCTGAACTCTCAGGGTTATGCCACTGGACTCAGTATTGTCAGGACAGGGCCCCGGGCCCCCTGAGCACTACTTGGGAGGCTCCTCCTGGACCCCAAGGAAAAATAAAAACATTGAGGCTTTTTTTTTTTGTAGATTTGATAATTTATTTAGTACATAAAATAATTATATATGCTTAGCTGAAGAATAACTCAAAACATAAATGTATACTTAAGATAGCTTTTAAAATATGCTGGCTATACTTACAACATATCACTGTCACTGTCCTCTCGTTGTTCATAGTCAGTTTTAATTCGGTTATTACAAAATTAGTTAATACTTTAAATCTGATTTGGTAATTTTTTCCACTCTGGATGCTCGTTTTCTCTCTTAAACATGTATTCTTATTTTTCTCCCCTCATATCTCTTTTTTTTTTTTAATTTTTAATTCTTTTTTTTCCCTCACATCTCTCTCTCTCAATTTTTTTCAATAAAAATTATTTTGTAAAAAACAAAAAACAGTACCTGGTGTTGGTATTTTGAATTTAATTGGTCTTGAAATGCTTGGGGCAAACTTTTCAAAAAGTTGATTCCCTCTTCCCATTTAAACAAAGATTTTTCATTTATAGTCTCTCTGGATGATTGAATCATTTGTTAAATTTGAATTGGGCTGTTCCATGATTCTGTGTCAACCAGAAGAGACTACTTTTATGATTAGTGGGTTACTGTACTAAGAGGAAATTAGTGTTTCTGAGTTAAGAAATTTGACTGGGGCTAGAGCAATAGCACAGTGGGTCAGGCATTTTCCTTGCACGCGGCCGACCCAGGTTCGATTCCCAGCATCCTATATGGTCAGTCCCCCGAGTACCTCCAGGAGTAATTCCTGAGGGCAGAGCCAGGAGTAACCCCCTGTGGTTGACCAGGTGTGACCTAAAAAGCAAAAAAGAAAAAGAAAAAAACTTGACTGCCTGATAGATAAGAGATGCTATAGAAAACAAGGGTCTTTGAACTTTTTGTGACCTATTTGGAAGATTGAACAAACATTTTTTATGACATTTAAAATTTTTTTTATTACATTTTATTTGAATGCTTTTTTTTTCTCCATTTTTGGGGGGTGGGTTTGGTTTTGAGGCCACACCCAGTGATGCTCAGGGTTTACTCCTGGCTCTACACTCAGTAATTACTCCTAAGCTGTGAGGGCCATACGGGATATTGGGGATCAGTCCTGGTTGGCCATGTGCAAGTCAAATGCCTTACCCGCTGTGTTATCTCTACAGCCCCAGTGTTTCCTATTTTTGATTCTGACTTTCACCGGGCAGAAAAACGCTAGACACTTTGGAACTTCTTTTAATCTACCGTTACCACTGCACATTCATGTTTGTAATGTGGGTATCTAGTCTGCTTTTGGAAAGCAGACCATTCCTATTTGGGGTATTAGAGTGCTAAAACACAATTTCTATATGAATTACAGTCATTTTAACCTACAAAATCAACCTCCCAAATCATCAAAACTATTTCAGATTGGAAATTTCTGTTTTTGGATGGTATGGGAGACATTTATCTTCATAAATACATCTGGAGTTGCCAGTTGATGATTTAAGTGCTGAATTTTGGGGGATTTAGTTTTCTTGGAAGGAACAAAACTCAGGAGGGAGAATTTTGGGTAAGGTGAAGCTTTCGTTGCTAGGGGTATGAGATGCCTCATCTGGAGAAGTATATAACCGAGCAGCCAGTAAACCTTGATAATTTTCATTTTTTATTTATATTTTTTCTACTTCCCAGTACTTTTTGGTGTACGAGTTATAATATGAAGATTTGGAGATTTATCTTCTAAGGCTTGTGAAAAAAATGGAATTTTTACAAAAACAGAATATTGATCCCTATTCTGATTGGCACAGGTGGTGGGTAAAGTAGATTGGGTATAAGCAGTAACAAGAATGGGGGCCTGGGTGTTGATAGTGAAAGACAGAAAAATCTAACAAAAGAGTAAAAAAAAAAACTTGGATTTGAGACTGTTTTTAGAAAACGAGCTTTCCTATAGTTATAGAAATAACTTTTTTTTTCCTTTTTGGGTCACACCCAGCAATGCACAGGGGTCATTCCTGGCTCTGCACTCAGGAATTAGCCCTGACGGTGCTCAGGGGACCATATGGGATGCTGCGAATTGAGCCCGGGTCGGCCGTGTGCAAGGCAAACGCCATACCTGCTGTGCTATTGCTGCAGCCCCATAGAAATAACATTTATATGTCGAAGAGTGGTTTGCTCTCCTGATCTGTGACCAGTACTGAGACTGGTCCTGATGTGCAGGCTAAAAGGCAAACAATACTGATAAAAATTGTGACTTAGAAATTCTATTCGGTAAAATGAGATGCTGTAATCAATGGGCACCTAAGACTGGAGAAAGGAACATATTAAAATCCTGAGACTTCTTTAACCGTGCACCTTTTCCTCCTAAACCTACATTTGAAAATGTAGTAAATTTATGCATTCTTAACACTCATCCACAGACAATGGGCCACATAAATTTTGATCCCCATGTGGGATCAGTCTCTCTTGTGGTAACCAGTTGCCTTTCTAAGCCATGAGTTTCTTCTACTTTCTTCTGTCGAGTTGATTTCCAGATTCCTTAAAATAAGATTAATTTGTGCTTGGGGATGTTACGTTTTCATTTTCTAGTTTTCTATTGAAGTGCAGACATTAAAATAGAAGAAAAAGAAATGTCGGCATTAACCTTGTCCTTGCGGAGTTTCATCTGTTTGCCCAGAGTTGTCTCCAAATTCTTCTCTTTCCTTACCTGCAGAGCTCTGCATCTCAGACTGTGTTTGAATCAGACTGAAACACTGATGTCGCCCCCCCCAGAGTTTCTGGCTCACCAGTGTGGGTGGCACATGTGTTTCTAACCCTTTCCCAGTGTTGCCTGCTCATTCTAGGACATATTTTAAGACCATTGTCCAAACATGGGTACGATAAAAATATTTGAGATTTTTATTTCAGGGAGCTGTTTGTTTTCTGAATTTTCTGAACATTCATCTACATTTGTTGCTCCTTTGTACTCATTGTCTGTCTTGCTTTTGATCCATTGTTCTTTACTAATGTTTGCAGCCAATCATATCTAAGCCCAATTATTAACTCATTCATCCTCATAATACCCCTTTCAGGTTGTTACTTGGTTTTGTCTGTTTTAAGGCAGAAAAAGCAGGCAGTTTTCCCAAGAAGATGGTAAGGTTGGGAACTGTGTATAAAACTTGAGTTTTAAGATCTTACTAATTAATGCTTTGGAATTGTTTTAATAGGAGATTATGGTTGGCTCCATGTTTCAAGCAGAGATTCCAGTTGGCATTTGTAGATACAAAGAAAATGAAAAAGGTGAGTTATTATTAAAGTTACATAGTTTTTTTGTGCATTTGAAGGGATAAAGTGTTACTTTATGGTAAAATTGCCTTATGAGAGGGTCCCCTTCATATTTCTCTGAAAAGGAATATGTTTTTCCAGTTTTGTAGAAGTATAGTGAAAAAGAGGACAGAAAAGAATGAATGCTTTTTTGGGTACTAATTCTCTAAAGATACACCAAACTTTAAATTTATTTTTACTTTGAATACTCTGATCTTTTCATAACCTCTATAATTGAGTTTTAAATGATGACTTCCGGGGTTGGAGAAATTCGATTAGGGCTCTTGCCTTATATGCAGCCAATGCAGGTTCCATCCCTGCCACCCCATACGGTCCTTTGAGCACTGCCAGGAGTGATCCCTGAACACAGCTTTCAGCACAGCTGGATATGGCCAAGAAAATGGAGGGGGCGTGGGGAGGGGGAAGGGGAGGGGCTGAGAAAAAGGACTTTGGCAGCTGTTAGATGGGTTTAAAAATTTGTGTAAACGATGATAGAAAACATTAAGTTTTTTATTTATGAAACTTAGCACCGTAGCACTGTCCTCACCGTAGCACTGTCCTCCCATTGTTCATTGATTTGCTCGAGCAGGCCCAGTAACACCTTCATTGTGAGACTTGTTGTTACTGTGTTTGGCATATCGAATATGTCATGGGTAGCTTGCCAGGCTTTGCTGTGTGGGCGAGATACTCTCGGTAGCTTGCCCGGCTCTCTGAGAGGGGTGGAGGAATAGAACCTGGGTCGGCTGCGTTGGCCGTGTGCAAGGCAAACGCCCTACCTGTTGTGCTTTCTAAAATTGACAACTTTGATATTTGTGTCTTTAGTTTGGCAGAGCAGTTTGTGTATGTAAGTTTTATACGGCCTTTTCATTATTTATCTAAAAGTCCTCAGGGAAGTCACAGTTTAAAATTTTAAGATATTAACTGTGATTTTTTTCACAAACTGTTTCAGTCATTTTTGGGGGGTGAATTCCAAAGAGAGAGTATCTGTGATGAGCTCATGTGCAGTGTGACATTACTGAGCACTCTGTTCATTGTCTTTTTCTCAGTTTCCATGTACAGAGCCTTTGGGGAGATGTAGGAACTTTTAGTAGATTTCTTTTTAGTCTTCTTTTCAGGAACTTCCTTTATAATATAAATCAACAGTTTTCAAATTTATTTTACCTGCTATCTCTTTTGCCAAAAATACTTTGCTCAGCTACCCCCTGTCACACTTCAGACGAGTATAACCTCTCCTCCCCCACCTTTCCAGCTCTTCCCGTCTGCTCTCCCTTCCCCTGATGGGGGAGTGGGGTACTGTGAATGTGGGGAAACACCTATATAAACTTTCTTTTTAGGATTAGAGAGACGGTACAGAAGTTACATGTGTCTGGTTGACCCTGATTCAGTCGCCAGCACTTCATATGGTCCCTGGGCACTACTGAGTATCATCCAGACACTACCTCGACCCCCCCCAAATAAAAAGAATAACGAACTTTATCATCATAAGTATGCACCTGCTTTCAGGGTAAGCAGCAGGTCGGAGATAGTTAAGGACAATATAGCACTGTATCACTGTGTCCTTCCGTTGTTCATCAATTTGTTCAAGCAGGCCCAGTAATGTCTCCATTGTAAGACTTGTTATTGTGTTTGGCATATCGAATATGTCACGGGTAGCTTGCCAGGCTTTGCCGTGCGGGCAAGATTCTCTCAGTAGCTTGCTGGGCTCTCCTAGAGGGGTAGAGGAATATAATAAGGAGAATATAGTCCAGTAAATTCTGCTGGCAACAGGAATTATGTCTTTGGGGAGGGATGTAGGGGACACACTGCTTTTCTCAGGAGTCAGTCCTAGCAGTATTCAAGGAGCCAAAAGTGGTACCAAGAATCTAGCCTGGGTTGGCTGCTGACAAACCAAGTGCCTTAGCCACTGTACCCTTTAGCATCCAGTGGAATGAACTGCTTACACTTTGACACTCTGTTTTACCTAAATTATAATATAGGTGTCAATATCAAGTGTAACCTTAACATTTCATGCACGTGGTTTGTGAAGACATTGTAATTGTATGTAAAAATTGTTTTTGTGATTGAATTTTGCTTTATTTAAAATTAGTTTTAGGGGTCGCAGTTGACAGTGCTAGGTGATTGGGCACACGACTCCCAGTTCTGTGAGCTAGGGCTCCCGGTGTTAACCTTTGGGGTACCATGAAGTGCTTTATTTATATATTGAACCCAGCGCTCCCACATGTAGAACATGAAGTTTGCGCTAGCCCCTTGGCCCTTGTAGCTAAATTTTAAACATCTTTTTTTTTTAATGTTATATAATGGTCAGCACATGTTCACATTGAGTTCTCTTGCCAAATAAAGAACTTAAATGCGACATTTTTTCATTTTTAAAATTCTAAATACACAAGATAGTAACATCTCTCTGAAAATTTTACATTTAGTAGGTCTGTAGGGAAACATCTTATTGTAGCAGGTTAATTTTAACATTTCTCACGTCAAGCATTTTGCTGTCAAATAGCACAGTAATTCTAATTTTGATGTAAATTTTGTTCTAGCATTTTCAAATTTAACAATTTTAGAAAGAAATCGCACATGATTTTTTCAGGAAAAGGTGTGATTTTTGAAACTTTCTCACTCTGGGAATTTTAAGTATATTGGATTGTGTGATATTCAGACTAGATTTAGCTTTGGAAGAATCACTGTGGTTCCAGTGTGCAAACGGCCTTTCCCCTACACTGTAGCTACGGGAGTTTAAACTTGTCATGATAACCTAGAAGCCATCTTCATAAGAGTACATCGTACAGGCAACCAGACTTACGTGGAGTTACTTACGTAAACCACAGTTAGCTGGGGCCATGACTCAGAAGGGCTGGAGCGCGTGGTTTGCATGTGGGAGTTCTTTATTTGAGTTTTAGCATTGATTGTATAACTTCAAGTACCACCAGGAGTGCATCCTTACCCCACTGCAAAAGAAAAGTGCTTCTGAAAGGTTATTGCTCATTCTCCTGTTAGAAAGTTTTTTTGCGGCCAATTTTTTTTTCTTTCCGTTTGATATATAATCACTCACAAATTAGGTGACTTTAACAAAAATGCCACAAAGCTATTTTGATGCCTTTACTGTAGGAATTGGTAAGTGGGTCCAAAACTTTTTTGTTGATACGAGAAAGCCTACTGTGTATCCTGGAAAGATTACTGTATCACTGTCATCCTGTGTTCATCGATTTACTCCAGCGGATGCCAGTAATGTCTCCATTCTCGTCCCAGCCCTGAGATTTTAGCAGCCTCTTACTCGTCTTTCCCAACGCTGCTGTATTGGAGGCTCTTTCAGGGGAATGAGACCCGTTATTGTTACTGTTTTTGGCATATCGAATACGCCACGGGTAGCTTGCCAGGCTCCACCGTGCGGGCGGGGTATTCTCGGCAGCTTGCCAGGCTCTCTGAGAATAAAAAATAATATATATGTATATGTATATATATATATGTATGTATGCATGTATTTCCATATGCCTGGAGAGATAGATAACTTTTTTCCTTTTATATTTCTAACTAATCTCTAATTCAAACAGTTGCAATAATATTTGTTAAGGTTCGTTCCTTTGAACTTTCACCTACTTTGATTTTAGGGTATGTGGGGACGGGGGGGGGGAGTTGAGGGGAAAGGGGCATTGGATGAAGGCATACCCAACAGTACTTGGGGCTTACTCCTAGTTCTGTGCTCAGGGCTTATTCCTGGTGAGAGTCAGGACCATCTATGGTGCCAGGAATCCAACCCAGGTCAGCCACATGCAAGCACGCTCCCTATTACTGTACTCTCTCACTACTACTTCCTCTACCTCCCTCCCCAGTTTGTTGGTTTTTTTTTAATCTGATTATCTTGTGTTGGAGCGATAGCACAGTGGGTAGGGCGTTTGCCTTACAGGAAGCCAACATGACCGACCCGAGTTCTATTCCTCCGCCCCTCTGGGAGAGCCCAGCAAGCTACTCAGAGTATCTCGCCCGCACGGCAAAGCCTGGCAAGCTACCCGTGACGTATACAATATGCCAAACACAGTAACAAGTCTCACAATGTTACTGGGCCCGCTTGAGCAAATCGGTGAACAACGGGAGGACCGTGACCGGACCTGATTATCTTCATAGAGAGTTTTGGCTACTCTGGTTTTGAATCATTTGGATTCAGAGGCTCTTAAGATACGAAGATTATCAGGATTCTCTACCCTCTCCTTTTCTTCTTATTATTAGGAAAGCAAAAGTCGCTACTGGCAGGCCCTCTCTTATTTTGTACACGCCGTATAGAGAACCAGAAGAACTAGGAGTTTCCCGTCCTCTGCTCCAGCAGAGCTCCTGAGAGACTCTGGACTCAGTCAGACTCAGTCATCCTCTGCCAAAATCATTCATTTCTCAGACCAGTAAAATGAGTTGAACTCTGACCTGCACCGACCTGCCCACTTAACCTGTTCTTGGGGCCCGAGGTCGTGTTGGCTCAGACTGTGTGGGAGAGGAAAGGTTTAATTCTAAAGAAATGCTGGATACATGATCTTTTCAGAGTTATTCGCATCTTTTTTGTCTTCCATGTACTAAACCATGCGTGCTCTGGAGCTTGGTGATAAAATGGTATCATTCGGACTGTGATGTACTTGCCATAATACACAGGAGCCCTCCAGCCAGCACCTGTTAGCCACCAGCACCACTAAGATTACCTGGCTATAAGTGTCCGTACTAGTGAGAATGAGAACTCTGGTCTAGCTTCATTGAGAAGCAGGTGGTTAATTCAGAGAAATAAGTTAAGAGAAAGAACTTGAATTCAGTGTTCCCAATCAAGTTTGTTTGCTTGCATGGCATAATTTTAAAGCAGAGAGATACAGGCTAGGATTGTGAAAAAGTGAATAGGAAAATAAATTTATAAAATATTCACGGTAAACATTCGACAGATTGTTGATTTTTTTTAAGATACTTGTAAAATATGAACACATGTATTATTACCCGTATTTGATAATCGTGTTGAAATAAGCCAGTCACGTAGAACCTATATATGGGAAAAACTCAACTAGTTTAGAACTCATGTCAGTCACAGTGACCTTTGAAAAATAGGGACATTTCTTCTCTAAGCCTCCTTATTACATCTCATAGTATTGCCTAGTAACCATTTTTTATATCAATTAGACTTTGGCATTTAAAATGTAACAAAATATTCCCCGAAGCTGGAGGTTAAGAATAAACATGTAGGGGCTGGAGCAGTAGTACCATCGGTAGAACATTTATCTTGCATGTCACTGACCTGGATTTGATCCCCCGGTATCCAATATGAACCCCTCAAGCACTTCCAGGAGTGACCCCTGAGCAACGCCAAGGTTGAAATTATCATGGAAGTTTTATTGTATGCCCTGTTAATAACACATTTTCAAGTATCACCGAAGAATACAAAGAAATAAAATAATTTCCTACTAAGTGGTAACGTTTGGTGAACATTCTCTTAGCCATTCATTTCCAGAAATATCATTATAGCTAGCTTTTGTTAAACCATAATATGCGCCAGACTTGTTTTATGGTATGGTAAAGCCTTACACCTTCATGACAGGATTATTATCCCCACTTCAGGGATGAGTCAGTAATAAGGAAAGTAACTTTTGCTCTAGGTCCTCCAGACAGAAAGTGCTGGCGTACAAGCCAGGAGTGTTTGGAATTTAGGAAGTCAGGCTAAATAGGACTGGAGATGAATGGGGCATAGTGATAGCTCTCTGCGTGGATTGATTCTATCACTCAGACTCGATATATTGCTTGAGTGTAGTCAGGCAGATAAGTAGTCAGATAACACTGATTCTAAGTCCTCAGCATTTAGCCTAATTGCTTTTTCAGTGATGATGTTTTTGACTTTTCTGATATTGTTTCTTTCACTAATTTAGTATATGAAAATGATGATCAACTCCTGTGGGACCCTGAATATTTAGCGGAAGATAAAGTGATTGTGTTTCTTAAGGACGCATCTCGAAGAACAGGTGACGAGAAAGGTGTTGAAGCCATCCCTGAAGGATCTCACATTAAAGACAACGAACAGGTACATGGATAAGACATCCCCCTTCACCCCAAATGGATTGTGTACATTTATATATGTATATGCTATCATAATCAATGTACTTGTTCTGGGTATTACATTTTCTATAGTGTTAGGGAATATGGTTAATAGCATAAAATACCAAGTGTTAACACAGTTTTTCATTAGTATGATTTCAGCTCAAATAAGTTTCCATTGAGCCTGCATTTTTTTTTTTAATTTGGCTTTTTGAGTTGCCTTTGGTTGTCGGCAAGTCTATGGATACACATAGACATAGTTGGGAATCCACATCTAAGACAGTGTTGCTTCTGTATAGACAGGACTATGAACCCAGTAAAAGGATTCAGGTTTATTTTAGAGCCCCCAAATTCAAAACTATAAATGATCTGTGATTTTTTAATTAAAATTATTGTTTTTATTTCTAAATTACTAGGATTCAGTGCTGCAAATTAATGTTTTGTTTATCCTATTCTTTCTGTATAAGGAATAAAATTTTAATTTAATAGGGAGTTAATTTGTAGGTAATTAGTAGGATTGAATTTGTTTGTCCTTAGTATGTTGTATTTACTGTCCTTCAGAAAAGAGGAAAACATAACACTAGATCCTTGAACAGACTTTACTGTCTTACATTGTGTGCCCTATAGGCCGGAAAGTACAGTGGGTAGAGCATTTGCCTCTGACACAGCTAACCTGGGTTTTAGCGCTGCCATCCCTATGGTCCCCTGAGCTCGCCAGGGCCGGGGTAAGTCTTGGATACACCTGGGTGTGGCCCCAAAACCAAAGTAAAAAAATAAAAGCAAAGAAATTGTATGGCCTGGATAGTAAAATGGACTGAGTGAATGCTGTGCATGTAGGAGATCTGATTTCGTTCCCTGGCACTGCACCGTGTTCGTTTCCCCAAGCAGTTACTGAACATCTCTGGGTATGGCCCTGAAATCCGCAGCAAAAAAATTACAGTCTTGAACTGTTCATGATCGAGGTTATATATTGAAGGCTTTTATTTTTCTAGGCATTGTATGAATTGGTTAAATGCAATTTCGATACAGAGGAAGCATTGAGAAGATTAAGATTTAATGTCAAAGCAGCTAGAGGTAAGCATAAATGTTAAGCTTTAATTTGTTTTCATGCTGTAGCTGAAATTTTACTTTAGCTCTTTAGTTTATGAAGATACAATACTGCTCTTCTCAATTCAGTATTTGCTGAATAGCAAATTGTTAGAGCTTGTTCAGTACACATATAACACAAGTATTATTTGAAACACTGGAACAAGTTCCCGGCTGCTTTTTCTGGAAAAATAAGGACATTTAAATTTAAATACATAATGCCATTCAATCTCAGGGCACTTCTATAAATGTTTTATTTCATCTTGGCAATGCTACTGTGTACTAATATGACGGGTGTTACCTTCATTTTATTTTGTGTGTCTGGTGTTGGGGCACACCGGTGATGGCTCAGGTCTTATCCTGGCTCTACACTCTGGAATTCTCTTGTCAGTGCTCAGAGGAATATACGGGATGCTGGAGATCAAACCTGGGTGGGCCATGTGCAAGGCAAACGCCCTCCCCAGTGCACTATTGCTCTGGCCCCTTGTTACCTTCACTTTAAAATTGATGAGACTGAGGTCTCTGTACTGTTCTAATTTAGCTTCAACAAACAATTCATAAAGGAGTCATAACCAAAGTCTAGGCTTTGGGGGTTTTTTGGTCTGTTTGTTTCAGTTTTGTATCTTTAATTCTCAAGTGGTTCCTGTCCCAGTCACTGATAGGACTGACTGCTCATGAGTCAGTATGTAGCAAATGAAAGAATTTACTCAACAAAAATTGAAGGGTTAGTAAGGCTAGTAAGGCCTAGCAAGATCTGTGGACATAGGGCTGGACAGAGAGCACAGCAGGGCCGCGTGCAAGGCAAGCGCCCACCTGGGTACAGTCCCTGGCACCCCATATGGTCCCTCAAGCACTGCCAGGAGTGCAGTGCAGAATCAGGAGTAAGCCCTGAGCATTGCTGGGCATGGCCCTCAAACGAAAAAGAATACTGGAGAAAATGAATCCAGTTGAGGTAGGAGAGTTAAAAACCAAGTCATCCAAAATCTTTCGAGTGAGACATTTTTGTCACAATCTTTGCAGTTACCAATAATTTCCTCAGAAATAATGTAGCGCTGCACTGTAGCACTGTCATCCCATTGTTCATCGATTTGCTCAAGTGGGCACCAGTAACGTCTCCATCGTGAGACTTGTTACTGTTTTTGGCATATCGAATACGCCATGGGTAGCCTGCCAGGCTCTGCTGTGCGGGCGAGATACACTCAGTACCTTTCCAGGCTCTCTGAAAGGGGCGGAGGAATTGAACCCGGGGTGGGCCACATGCAAGGCAAATGCCCTACCTGCTGTGCTATCACTCCAGCCCCAGAAATAATGTAATTTCTCTTATTATTACCCAAAAGTTACATTTTTATTTGTAATTTTGTTTGTATGCCACATTTTGGAGAATAATGCTTATTTCACAACCCTCTTCCTCCATTTTGTCAGAGGAATTATCCGTTTGGACAGAGGAAGAGTGTAGAAATTTCGAACAAGGACTGAAGGCCTATGGAAAGGACTTTCATTTGATTCAGGCTAATAAAGTAAGTAATGAAATGTGTTCTCTGTTACAAAAAGAAATTTGATGGTTGAGATCTTGTAGCCCATATGTATCATGTAGTGTCTTAGTTATTTTCTAATAGCAGAAGTTTTTGACTTAATATATTGATACTTAGGAAATTGTTATCAGCATGCCTAGACTTTGTCCTAGTGGCTGTTTTCAGAAGCCTTTAAGATCTATTTTTCGTTTGTTTGTTTTTAACCACTGTCAGCTGTGTTCATCAGCTTTGGTATGGGGTGTGCAGGCGAGATGCACTCGGTAGCTTGCCCAGCTCTCTGAGAGGGGCGGAGGAATTGAACCCGGGTGGGCCGCATGCAAGGCAAATGCCCTACCTGCTGTGCTATCGCTCCAGCCCTAGAAATAATGTAGTTTCTCTTATTATTTCTCTTATATACACATATAGTATATTCATAGTTCTCTTCCACAGCCATGTGGAAGATATTTAAGAAAATTATTTTGAAGGGATTTTTGAAACTCTGATCTTTGCTATTTCATTTATAATTAAAATATCTTTGACATGTGCTAAAATGAGTCCTAATTGGTCTAAAATTATATAGTTGAGAACCAGAGAGTTAGTTCAGTGGACAGGTTTACCGAGATTTGATCCGTGGCATCCCATATTGCTCCCTGAGTACCACCAGGAGAGACCCCTGAGTGCAGAGCCAGGAGTAAACCTTGACTACCACCGGGTATGGCCCAAAAACCAAAAAAGAGATTAAAAGAATAAAATTAGATAGAAGATAATTTTATTTGCTTTAATCTTTTCCTGAAGAATATCTCAGTAGGTCAATTTTATACATTATATTTTTCCTTATTTGAGAATTTTAATTTAATAATTATCTTTCCATATTTATATTTATCAACTACGTAGTGTTTACCCAACAGAGCTTCATGAGTCCTTAGGGATATTTAAATTTTCTTAAAACTGAAATCATATATAACAGTAAATCATTGCTAGATAGTATAGGAAAATGTACATATAAGAGATTAGGACAGGGAATATTTAAATCTTTTTGAATGTTGGTAGTTATGTATGTATATCTAGGCCTTTTTAAAAAATGCCACATTTCAGCAAATATAAATGACAAGATGCTCAAAGTTTTGTTTGATAACTCGTCGAGGATGATTTTATGCAGTGTTGAACCACAAGCCTTTTGTCATGTGTCTGATTAACTCCAAACACATCCTTTCGTGGTTGAAAGGCACATTATTTTGGATGAACATTTCCTAGATCCAAAGACTGTTGCCCACTAGATTATGAAGGAGACCCTGAGAATGATAGGCTGATGGAACTAGCAGCAGCAAGAACCTTCCTACTCCCCAAATTCTTTAAGGTTGGTCTGGGCAGCGTTTATCTTGCCAAGGCCAAGTTAGATATTTATAGTATCATTTTAAGACCATACAATACAAATGGGCCTTAGGTAGTTGGTAAGAAGCACGTGTCAGTCCTCTTTTGTACCTCGGCCCAGCCCCATGGTTTTGTGGGTATTGATACAGTCCACAGACTTTACTACAGACTTTCCCTGCCCTTAAGGAATAAGAACTATAAGGAATAATAAATAATAGGTTATTTGAACCTATTAACCAAAGCAGTTCTAATAAAATGTTAGGACCTTTGTGCAGGGGCAGGAGGGAAGGCTATTTAAAGCTACACCAGATGGTGTCAGGACTTTCTCCTGCCACTGTCCTCAAGGATCCGTTCTGGTGGTGGTCTGGATGGGATGCTGGGGATTAAACCCAGGTCAGCTGCATGCAAGACAAGTGCCTCACCCACTGTACTATTGTGCCACCCTCAAGACCTGTTTTTAAAAAATAGTTGGGAGTGAGATATGCCTGCTGACATACGTATATGATACTTAGTTGTTCTAATGAACAGAGAGAATAGTAATTCTTTTTTGTTTGAGAGAGGGTCCAGATGTGGCAGTGCTTGGGCATGCTTCTCCCACATCTGTGTGTGAGGATTGCTTCCCAGGGGTGCTCTGAACAACAAACCTGGCCCTCCCACATGCAGATCATGTACTCAGCCCATTGAATTTTCTCTTTGGCCCCCCAAAACAGTAATTTTTTAAGAAGAATGATCCAGTGTGAAAAAGACCAGACTCAGGGCCACAGGGATAGGTCAGCCGGTAAGGCGCTTGCATTGCGTGCAGGTAGGCTGCTTGCTTGCACACAAGTAACCTGGGTTCTATCTCTGGCACCCCAGATTGTCTCCCAAGCCCTGCCAGGAGTGATTCCTGAGCGCAGGGCCAGGAGTAAGCCTGAAACCACTGCCAGTTTCACCCCAAACAGACAAAAATAGTACTCAGACTTTAGTTTGTAAGTTCAGTTTATAAATATGCTGATTTAACCTATTGACAATTTTTCATAATCTTTACATATCCAGAATTTTCTTTAAGTAAAGTGCTTTCAGCTAAGAAAGTACAGCCGACTTAAAATTTCTCTAGAAATAAGATTCAGGGGAGGTGAAAGAGAACTGGAGAAGGTGGTTGGTTGTTTTTTGTAGGGTTTTTTTTTTTTATGCCTTATACCTTTCAGTCTTACAACATGAGTCATAGTTTTCAAAGTGTGAGTAGAGAAGCCAGAGAGTTTAACTCAGCCAGCTGAGATCATGCTTTGTGTATGAGGCTCAGGTTTGACTCTCGGTACCTTATGCATGGTCTCCCAAACACTGCCAGGTATGATCCCACATCCCCATACGTAATGTGCAAGTAGAGAGAAGAAAAGAAGATGATACTAGATAAAGAAATAAGGGGATCAGCAAACTGACCGTAGGTGCTATCTGTTTCCAGTGATACTGCCCTCAAGATAAGAAACATATGGGTTAAAATAAAAGTTTGTATCCCTAAAATTCCATGCAGATAACTGTCCTTTCAGATGTACAGTATTTTTTGTCAACCGTACCGGCCCTCCACGGTACCTAGCAAAGGATTAAAGGATTTCTTTTTTTTTCTTTTCTTTTCTTTTATCCCATTGGTCCTCAGACTGTAAGAGGAGCAAGTCGGTGAAAGTATGGTACAGCGCAGTGTGCCATTGGAGTAGCTGGTAAACAGCGTGTTAGCATTGTTATAATCACTTACAGCTCACTGAGGAATAGTCTCCGCTTCTCTAGAAAGCGAATTATCTTAAATCTGGATCACCTCAGGGACTAGTAAAGGAGTCTTTAAAATAGTAATTTAAGCTCCCGAGGTGCTGAGTAAAAATATCTGGAAACTGTGTATAATATAATTTTAATCTAAATGCCACATTTTCAATAGAGAAGTATTTATAGTAAATTAAGATGATAATCTCTTAAACTGCACACAGTGCCATTTAATATTGAAGAGTATTATGAATGTATTTTTTTCTCAGTAGAATAGTAACACAGCTGTTGCACTGCTGTATTTTATGGATAGTATCATAGGGATAACAAAATTGGTTTTCCAACTTAAGATTTTTTTTAATCAAATAATCTTTTAAAAAGAGATGATGGGGCCAGAGAGATACGATAGGTCGGTAAGACACTTGTCTCACGCTCAGCCCGCCCCTGGTTAGCCCCTGGCACAGCTTACGGTTCCTCCGTCACTCCAGGCCTGATCTGGAATGCAGGATCAGAAATGAGCCCTGAGCACTGTCTGCCAGAAAAAAATAGTAGAAGGAGATAATAGTACAAGGAGATAATTGTTAATACAAGTTTTTGCTTCTTACAGGTTCGAACAAGGTCAGTTGGTGAATGTGTAGCATTCTATTATATGTGGAAAAAATCTGAACGTTACGATTTCTTTGCTCAGCAAACACGATTTGGAAAAAAGAAATATAATCTCCATCCTGGTGTAACGTGAGTTGTTTTTTCTTTCTAGTTACGGTTTTGGTAGGCTTTCCTAACCTCCTTAAGAAAATTACAATTACCTCAATTTTTTTAATAGCATGAGCTTACACTAAGGTTATTCGTTTCTTGACATACCTTCATAGAGCAATTAAACTTCTTAGTGTCTTAGAAAAATGTAAGCTAAGTTCATTGAGACACAAACTTCAGTGCTACTATTCGCAGGTATTTTTTCAGGATAAGCAAATGCTGATTGATAATATTGAAAACAGTGAAATAGGAAAGAGTTATGTTTAAAATAATAGTGCCATCTTCCCTCTAAACTGGAAAGGAAAATAAGATTTTTCTCTTGTTCAATCTGCTTTTGATCCTGCTAACCAAGATAAGATTTGAATATAGACAAATACAAACAAATACTGTCCTCCTGTTGTCCATCAGTTTGCTCAAGCGGGCCCAGTAACATCTCCATTTTGAGACTTGTTACTGTGTTTTGGCATATTGATTTTGTCACGGGTAGCTTGCCAGGCTTTGCCGTGTGGGCGAAGATACTCTCAGTAGCTTGCTGGGCTCTCCTAGAGCGGCGGAGGAATCGAACCCAGCTCAGTCGGGCTGGCTGCACACAAGGCATATGCCCTACCGCTGGGCTATCGCTGAAACGATAGATAACATACAAAGAACAAAAGGCTATAATGAAGTCAAACTGCTTTTTGTTACTGTCTTAATGTGCCTGGTCCTGAGAACAGAACTCAAGGCCTTACTGAGTGATGCTCTCTATCACTGACCCACATTCCTTCCCCCGTGAACATAGTTTTGAAAAGGAAGGATCTTGTAGGTGGTGACTTCTCTTGAGATTTTTCTGAAACCCTTCTTCCAACATGCAGCATTGAATAACTACGAATATAATTTTAGTTTAACTCTTAGTGATAGAGGGAGGAAGGATTGTAACTTCATTCTGAAGGCGGAAAGGGAAAAAAAATGCCTTATATGACTAATCCAGCTTCCTTCTCCCAGTTTCTCTTAGCCTCGCTCATTCTAGGTTGGAATAAAATACTGCCTCCACCCTCACTAGTAATTTGTTACTTCAGTTTGTAGAATATTAAACTTTGCTCACATGAGTTGCTCTCGAGTGCTGATGAGTTGTGTGGTAGAATTAACTGATTATTCCCTAATGTTTATGAATAAAAAATAATAACAAGGAAGGGGGCTGGAGCAGTAGCACAGCGGATAGGCATTTGCCTTGCACGTGGCCGACCCAGGTTCGATTCCCAGCATCTCTTATTCCCTGAGCACCTCTGGGAGTAATTCCTGAGTGCAGAGCCAGGAGTAACTCCTCTGTGTTGCCGGGTGTGACCCAAAAAAGCAAAATAATAATAATAATAATAATTATGATTTGATTTGGTGACCCTGTAACAGTAGAGATTCATGAGGTTGGCCAAATTACTGCCCTTAAAAGAGGTTTATGTATTTATGCTTTTCAAACTCCTAGACTGGGCTTTTTGCCTTTTTTGTTTATCAGTGTCTGTATTGGTCACATTCCCAGAGGATCATACTCTCCAAAATATAAAACAAAATTCCCTAAAGGGTAGTCAGATTGGGGTGATGGCCTCTGGAAATCACAGGACACGTGAACAGAACACTTGAACATGAGAGTTCATGATGGCTGAGTGAGATCTTACATGTAAGAGTATTTCAGACCCTGACTAATTTGTAATGTTACAAACTTACAGTTACTTTAGAAGTTTTAGTTGGTAGTATTAATTCAGTGACTTAAAACCTAGACTATAACTGTCCGTTCTCCAGAGTATATCTTAAAAATTCAAGCTTAAGAAATTCAGTATCTTTAAAAGTTCAATCTTTTTTATAGGGAAAAGCAATGGTAACATCTTTCATTTTTTTTCCCACCCATTTCAGACATAAATAACTTATGAACTACAGGCAATGTGTCGTCATCAGCAGTAAGAACATAAGAATTGCCATGCTGGGTCAGACCCCTGGTTCATCCAGTTTCTCTTTCAGAAAGCACCACGAAGGGAAGTGTTGACTGGCTTAGTTGGTCCTCTGATGTCAAGCTCATCAGGTTAGGTAGGGGAGTGCCACCAAGCATTTTAGTTTCTCTAGTAATCTCTCCATAGCTTCGGAAACTTTCTGAAGATATTTAATAGCATTAACCTTTTTTCATTTAAAGGTCAAGTATTCCAGGGGCCAGAGCGAAAGTATAGTGGGGAGGGCGCTTTTTAAAAGCCTTGCATGTGGATGACCCAGATTCTTTCCCTGACATCCCATATGGTCCAAGCACCACCAGGAGTAATTCCTGAGTGTAGAGCCAGAAGTTGCCCCTGAGCATCGCTGGGTGTGGTCCAGCCCCTCACTCCAAGGGAAAAAAGATGGTTAAGTTTTCTACAGCTGAAGTAGCCACAGGTAAAAGCAATCCTGTCTTCATTTTTCTTTCATTACATTTCTTCCATGACAAGAGTTAAGATTGTAATGGTATGTACTAAATAAAGGTATTTTCTCTCCGGGCACGATTACCAGGATTTTTGAAGGCACTTCCCCTTTGGATCTTTCATAAAGGTTTTTATCCAAAAGACATCATTTTAGTTTGTACTCTTTCCTTTTGGTTATGATATGTCTTTTCTAAGGAATCATGAGCAATACTAAGGGTTTTCTGTAGGCATGGAGATAATTACCTACAATTGCGCAAATGATTAATTCCTTTAGATACCATTTTGAATAGATTATTCATCTTCTGCTGCTGTCAGGGGAGAGGGGTTGGATCATACCCAGCAGCACGGGAAGGCGGCTCCTTACTGCACTTGGATGTTTCTCCTGGCAGTGCTTAGGGGACCCTGTAGTGCCGGGATCAAACCAGGGCTACCTTTATGTAAGGCAGGTGCCTTGCCCTCTGTACTCTGTCTCTAACCCTCATCAGCCCTTGGAGTCAAAATTGTAGAGTTGATCCCTAACGTTGTTTGCTTCTTTACTTCATTGCCACCTTTCATTTGTTTTCCAGAAGGAAGTCCGTTTGCTACTTTGCTGCCAGTAAGCAGCATTCTGTAGATTGTACGGCAGCTTCCGTATTCATTGAAAGGCTTGGTAGCCATCACACAATGAGAATTTTGCTATTAACAGTTCTGCAAATAATTGTCAGGAGAAGGCCTGTTGGGCCACACCTGGTGGTGCTCAGGGCTTCCTCCTGACTATACTCAGTGGTCACTGCTGGCAGTGTTTGGAGGATCACAAGCAGTGCTTGGAATCACGCTGAGGTCAGCTGGGCACAAAGCAAGTGCCTTGACTCTGACACCATTTCTCCCGTCAACAAACAATTTTTTTAAGTAAAATCTGACACAACTGATTATAGCTACCTGAATCTTACCTAAGCATTCTGGATGTTGATAATACTTAAGAAATAATTCTTCCCTACTATTGCTGTATTCAGAAATTTAAATTAGTTTTGTAGCATCAGCTGAAGCTTATTTGCTTGCATTTTAATAGCCCATGTCTATCCATTTTACCATATTCCACCAGTTCCTCTTCACTTCTTCATACTTCAACTAACTGGCATTAGTTTCTAAAGTCTTCTGGCATATATCTTGCTCATTCCTGTCTGTGTGTGTTTCCAGTTTATTATATAATTGTTCTTTAGCTGTGAGAAATTTATGCAGAGCATAAAGCTGAAGATGTCTGAAATACCATGAGATTTCGTTCCCTCTGTAGATGTGGAAAATCCTGACTCTTAAATTGCTTGGTGTGATTTGGTTCCTTAGGAGGTTTCGTGAAGTCAGAAACCATGTTGACAGGTGACAGACATTCTGTATTAGTCTGGCCTTCCACCTCTAGCACGCTCTCCCTCTCGCTGCCAGTATTCAGGGGCAGCCGTAGATACTGAAAAGGTGGGTGGGGAACTGTGGTCACAAAAGCAGGTGGCTTTCAAGAACCATTCGCAACTTAATTTTAGTACTGTAGCACTTTATAGTTTGACAAAACATTGTCCTGCACTACTGACGTGTGAGGTTGATAAATCAGCTGTTATATGCATTAAGCTTTGGAGATACAGATCTAGGTCCAACCCTGTCCCCACATCATTTCCACAGCAGTCTTGCCTGGTTCAGGATGTTCCTGGTGGAGAAATAAACTCTCAGCTCTACTGTGCTGGCAGGGTAAAGCCGGGGACAAGCCCAGGAACTTAGCTTCTTACTGCTCAGTCTAGGGAGAAAGGTACTCTACGGTTGGACTTGTGTGCATGCGCAGTAGTTCAGCAGGTGGAACTCTTGCCTTGCACCTAGTTGACCCAGGTTCAATCTCCTGCATTCCGTGTGGTCCCTTGAGCCCAGCAGGAGTCATTTCTGAGTGCAGTGTCAGAAGTAACCCCTGAGCGAGCCAGAGTACAGCTGGTCGGGCATTTCCCTAGCACAAGACTGACCCGGGTTTGATCCCTGGCATCCCATATGGTTCCCTTAGTACCACCAGGAGTAATTTCTCAGTGCAGAGCCAGGAGTGACCCCTGAACATCGTCAGGTGTGACCCCAAAAGCCAGAACAAAAATTAACCCCTGAGCATTGCCAGCTGCGACCCAAACCATGTCATCTCCATCCCCACTGTTCCCCCAAAAGAAATGTATACCCTTGGGGCCAGAACAATAGTACAGCGGGTAAAACATTTGCTTTCCTTGTGGCTGACGTGGGGTCGATTCCTGGCATCCCATATGGTCTCTAAAAGCATCACCAGGAGTAACCCTTGAGCACGCCAGAGGGGTCGGGGGGTGGTGGGAGGAAGGATAGAGAGAGCAAATATAGGTATATAAAATAGGTTTATAAATTATTTACTGAGAAGTTAATTTTAAAACAAACTCTCAGCATCCCATATGGCCCCCCAAGCACCGCCAGGAGTAATTCCCAAGTGTAGATCCAGGAGTACCCCTGAGCATCGCCAGGTGTGACCCAAAAAGAAAAAAAAAAAGAAGCCAGGCTCTTCTCAAAGGGATTGGGTGTGTTCAGTGCCGGGATAGATGAGAGGTCTGTTTTTCTGTATTGCCACAGCCCCAGTTTCAGTCTGTTTGTAGGCAACTCTGCACCCCGCTGACTGGATCATCCCTGCCTTTCACTTACGGATCCTCTCAGCTTAGACTACTTTGAGCATAAAAAATGTTCTTAACTCCCCAGAGGTCTCTAAGGTGTCATAGTTTAAAGCTTTTACTCAGTTTTTCTACAAATCTGAAACCAAAGGAACTTTCTGTTTAAATGTTCAGTTCCTGACATAGTAGATGAGACACTGGAATGAGTGTAAGCGAAAATATTTCATATGTGATGAAAGCTTTCTGAATCAACAGCTTTTTACTTTTCCGCTTTATTATTTAAAAAAAAAATTTGTCGTTTCACTTAATTTTAGGGATTACATGGATCGCCTTCTCGATGAAAGTGAAAGTGCTGCCTCCAGTCGGGCCCCATCCCCTCCTCCGACGGCCTCAAACAGCAGCAACAGCCAGTCAGAGAAGGAAGACGGCACTGCCAGCAACAGGAACCAGAACGGTGAGCAGTTGGGGGAGGGACTGTTTCTTTCCTCCATCACAGGCCGCTCTAGGTTTCTGTTCCGTTTCCGAAGGACAAGGGAAACTAGTAATTGTTGGTACCTGGTGTAGCACATGTCAGAATACTATGCACCCACAGTGTAAATATACACAGTGTCAGTTCAGTGGGAAGAATTCCTGTTAGCAACACCTCGCAGGAAGTTTAATTATGTGACCACTACAGATACCCATCTCTCATAACACGTTTGTCCTTGAGTATTTTATTAGTTGGGATACCTGGATATCAGTATTCTTGTTTAGGTGTAGACTGAAACTTATTTTATATCAGAAATAGAGTTTTTTATTCAGTACTCGAAGAGCTTATTTGGAGATTCTAGCAGGGGAGCACAGCCACTCATATTCCTTCAACCGAAGACTGGCCTGTCTGTTTGGGGAAGGCTGTCCTCTTCTACTGAGCACGCAGCTTCTGGAGGGACACACAGGGGGAGGTAAGGGAGGAAGGGGACACCCACCGAGCCAGCCAGATCAGCCAAATCATCCCTGGCAGTCAGTGGGGTGACAGATGTCTCAGCCAGATTGCCCTTTATCTGAGAACTGAGAAATTTTCTATCAGGAAAGTACTTAAAGCACATACGTGAAAAGTAGATCACGAGAGCACTGTTTTATTTTTTTGTTTTTTAATTTATTTATTGAATCACCGTGAGAAAAGTTGCAAAGCTTTCAGATTTAAGTCTTGGTCATACAATGATCAAACACGCATTTCCTACACCAGTGCACATTTTTCACCACCAAGAACCCCAATATACCCCCGTCCCACCCTTCCCGATGCCTGTGAGGCAGATGATTTCTACTTAATTCTCTCTCTACTTTGATTACATTCATTATTTCGACTAAAGATGCACCATTATTATTTGGAATTTCCTCCCAACAATCAGAACTGCTGAAAAGGCATCGTGAAATAATTTGTTTTCTTTTGCTGGTTATGCAGACCCTATGATGTTTTAGATTTCTGGTATTCTGCCAAAATAATTACGAGATAATTACGAGATTGGTTTGTGTGCCTCTGGGGCCATGGCCGTGCCGGAGAGCCGCTCGTGAGGGGCAACGAGTGGCCTCGGTAGGGCATGAAGGATGTGCCGGTTCTGCCCCCCATCCCATGAGGCTGCAGTTGCCCCATCACCGCTGGATCACACCTGTCTATCCAATAAGCTCTGAGGCGGAGGCCACCGTGCTGCCCAGAGGGGGGTGGGGGGTGGGGGTTGCCAAAGAGACAGATACCCTTTCCCTCCGGGCGGAGGGGCACCGCACCATAGTTTAATGCATAGTCCAGTCACATTTCTGCCGCAAGGTGCTAAGTTCTGAATTAGGTCTGTGTGCCTCTGGGGCCATGGCCGTGCCGGAGAGCTGCTTGTAGGAGGCAACTCGTGGCCTCGGTAGGGTGTGAAGGACCAGGAAAGCACTGTTTCAAGTATTTTTGTCTTTGATCGTAAACAACCTTGAGGGATAAAGAGATAAAGCAGGTGCTAGTCTGTGCATTAATATTCTACAGAAACAGTTCTATTTTTATCTCTGAGGGAGCCAAAAATCATACCAGTGTGGAGTTCATGCCCAATTCAGTCAGCTTCATCAGTGGCTGAATAAATAGCAATACCCCTACATTTAAAAAAAAAAAAAGTGAGTTAAAAGAATGCCCTGGGCCAGGCCTCCTCAGAGAATCACTCTTGACTCTCACTTGAATTACAGTGTTCTCCCCCAGGTAGATGCCGAGGCCAGAATCAGCCCTTTCCCTCCTGCAGCAGGGAGCTGCTGACTTAGAGGTCCTGCCCACCTGCATGTGATAGGTCAGTCCGTGACGTTCTCCCTGCCCCTGTAGTACAGCGCTGTGGGAGATCCGTCTGTGTTCTGACCTGGGATTCATGCCAGCACTATGGCAGGGCAGTGCATTTGATTTGAGGACCCCCGTTCCCTCGTCTTGGCTCTGTTCCCGCTTAGGAATGAGCCAAACTGGAGCCAGAGAAGTAGGTTGGCAGGTAGGGCACTTGCTTGCACACAGCCAACCCAAATTTAATTGTGGCACTACCTGTGGTCCCCGGAGTCCTGCCAGAGTGATTCCTGACTGCAGTTGGGAGTATCCCCTGAGCTTCACCTGGTGTGATGCAAAAGACAAAAAAGGGAAAAGAAGAATGAGCCAAGCAAATGAGAATTGAGTTTGTTGGTGACCTATCAATGCAGGCCGCATCCGTCCCCGGCAGAGTTGGGAGCTGCAGCTGTGAGCACATCTGCCATTTCAGTTTGTTCAGAACACCAGATAGTTTCCATATGCGAGAGTGGGTTTTTGTTTTTGGTGTTTTGTGGCAGGGGGCAGGGACTTTTTGTATTTCTCCTTTTCCAGCCATTTAGTAAGAATATGAAGTTAAACTCTAAGGAGAGGTAGCATGTCCTCCGGTTGTTCATCGATTTGCTCGAGCGGGCCCAGTAACGTCTCCATCGTGAGACTTGTTGTTACTGTTTGGCATATTGAATACGTCACGGGGAGCTTGCCAGGCTTTGCCATGTGGGCAAGATACTCTAGTAGCTTGCCGGGCTCTCTGAGAGGGGCAGAGGAATCGAACCAGGCTTGGTCGGGCTGGCTGTGCACAAGGCAAACGCCCTATTGCTCCAGTAAGGACTGTTACTTCAGTTTATTAATTACTCAGTCGGGGAGAGTTCTTTTTTTAATTTTTAAATGTTATTTTCATAAAGTTGTTCACAGTAATTAATTACATTCAATATTTTAGCACCAATCCCACCATCATTACACCTTCCTACCACCATTATTTCAAATTTTCCCACCATCACTCAAGCCTGCCTACCACAGACAGAGGCTAAATAATTTATTTTGTATTGCGTGTTATGAATATTATGAGATGCCACACAGCTGCAAAAGCAACTGTGCGCACCTGGAATTCTAAAACTTTAATAATTGGGGTCTGGAGACATCTCTGTAGCGACTCAGTTCCAAGCTTCATTTGTGAGTCTCTGGATTGTGGCCATTAATGCACTTAAATGGCACCCAGAGGCAGTTTGTGGGCGTGACACCCAGGACCTCGAAGGGGCAGGGAGATGGGAAGGAGCGGCGCGTTCTCTGTCCCTTGGTGCCTGTAGTTTTGAGTCAGTGGTCCGCTGTACCTGGGTTTTTCATTGGGTTCTAGAGTTTCGGAACCGCCAGGATTCATTTAGGCAAGTAGAGGGACGACGCATGCTCCTTCTGAGGCACCCTGGTGAAATCAGCCTGGCACAAGGTCAGAGCAAGGTCAGAGATGTCTCTGGCGAGCTGCTTGGTTCCAAGATTCATTTGTGAGTCTCTCGGTCGTGGCTGTTAATGTGCATAGGCAGAGTTTACTTCATACTACATTTTTACCTGACTCTGAGCTTGTTCCTACAAAATTGTTCCCCGGGGATAAATAAACTAGGGGAAACGGAGTCTTTTCTTCATTCAAAATGTAATTGAGGCCCGTCTTTCACACTGAATATTTTTTCATATAATTAAAAATCATCTCTAGTCGCACGTTTTTCACTGAATACTCCCTGAGCTTGTACTCCATTGTGCAGTCAACTTCACTTGATCTTTTTACAGTTACTTGGATTTATTGTCTTTTCTTACCTGTTATGGAGGAGTGGGTTTTTACTTTGAATATTTCTCAAATGCTTGAACAGTGCAAACCTTAATATTTTAACATGGTAACATTTAAATTCTTAAAGACTGTATTTGATATTTGTTCTTAAAGCACAAGGTCCGTAGATGTCTATTTACGGTAAAAGAACGTATCATTTTACATGGCATGCGGTAACCTCAAACTTTTAAAGACAGAACATTTATGACTTGGTTTTACAAAGCTTTTTTACAAAGATCTAGCTTTTGCTAAATCTAAAAAATGTATTGTTCTATAATTCAGAGTAGTGACATACTAGAGCTAATTTGTCACAAAACCAACTTCCTTTTACTATGTCACATTCTATTACGCGTTCTTTATATTTTTTAATTTTTATTTTTGGGGATTTGGGCCATGCCTGGCATTGCTCAGGGTTCACTCCTGGTGGTGCTCAGGGAACCAGATGGGGTGCCAGGGATCGAACCCAGATTGGCCCCATGAACCCTACCCACTGTACTTTCCAGCCCCACGAATTTTATATATGAACTTTAATCTGTACAGAAACAATGTAAGGTTGGTCTATTGTTATCCTTGTTGTGTGTGATGAAACTGAGGTATAAAGAAATGCTTGCCTGAATTCACACAGCTAGTAAGTAGTGCCATGATTAAAATTATATTTACAGTTTTGTTTGTTTGACTTTGTTATGTTTGATTTGGGGCTACACCTGGCAGTGCTCGGGGCTTACTTCTGGCTTTATATTCAGGAATCAGTGCTGGTGAGCATGGGGGACCATATAGGGTGCTGGAGATTGATTTTTGGGGTCAGCCTCATGCAAGCCAAGCACCCTACCCACTGTATGGTCTCTTTGGCCCTTCTGTTCACAGTTTTAGTATCACTTCCTAAAAAGTTATTTTACAGTAGCTGTTTTATTATACTTTATAGATTTAATTTTTCAACACTGGTCATTTCTTTTGTTTCTTCCAACTCAGGGGTGTCATCTAATGGACCAAGTGAAATGTTATGCAAAGAAGAAGTCAAAGTTGAAGGATTCCACATCAATGGACCGACGGGTGCAAGTAAGAAGCCTCTTCATGCAGATATGGATACTAATGGGTATGAAACAGATAATCTGGCCGCTGACCCAAAACTTGCCCACGTGAATGCAAGAACCGACAATGATTTTGATGAAAAAAGTGAGAGACCTACCAAAAGGCGAAGGGTGAACAGCAATGGGAAAGAAAGTCCAGGGTCTTCTGAGTTTTTCCAAGAGGCAGTGTCACATGGAAAATTTGAAGAACTTGAAAACACAGATGACTAAATTTTTAGACTTAACTTACTTTGGCGTAAATTCTGGTGTGACTAAAATTTTCAGGGTTAATGGGTTACCTTTAAAAGTCGATTTCCTTGAAACAGTTGGTTAAAATTTGAAAATCTGAATTGAGTCCTAACTTAGCAAATAGATTTTATAATTCTGCCTTTTGCAGACTTTTTATCTTCAATGCTATAAAGACCCTTTTAAAGATTTAACAAATAGCAAATTTGAGTGAATGTCAGCATAAACTGCACCTTCTCATTTGACGTATTAGTCCTAAAATTTCACAGCAAAGTACTTTTTGCTTAGTTTAATGGCAGAGAAAAACTAAGTTCAAATTTCTGCTTTACATCAGGTTTTCTGAGTTTCTTGAAATGTCTTTCCCAAGACAGTTTTCTCTCCATGCAAATTGAGTCTCATTATTAAGGAAACCCTTATGAATCCTGAAAGTTATGCTAGCATGATTTTTTTATATATAGAAGTTTAAAAATAAACCAAGTCAGGTTTGTATATGTAAAATTGTTGACATCAATGATGTCTTTCCATATTCTTATCTGGGCTTAAGAAATACATTCTGTATTTTTCCAGATTCTTTGTAGCCTTTGAAAGATTTTTACAGTACATATGTCTTGACTGAGCTGTCCTTTCTTAATACAAAAGCTTGTATAATTTTCTTAACTTGTACAGTTGGTAAACTTTTATGAGAGGAATTGATATCCCAAGTCTGTCAGCTTTCATTTTATTTTGCTAAAGTTTTTCTAATGAATTTTTAAGTGTTTGTGTAGTAACTAAGTCATGTTTCTTATCCAGCTGGTAAAAGCATTCATAAAAGATTGTGCAAATTTGCTTTTTCAAATTTCTACTTAAGGACAAATAGTTTGAGGCTTCTGAAATTAAGCATGTTGTCTAGATTGCATAGTTTGTTTTGCATTTGCTATAATTTTCAAAATTATTTTTTGAAGCAAGAGTTTACTGTTTGCTTAAGTGCTTAACTGTATCATACTGACCAGAGTTCTGTTCAGTTATTTTTATATGCATTATAAAAGTTCCCATCTTTTGCATTATACAGGGAAAAAAAGTTAAAAGATACTAGATACTGGTGCACAAAAAGTATTGTTGAGCAGCAATACTGATTTTGTGAGAAAGTGAAGTCAGAAAAGTTTTTGGACTTTTCCAGATGCCATTCAGTCTTCCCAAAATGAAAAGATGCATTAACCATTGCTCTGTGTGATTACAAATAGGATTGTTCGCTTGCATAGCCTTGCTAGAGTGCCGTTTTATTTTTAGTGCAAATTTCTTGTTAAAAAAATGTAGTTTTATACAGCTGATAGACCAACTTATATCCGAACTTTTATAAAAGGTTATTAACTACTTCTTGATTTTGTCAGACAGGCATACCACAGATGCTTTACTGGTTGATTTGCTGGTTCATTCATTCTTGGTTCTAGTGCAAGTTCCTTTTTGAAAGGAAATCATCTATGAACTTCTTTTTAGTGGCTCAGCTGGTGCCGTTAGAGGTGTGCACTGCGAAATTACGGTGTCGGCCCCATGGAAGTGTTATTATCACATATGTTCAGATGGCTTTCCTTCACCAGCGTCAGCAACTCCCTTTCCCCCAAACAGTGTTAAAAGCCACTTTACTACAACACTTGACTTCATATCATGTACATTCGCTCTTTCACATACCTATCCAAGTAAATCAAAAATTTTAGGTGGAGTTGTTGAGAAGTGTGAGTTTTCTGCATTTTGTTTTACGTAGAACATTAATTTATCCAGAGTGGCAGTTCTAGCAGATGGTCACAATCCGTTTTCTGAATCAGGTTTTATTAAATAAATCCAAAGCATCATAGCCGTTTGTCAGAGATGGTCTGCAGAGATGTTAGGAATGAATAGAGATGCTCTACTTTTAAAGATACTGCAATATTAGGGTGCCATTTTCACCTTTTTTAAGTGATGCATTTTGTTTGCAGGTTTATGAAGTTCTTGCAAACTAATATTATACAAGAACATTTTGAGTACACACTCAGGCATGTTTGCAGATGCGGCACATGTATACATATGTTAGGAAATTTTACTTTATCTTCTCTTTAAAGTCTGCCTAATGAAAGACATTCCACTATTATAATACATAATGCTCAGCTTTTCGTAAATATTGAAATGTATTTTGTGTTTATACAGGTATTCACACAGTACTTTGTTCTCTATGATGCAGCCACTATAACATGATGTAAGGCATTGCACTACTTCAATTTTTTTAGTAATAACATGAATTTAATTTGCTTAATAATTTTGAGCACATTTCATAATCTCTTGACAAATTACATTGGGCAAAAAAAGCATTTGTTAATAGTCTCCCCACCGCAAACCCACAAAGCACTGTCATTTTCATTTGGAATGGTGTTCTGTTTTACGATGTGTTTTCAAATTGAGTCTGGAATCTGCAACTCAAGTTCAGCATAATCTGTTGAGCTTTAAAATGTATCTGAAGTAATATTTAAGTAGACATTTAAAATTATGAATTAATGTTTTAAAATTGATGCATAGTAATTTTGCACTGTAAAATAATTCCTCTTTTCCCCTTTCCTGTCTGCCATTCTGAATATGCTTATTAAAGTATTTTTTTAAACAGAATTTCCTATATAATGCTGTGTGAATATTTTCCAGAGATAATGTTCTAAATCAAAAAATATTTCTCTATTTTTGATTCAGACTGTCGATGCAGTGCATGTTGCTTACAGTACAAATACATCTGGTGTGTTTCTTCTACCCCTAAACATGCTGCAGGAAGTTGTGTCTCAGTGCCCTGGTTCCTTTCACCTCATCTTGGGAGATACAGTTTTGTCCCTTTCTCCTCCAAACAGATGCTTCCGTCTCTGCACTGTTTCTCTTCCTCGGAACAGTAGAATTACATTTTATTCCTTTTCAATATATCACAGTGCTATGCAAAAAAAAGTTAAAGCATTCTTTTTGCTCAGTGGCAAATTAAGAGTCCCACTCTAGGTAGTAGAGTAGTGGGTAGTGGTAGTACCCACTTCTAGGGTTTGATCATCCAGCAGGTAAGGTGCTTGCCTTGCATGCACTGCCCTAAGTCAATCCCTGGCACCCCAGATCGTCCCCCAATACCCACCAGGAGTGATCCCTGAGCAGAGAGCGAGAAAATGTCCTGAGAACTGCCCATGGTGGCCCAGAAACAACGCAACAAAAAGATTGGACATTTTGAAGAAGATGGAGTGGGATGGGGCTGGGCAATGTGCACCAGCAAATTGTGTGTTGATAATCTGGGGCTGTGTAACTGTTTCTGTACACTGCTAAATATAAAATCAGAAATACTGAGTTTCCTAATAATTCATTTTCATGAAAAATGCCAGTATGTGTGGAAAATCCAATAATGATGGAAGGAGTAAGAACTTTATGGCATCGGAACGATAGTACAACGGGTAGAGTGTTTGCCTTACACACGGCTGACCTAGGTTCGATATCTGGCATCCCATAAGATCCCCCAAGCACTGCCAGGAGTAATTCCTGAGTACAGAACCAGGAGTAACCCCTGAGCATCACTGGGTGTCACTCAAAAAAAGAAAAAAGACCTTTACTAATTTGGGGCCATTCAGAGCACTGCCAGGAGTGATTCTTGAGTGCAAAGCCAGGAGTGACCCCTGAGCATCGCCGGGTGTGACCCAAAAAGCAAAGAAAAAAATTGCTTTCAAAGTAAATTTGAGCACTTTTTAAAATCGAAAAATTTATACTGGCTACACCCAGCAGTAGGGCTGGAGCGATAGCACAGCGGGTAGGGCGTTTGCCTTGCAAGTGGCCGACCCGGGTTCAATTCCTCCCTCTCAAAGGTACGTCTCAGAGAGACCGGCAAGCTACCAAGAGTATCCTGCCCACACGGCAGGGCCTGGCAAACTCCCCGTGGCGTAATTGATATGCCAAAAACAGTAACAAGTCACAGTGGAGACGTTACTGGTGCCTGCTCAAGCAAATCGATGAACAACAGGAGGACAGTGCTGCACCTGGCAGTGGTGGGGGAACTGTGGTACTGGGGCTCTAACCAGGGCCTGGCACCTGCTCTGCGTGAGCCACAACCCTAGCCCAGATGGATCATGCCTTTCAAGGCCACAGGGCCCATGGACATTGAGGAACTGCCACGTAATCTGAAGTTGAATTCGGATTCTCTAACTTGATACTTTCTCATATTCAAATGTCAGGGGTGACAATTGTTTAGCAGGTTCCCGTACATCTTGTCCAGCAAGTACTTGGGTCTGCAGTTACGCGAGCTACTGGGTGGCCTCCAGGATGTTGTCTGATCTCAAGAAGGCAAGAGCAGGAAAGTGCTGTGATAGGCGCTCAGGACAGAGGACCAAAGGAAACAACCCACCAGCTCGGGAACATGCACTGCCTTGTGTAATTCCAGCAAAATGCAGATTTTCCTCAATCTCAGAAATCTGCAACATGAAGCAGAGTTATTCCTTTAAATGCCTTTCTGTAAGTGAATGGGATTCATTCCCCTTTTTCCCTTCTGTCATATACACACTTGGACCGCTCCATCTGTGTAGTGCTCTCACACCACAGTGGCGCTCACATCACCTCAGTGTATGTCAATGGGGGTCGTAAACACTGATGGTCACACATGCTTGCTGGGAGTGATGCTTCTGACCGAGGTGCTGATACAAGCTGCATTGCTCACAGAATGACAGCCAGAAGTCACTCGCACTGCCAGGCAACTGCAGACCAGAGCATGTGGTGGCATTGGGAATCGAACTTGAGGCTTCATGCCTACAAAGCAGGCGCCATCCATATCCTGCTGTTGCCATGTCCCTCTTGATCTGGCCACAGCTTTGTTGTCATGTGTGGACGCTGTCTATCCACAGGATGAGAACATTGCCACTGTGTCAATCTCAAGGGACTGTTGGCATCTGATGGTCACACTTGGGAGATCTTTGTTCCAGAAGCAGTATTGATAAAGACCCGGCATGGGATCCAAAATCCCTGTGCCTGAGTGTTTCCAATTTTAGGAAGGTAATAGTTTGGGGTGCTTTTGCATGTGAGGGTTGTTGGGCCACAACAGCACTGAGGAGCAACTCCAGGCTTACCTGGGGTTTGCTCCTAGTGGTACTCGGGTCCACGCAGTGCCACGGGATTGAACCTGGACCTCCCACATGCAAAGCCTATGCACTAGCCCTTTGAACCACATTCCCAACTTCAATAATGGTTTTGCTTTTGGTTAATGGTTTTGCTTTTTTGTTTTTAATCCTCTATAAATGACCTAGAAACGATGGTCCACATGTATTTACACAAGTTTCAGCTCAGACACTGCTGCCAAATGAGTTGGGCAATAAACTCCAGGCCGAAGTGATTTTCAGAGCTGTAGACAGAGTTCTCATCCCAAGTCCTCTCCCTTGGCAGTGGGTTCCAGTCGCCTTTATTGTGTAACTGGCAAAGGCCACAAGGAGCCCAGCAGGATCTTTGAAATCTTGAGGCGCCCCTGCCCCGGTGCCCCACATCCTTGTTCTGCAGAGTCCAAGAGCCTGCAAGTGAAGCAGAGGGGCGAGGGGGCCTGGCTGACCCCAGGCAGGGGTGGTCCTTCCAGAGCCCATGCTGTCCTGTTTTCCTGCAGAAAAAACTAAAAGGTCCAAATGCAGAAATGATGCCCTTAACGCCACCACCTTGGCCAAGAATGGTGCGCACCAGCCTCTCCCTCAGGGGCCTGGGTAGTGTAGGTGTTCTTGGAGGGCAGTGAGCCCACCCTGGGTTAGGAAAGGGCCCTCTGGCCCTAAACGGGTATGCTCCTTCAGGATTGATTCCCTGGAACACTTGGGGAAGCAGCATGTTCGTCAAAGGCGTGCTCACGGCTCACAGCAGGGCCATTTAGGCAGATCAAAGAAGCTGACTGCAAATAAAAGCCTGCACCATTTTCAAGGGGAGACTGAGTCACGTACTGCAGGACACTCAGGAACCCCCCTCGGTTATTCTCCATCTGGGGGGAAGAGTGGGACCACTTCGACAAGTGAATGAAGTTTACCCTTTCCCAAGCAGGAGAGAGAGATCATGGGGTCAAAGTACTTGCCTTGCATTCAGCTCACCCGGGTTCAAATTCCAGCCCTACATATGGTCCCCCAAGCGTGATCCCTGAGCACTGCCAAGAGGAAGCTTTGAGCACCGCAGGATGTGGACCCCAAGAACACAAGCAACAATAAAAGAAACCCTTCCTAGTGATCTAGATCTTGTCCACCTTTTATTCCAAAGCGGTAGGGTGTTTGCCTTGCACGCAGCCAACATAGCCGACCCGATTTCGATTCCTCTGCCCCTCTCGGAGAACCCGGCAAGCTACCGAGAGTATCTCGCCCGCACGGCAGAGCCTGGAAAGCTCCCCGTGACGTATTCGATATGCCAAACACAGTAACAACAAAGTCTCCAATGGAGACGTTACTGGGCCCGCTCGAGCAAATCGATGATCAACGGGAGGGCCTTTACTTTATTCCAAATCAGATTTTTGCATTCAGGGAAGATGTGCGTGGTAGGGTTGAAAGCAGTATTGCTTGCAAATAAGGGTCATGGATATGTAAAATTTCATTTTCCCTCTCTCTACAAAAAAAGTGGTATGTGACAAAAACCCAGAGAAAAGCTCTGATATCACTGAGAAAAACACTGTACAGTGATCACATGGATTTTGCAGTGGATTGTGGCAGGCTAGCCTTTGCCCCCACCCCAAAGTCTGAGATTGGCAATTTAAGCTTTGCTTAATACTCTGATGCTGATGATATCCGTGTATCGCATCACACCTGAACGTGGCTTAACACAAATGATGGCACAGGCACCCACGTGCTAAGCCACTACTTGTACAAAAGTCAAATGTTAATAGCACAAAAAGAAACGAAAAAAGCCTAATTCAGTGAAAGCACATAGAAGGTGCTCCGGAAAGAACTGCCTTTTCCTTCTCTGGGTTCCCGCCTTTATTCCCCCACTGGCAGCTTATTGCCACCAGAGGGCGCCATGAGCACAGCTGGAAAAGCAGGTCAACTTTGCCACCACATTCCCGGCAAGGCACTGGCAAATCAGAAAGGCCTCACCACACCCGATCTGCCAGCACCTTGGTGGGTGGACTCTGGAACTGCAATATATGAGTGCGTGCTACTTAAGCTCTCCAGCCATGAGAGTGTTGCCGCAAGCAAAGGGGCCCAAGGCACCCGTGCTCAGCAGTTACAATAGCAAAAGGCAGAAGTACTCTGAGGGCTTATCCACAGACAAGCAAAATGTGCATCCAGAGTATCATTCCGCTTTCAACAATTTTGACACACAACCCTACCTGCACAAGCCTCAGGATGTGAAGGGAAATAAATCTGTCACAAAAGGACAACTCAGGAATGATGTCACTTCTCCCAGGCAGAGCTAGATCACCAAAATTCAGACTTGTTAGGTGATGCTTGTTAGATGCTGCACGGAAGGGAAAATGAGTCGTTCAGTGCATTTGGATCTCACTTTTTGCAAGACGAAAAATTTCTGACTGGACACCAATGGGGATACAGCGAATAGTCCAGAACTTTCCTGTTCTCATAGCTCACGAATGTTCTTCAAGCTTCATTGTACTGACCTGATTAACCCATGGGCTCTTATATTCAAAATATTCAAATTTCCAGCCCATCAAGGTATCAAGGTATTGTTATATGTGCTTGAAAGGCTTGTTAGAAACCACTCAGTTGGCATAAAATGGGTGAAATTAGAGGGTATCTTGGTGGAGGAAGCCTATTCAGAAAAGGGGTAAATACAGAAATGATCTAAGGTTGCAATAAAGGGCCAAAGGGAACCCGACAGAACTGATCCACATAGCTGAGTTGGAGGAAGGAGGTTGAAAGGAAGGCATGCTCAGGGCTTACTCTTGGCTGTGTTTACAGGGCCTCCTCACTGGGCTCAGGGACCACAGGCAATGCGAGAGAATGTACTGGGATCAGCCATATGCAAAGAAAGTACCTTACCCTCTAGTCTCTCTAACCCCTCAAGGCCATTTTTATAAGGAGTTGTTGTGGACATACTGGTGATGGGTGCAGTGTTGGAATTACGAGCATAATATTAACAGCACTGTTAATAAAATCTCAATTTAAAATAAGAGGCTCATTAGGTAAATCATAGCATTACCAGGCATTAGAGACAAAACTGAAATGGTAAAAAATGCTTCCAGAGTTCCCATAGAGGAAGTTACAAGGGTTCTAGGAGCTTGTGCCAGAAACAAGGACAAAGACAAACATTTATTGTAAGTCCCAACATTGTAGCAGCAAATAGTATTTTCTGTGTCACCGAATTTCAATCAACTCCGGCTGCTGTCCTCATACATACGGGAGGACCACTGGCTTTGGGTCACGTGCACTCCGGAAGAACTCAATGCATGTGTTCAGGAAAATGTATTTATTTTGACACCTTTACAAAAATATTTAGGCACATAATCATCCTGTTTATGTCACCTGATTTACATTATTCCAACCTTTAGTACCTTTTAAAAAACACTAAAGGCAAATAGAATCTGTATTGAAAAAATATTGTGATAGGTCACCATTTGTGGTTATTAGCACGAGAAAGAAACATTTATGAACCAAATTATCTCTAAAAACACTTTTGTGAGACAATAAATCTAACCAGTAGATTCTTTAAAAAGGAAAAAAAAGTATTTTCAAAACACAAAGACTAAAAAAAAGCCCAACATCCGAGAACTTCTGCCACCACAAGAAAGTGACAATCTTAACAGTGAGGAGATGGGTTCAGAGGACAGTGATAGTGCTAGAAGCCCATGACACCTTGGCGTGGGGGAAGGCTTCACCGGAGAAGGAATGGGGCCAGTCAAGGAGCTTCCCCAAGTGATCAACAAGGGACATTTTATTTTGTTTGGGGACCACACCCAGTAATGCTCAGGGCTTACTCCTGGTTCTGTGCCTTGGGATCATTCCTGGCAGTGCTTGGGGGAGCACATGCAGTGCCAAAGATCAAACCCAGGAGCCAGATAGTAAGGGCAGCAGGTAGGCGTTTACCATGCACATAGCTGACACGGGTTTGATCCCTGGCATCCTATATAGTCCCCTGGATACCGCCAGTAGTAATTCCTCAGTGCTGAGCCAGGAGTAAGCCCTGGGCATCTAAAAAAGCCAGAAACTTATACCAAAAACAAAGATCAAACTCAGGCTGATGGCATGCAAGGCAAGTACTTTAACCCGTCCTGTCTGGCCCAGTGTGGGGCACTTTTTAACTAAACTGCATTATTAACTTCCTCTAAAGCAGAAAATAATTTTTTCTTCTTTGAAATTTGCCATTAAAATATGAGAATGAATTTTGTTTGTTCTACAAAACCGGTGCAATCTACCTGTATCACAAATGGCGAACCCTAAAATAAGTTGGCACCCCCAAAAAAGACAAACCAAAAAAAAATTAATGATAACTGAACAGAAACTGTTATTTCAACACTTTTGAGACCAGAATGGACGGGTCTGAAGAGCTGAGGAAACACAGACTTTGATCAAGTCTCTAGCCAGTGTCAGGACCCCCACTTCACCCCTGGCCTCCCCAGGAAATAGGCCGTGCCACTGAGCTTATGTGTACTGGGCAATTCTGCACCGTTCCCTCCCGCTTAGGAGGCTCATAAAGAGAAACTGCCTGCACACAGGTGGAGGGAAGCAGGAAACGAGGACGGGATGTAGAACTCCAGTGGCTGGGCACCTCACTCACCATGAATGGACCACAGGGGTCAGGGAAGTGCTCTGAGGATCCAAAGGAGGTTCCTCCAACTCTTTCAAGGGTGGGGCACCCAGAACTGGGGAAGCAAGCACCAACTCTTCGGGCAGTTCTGACACATCTCTGACCTCTCTGCTGAAGCAGCTGGCTCAAGAATTGCACTGTGTGCTTCTGTAGTGTCAGAACTGTTTCCTGGGCTGTAGCACATGCTGGCACCTGACAAGATACTTGGCACCTCGTTGCTCACTCGGGGTGGGGATCATCAGGCCAGGCCAACACCCCCAATCCCGGCATGCTTCCAAAACACCCTGACTGAAACCTTCCATGGATCCTCCACCACGCCAAGCCTGTGTAACGTGAGGGAGCACTTTTAAACTGCATCTATGTGGAAGATGGGTCCTACACAGGGGCAACTCTGGCAGAGTGGCCGTGAGTGCAGCTAACTCAGGGTCTGGAGACCCTCATCACCGAATTCCGCTCTTGGAGCTCTCCCCAGCTGCCTGCAGGAGGGAATGAAGGACTGAATGCTCCACAACCCCGCTCGCTCCAGGAGGTAGCCCAGCGCTCCAAGAGTGTTTGTCTTGTCTGTCAGCTTATCAAACCTGAGGCAGAATCGCCACATACAGGCCATGTCCGGGCACCAGGCAAATCTCGAGTGCACTCTGTCAAGCCTGCCTGTGAGCAACACAAACTCCACGTCTAGCTGGCCTGTCCAATTATGTCTGGGGGGGGGGGGGGAGAACCTGGAAACCAGATACGGGCAGGGCGGGGTCCCTAAGTGGCTCTATTGCTGCCCACCATTGGGCAAACTCGGCAGAGGTCAGGGGCTGACATCATGGCTAACCAGATGCAATTTCCTCAGACAAACTGCAGAGAAGGGCCGGGCCGCAGGCTGCAGGCTGCAGCTCTTCACACACCCGCATCTGAGGCACTCGGACTCAGAAGGGAAGGTCAGCGGGGCCCTTGCTTCTAACCCATTCAGACCTGAAGGTTCTGAGAGTTGAACAAGGGCTGTCGCTGAGTCACACTTGCGACATCTTCCAAATACAATGACGGAGCTTCGTTCTCTATCTTATCTCCAGGTACCAGAGCAAGGCCTGAGCTTGTTTAACTACCTTCAAGGCAGCTCAGTACCCTCAGCACTTAGCACAACACTAGGGAGCCTTTGCCCTATGGAATACACCGAGAGGAGTGAATGGATCAGCTCGAACAAAGGTCTAAAAGCCCACTTCGTCCGCCCCGCCCGTAGCACCATCCTAAGAGAGGGAAAAACAGTTTCCAGAAATGCGCTCTGCTTATCTCCAGTTCTGGGAAACCAAATGAAAATCAATGCACTTCAGTGCCAGGGATCCAATCCAGAGCCTTATGCGTTTGAGGCGCACACTTTACTGCTGACCCACATCCCTCAGGAAAGCCCAGTTTTCAGTGCCAAAGCCAGCAACTTTAGCAAATGCACTGACGATCTCCTCAGGAAGCAAAAGCAACCCTTACAACAGAGGACTGGAGGCAGGTCAGCAGGCTGGAGTGCAGGCCTAGCGTGCAGGAGGCCCAAGTTTGATGGCCAGCACGACACGGTTCCCTGAGCACCACTGGGAGTCGCCTCCTGGCACGGCTGGGTATGGTCCGAAAGCCAGAGAAAGAAAAATGAAAAGAACTTTCAGATACTCGACTGCACTTGGAGCTGAAGGCAGGCTAGAGTGCTTTCAGCAGCAGCTACGATTTGAATGGCAAGGCTCCAGCTGGAGCACTGTTTAATATGCAGCTCTCAGGGATACCTGGATCTTCGATGCTGGAAGAAAAATATTGTCAAAACACTGATGGTTCACTGTCAGCATAGAAGAAAAATAAATTAAAAGGCCAGTACATTTTCCAGTCTGATAAATAATTAATTCAAACGGCACATCTATCATAGAGTCAATTATAACTTTCTCTCATCATAAACGTTTAAAAGGCAGCAGTCAATCCTCAGATTGTACAAGTGCAAAGGAATGGGCTTGTCTTCGCGATCAAGAGCAACGTCCCCGGCTGATCAGACTGCTCCTTTCCCTTTAATGTCCAGCTTGTTACTGGCCTCTGACTGTTTGCTCAGTTGCTCTTCAGAGAAAGTGATGTAGGAGTACACCAAGCTGCCAGCAATGCTGCAAAACAGAAAACCACCATCAAGAAGGAAGGAAGGAGGGAAGGAGGGAAGGAGGGGTATACCAGCACATAAAATTAAAACCCAGTCACTGCTTTCATTCACCAGAGACACTCGTGGCTGCAGGATCACCCATGGCAGCTGGTGCCCCAGGGAAATGAGTGACAACAGACACTGGCCAGCAGGAGGCCTGGTCTGACAAAATCTTTCTGGAAGACAATTTGTTGGAATCAAACACTTTAGAAATCATGCCTGAACTCTGACCTAGCAGTCGACTTCGTGGCTGAACCATGTATATCTTTATGGATTTACTGCAGAGTTTTCCATAAAATTTCTCAGAGCAAAAAATTAAAGGTAAAAGTCCCATAGTAGAGAATTATGTAAATTCACGCAACAGAATACAATGCATCCATTACAATGACATAAGGAGGAAAAGGCAATGATACTGCAAGCAAAAAAAGTAGCACCACAAAATACTAAGTCCTGTCTAATTTTACTTTATCTGAAGGGACACGAATAGACGTCTGTTATGCATCAGGACAATAAATGGTCAGGCTAGAACACACCAAAAATATCAGCACTTTCAAAGCTCTGTGACATAGGAAAAGTCACTTCACCTCTTGATGCCTTCATTCCCTCCCTCACGTGTGAGGCAATTACGACACCAAAGGAGACAGAATGAGGTGAGAATGAAACTGTAATTTGATTATATAACAATGTGCTACTACATATGATTATATGCTGAACCACATAATTCAATTACAAATCTTAGTTAGAAAACAAAACATATATAATACACAATTTGTACTAAGATCGCTTCAAAGGCAATCATCCATTAGGGGTAAAAGTGAAAACGAACAAAGTACAGCAGGAGTAAGTACCGCCAGAAAGGAAAAGGGCAAAAGGGCAGTTGGCAGTGGCCTCTACTCATCAAGATTGCTCATGCCCCCCGGAATCACCTGGGTCAGTGAGACCCCGGCCAGTCTCACTGCACTGTGGCTGTGAACCTGCTCCGTGTGGGCTGCCCACTCTTCCACTGATAAAGGCCTGCACACACGGGTAACCCTCCCGCCCCAACTGTCTTACCAGTCATGCCACAGACTCTACTGGGGCCCTTCCCAGCTCCCCTCCAACACCAGGACATCCCACTTCGAGCTGCGGCTGCCTGAGACCCTTCTCTCTCCACTTCTCCCAAGTCCTACCTATGAGCCAACGCTGACCTATGTGCCTTACTCTACCACTCCCAGTGAGCTTAGTTCCTGAACCAATTACGCTGTGGATGCTGGCCCAGTGTGGATTCTGGTGACACTCTGTAACACTGTGTGATGACAGCTGCTGAAGCTCTTTTGAGAAAACACAAAGAGCCCAGTCATTGCTCCTATGACCATCATACAAATGCCCAACGTTCTCCTAAATGTGGTGTTTAGTATATAAACCAGAGGTTCCCAAAATATTTGGCCTACTGACCCTTTCCAGGAAAAAAGGCATTCAATGCCCTCTGGACATGTGCCTTCCAGTGAATAAATGAAAAGCACCTTCCAACTGCACCCAAGGATGCTATCTACCCACCCCTATGTCACCCACTTGGGAAATGCTGACAGAAAGGAAAGCTAGTGCTGTTAGCACAATCCTGTCTGGCTTCCTCTCCTTTGGTCACCTCAGTACAGTGGCCGGAGAGATCCTACCAAACCAGTCAAATCACTCCTTCAGTCCAAGTTCTCCAAGGCCGTGCTACACCTTTAGTGGTCCCTGACCTGCCTCTCATGTTCTCCAGGCCACTCCAGCCACACTGGTTTCTTCAGCATTTCTTGAACACACCAAGCACACTCACACTCTCGTCCACTCTTCCCTCCAGAAACCAGTGTGGCCAATCGCCCTGCTGACCCTCCTCCCTCCTCAGTGCATGGCCCTTCCCTGCTTTATCTGACCTGAAACTGTCCCCGGGAAACAGTGCCAGTGGGTGTTGTTCTTCATCTGGTCATCTCTGCTAGGAGGACCCCCCCACCTCCCACTCCCCCCGCCATGAGGACAGGGATCCATGAGGACAGGGATGACTGTGATCAGTTTTGGTCACAGTTCTATTCCATGGTTAGTCTGGCTCTGCAGGCTCTGAGCAGCCACTTTTATCTTTATGAAATGGGCTCACGAGCGCTGACCCTTGGCCTCTCTGCCAGTGGAAAGGGAAGGAAAAACAAATCAGCGGGAAAATAGGAGGGCAGCAGAGAGAGACTCTGGAAATGCTGAGACAGAGAGGGGCCTTTGTCATCTCACCCCAAATGCTTCAGGGTTAGAACCTCAGTTCTACTTGTCACCTAGGTAGCTGTGTGACCTCAGGCAAGTTATTTTCCCTCTCTGAGTCTCAGCTTCACTATGTGAACTGGAGTTCCACTGATTAAATGAGCTGACCAGGTAAAGACGGCCTTCCTCAACAACCATGAACTCCAACCAGCACACTGCCTGCAAATAATGCTTGACTAGAAGGTCACATGTCACCCCTTCTTACGAAGCATTATCTGAAGATACTGAATATCCCATACATTCAAGGTACTCAAGAATGTGCCATTTAGTAAACATGCCCAACCTTACTGTAATATTAACGAGTATGAAAATCCCACCTGTCTAGGCTGTTGCTTTTTCGAAGTTTTACTTACCTGATATTTAAGCCAATGAAGTTTGTCCATGTGAAAATATAATCTCCACCGAAGACCATTCCAATATAAGTTATTAATATATTCTAAAGAAAAAGGAGATACAGTTACAGAGGTTTAACTGAGCATTTGAACCATTAATACTGTGGACCAAACATCTATAAAAACCAAGAGGCAATGACAAAATCCTAAATAGTATAATCTGAATAATAAGAAAACAACAAAGAACTTTTACAAATCTGTTCAGCTTTCATGAAATCTATGCTTTCACCAATACTAAAGAACACAAAATGAGAACATCAAACAAATATTCCCCATCCCGCAGTACAAGCTGACACCATACATCTAAACAGAGAAACACTGGCATCACTGGGGGGCAGAAAGCTTAAAAGCACACTTGGCAATCTTAGAAAAGGATGCTTTCCCTCTCACCGAGATCGTTGGCTGGCTTGTGAGGGGAGGGAGGAGAAAAATATGCTTAAATGCAAGCATGATTTTCTTTTATTTGGGGAAAAAAAAAGCGGGGTGGTAGGCAGTTTACTCACATCACGACTATTAAGAGGCACCATCCCTAGCATCTTAAAAATACATGGTGGCGGGGCTGGAGCGACAGCACAGTGGGTTGGGCGTTTGCCTTGCATGCGGCCAACCCAGGTTCGATTCCCAGTATCCCATATGGTTCCCGAGCACTGCCAGGAGCAATTCCTAAGTGCACAACCAGGAGTACCCCTGAGCATCGCCGGGTGTGACCCAAAAAGCAAACCTCCCCCCTGCCAAAAAAAAAAGAAAACATGGTGGTGTAGGGGAAGGGCACTAGCTCAGAAGTAATGGTGCCCACTCTACAAGTTCAAGGCTGTGAATTCACACCACAGGGCCTCTGCATACCCTGAGCATTGCACCAACGTGTCTGTTTGTGTGTGGCAGCGATTTCCGGCCACGCCCAGTAAGGTGTTTGTGAACACAAACGCAGCATGTGGTGCCACAGCATGAACGCCTGCCCAACACTCGCACCACAAGGACCCCTAGTGGCACTATGACCCATAAATACGCAAGTACCACAACAAAAGGAGAGTGATTCCCCAGTGCGCATGACCATCGTATGTGTGTGTGTCTCCCAGGGTCCTGGCAAGGCAATAGGGAAGAGGAAGAGGGCAGAAGCACAGGAAATCATCTCCAAGTAGAGTTCCCCAGGGCCCCTGAGAGTCTGGTGGGCGCACCTGCTTCTCTGAAGCAGCTTCTTCCAACCACAATCTTAGGAAGTTTAAAATATTCCATTTCCCCCCAACCTCCCATTTTTCACATCCCAGAGGCACGGCCTCCCTCTCTGCTATCCGCAGCCGGAAGCAGTAAATGTCATACATATTTTTAGTACCTGGTCATAGTATTTTTAGCATCTGGGTTTTCCTAAATTAGCCCTATGGTGTAGGAAGTAAAACACCACAGTGGCTTTTTTCTCATCTTTTGGTTTTGCGGCCACATGGGGTTGACTCTCGGCTCTGTGCTCAGGGATTATCCTGGTGGGGCCACGTGCCATGTAAGCGCCCCACCCACTGCACTACTGTTCCTGCCCTGCCAAAGTTTTTGTTTGTTTTTGTTTTGCTTTTCGGGTCACACATGGAGATGCTCAGGGGTTACTCCTGGCTCTCTACTCAGGAATTACTCCTGGTGGTACTCAGGGGACCGTGTAAGATGCTGAGGATTGAACCTGGGTCGGCTGCATCCAAGGCAAATGCCCTACCCACTATACTATTGCTCTGTCCTCCCAAAGTGTTTTCAAAAGGCCTAAACACACCACCAGATGGCCTGGAGAATGAGAGGAGGGTCAGATAGGTGATGGGCCAATTAAGATGCAGGAAGGCCTTGGAGAACTGAGAATGGAGGAATGTCATGGCTTGATCTGTTTGAACAGATCTCTCTGGTCACTGTGCTGAGATTCCACAGAAGAGGTGGAGGCAGGACAGGAATAGGCTAACAGCAGTTGTTTTCATTTAGATCAGAGCTTCTTAGAATGGGCAATACTGTCCCCCAGCCTTCTCCAGGTGCTGGAATGGTGGGGGGTCAGCTGGGGTGTCGTGTGTTCAGTTGGGGGAGACGGGACAGATGCTTTCTGTTTCTTTTAAAGATGGCAGTAAAACTGATCAATCCCTTTAAAATGATTAGGATGCTAAAATTCTTGGACTTTTGTAAAAAGGAAATATCAAAAGTACTGGACTTAATGTGAACTAGTGCATAAGACCATACTTACACCTTATTCAAATAATGATAAAGAAGGTACACAAATAAAATGTACTATCATAAAATTAATCAGTTTTCCTCGACCATTTTTCTCCATGACATAAAACATGGTACCAACTGCCCTTCCTCTAATGTTCAAGTTTATATAATTTTGAAAATGCGATCCTCCACTTTGATCCTGAACCATTCTTTTAAAAAAAAAGAACAAAACACAGTAGTAGAGCACATGCGTCATGTGGGTGAGATCTTGGGTTTGATCCTCAGCACTGCACTCAAATAAAAAAATTAAAACCGAAGACCAAAATGGGATCGTGAGCTATTTTGGGCCGTTAAAACGGTCTCAGTTTGCTCAGGCCCTTGAATGCAGACTGACTGTTGCTGGCTTTCAGAATTCACGGGACTGACTCACTGCAGCTTTACTTGGAATTGGATTCACACAGAAACACTCCAGTTCTACGATCGGATGCCACAGACCTGCTGCTGTTTTTTAATTTCTGTTTCTAAAATGAGGTCCGGTGGGCGGCACTCCTTTGTGGGCAGAGGAAAACACTCTGCAGCCCTCCCCTGCCCGCTGGCAAACAGGGCAGCAAAGAGAAAGTCACAGACTCCATGACCTTTCCCAGGTGCCAGGCCCCACAGGTCTCTCTGTCTTACCTGCTACAGAAAGCAAACCTAACTCTGCAGGAATTCCAGCTGCCGTGCCCTCTCGGCACGGAACCACAAAGTCAGATGGAAGGCCTCAGGTTTGAAATGACTAAATTTAGCTCAATGGTGAAGGCCACTTGGCTCTCCAGGCTGAAGAAAAATCATGAGTTGCATGGGGAGGAGTGGTATCACTGGGTACGTCAGATACAACTTTGAAAAGGGGATTGTTTAAGGTTTGGCTCAAGCATAGGAAAACTTCCTTTGATTCGCTTCTGGCGGGCCTTCTCTCCCTCTGAAACTGCCAGGACTCAGGGAGGCAGAGAATAGAACAACACTTGCTAGCGGTTACAGGTGCAGGCCTGTCACTGAGCAGCTAGTCTCCCGCCCTGTCAGAAACAGGTCGAACTCTTCCTCCTCTCTGCAAGAGAACACGTTCCCTCTTCCCCACACCCTCAGAAGTACGTTATCTGAAAGGAGAAACTGTGCCTTCCTTGAGTTCTTAAAGACTGTTTCAGGGGGCTGAGAGATAATACAGTGGGTAAGGCATTTGTTTCAGAAACCACTGACACAATTTGTCCACCATATAAGTCAGTGTCAGGAAAAAAGGGCAAGTGGGCTTACGGCCATAGATTCCTATTGGAGGAGTAATTTGCGAATAAATGGTGACCAAATAATACACACAGAAGTACAGAAGTATATATGTGTGTGCGTGTGTGCAGAAAGTAACATTTTTCAACTCACCTTAATACAGCCAACTATTGTAGTTGTAAGAGCAGAATTATACTGAGTGCAGAGTACTGTGGCGTACATCAAGATAAACCTAAAATGAAGAAGAGGAATGTTCTTTTTCTAACGTATCGCCCATGGTCCTGAAGCGTGCCACTTCTCTGCCACCCCATGGCCCCACACCCCGAAGCACACCAACACCACCAACTGGCAGCAGTATAGGTGAGATCTAGTCACCTACTTATAACAATCTCTAGTCAAGAGAAACAAGCAGTGCTCGTCATGCAGCACACCCTAGTCTGCTAAGTGGACTTCCATCCTGCCACTGTACAATCGTCAAGTACAGTACAGCTCCAGAGAGCTGTGTTAAAGAGATGAACCCCCACATGCGTCAGGAGCTTGCCCCAGCAAATGTGATGACCACGAATGCTCTTTAGATGCTGTAATCCCAACTAGTTCACCAAACTCAGACAGAGCCCAGAGGCCACAGGCCTTAGTTCTGGGGTGCACCTTCCAAGAGGACAATGACCTCAGAACCAAGAGAAAGAAGACCCTTCAGGAGGGAAAAACTGAAGCAGAATGACTTTAAAAGGGAGAATGGCCCGCTAGCAATGCTGAGGCAGGGGTGGAACCTGCAGATTCCACTGAGACTTCTGAGCCAGACTTGGCACTAAGGCCCCATGTGCTTGGCTCGAAGTTCCCATTTACCACATTCCAAACCACATCGCATCCAAAGGCTGCCACTGCCTCACCAACTGTGCTAACTTAGACACTTCACTTGAGTTCTAAGTCCAGTTTCTCATCAGAAGGGGCACCTTTAGTGGGATGTGCTGGCTGCATAGCAGATTGTCACTGGAGCCCTGAGCATTTCTTCTCCCCGTCCTTCTAAGGAGACCTCTGAAGGAAGTGAGTGATCCTGGGGTCGACTCCCCAGAGATGTGAAATCACTGAATCTAGACGTTTGACAATCTTAAGCTGATGCAGTTTAAGGAGAGACTTACTCTAGGAAAAGCATATGCTCACAAGGTAGCAAAGGCTTACCCCATCACACAGGAGAGGGTGAACTGCAGAAGAAAGAGGGTATCGGCCCAGCCTTCAAAATCCATTGCCTGCAACACAAGAGAAAGCATCCATTTTTACAGTGGACCCTCAAAATCATCTGCCACATTCATCAAACAAAATCCATCTATATGCCTGCTTCTATCACACACAAAAACATAAACATCTGGGCAGGAGCGATAGTACGGTGGATAGGGCAATTGCCTTGCATGTGGCTGACTGTGTTAAATCTCCAGCACCCCTTATGATCCCCCAAGCCCACCAGGAGGGTTCCCTGAGTGCAGAGCTATGAGAAAGCCCTGAGCACTGTCGGGTGTGGCCCCAAAACAAACCAAAAAATATACACATCTAGTTATATTCAAGTAGAATGATTCTCCCCGCCCCTCCACAAAAAAAAAAAAAATCATATAAATTGATGAACCAAATGATCAGTTTTAGCAGTTTCCTCTTTTTTCAAAACATAATGTGAGGGCTGGGGATGAAGCTCAGACGTAGAGTACTTGCACTTATTTGGACCTGGGCTCAAACTCCTAGCACCACAAAAAACTAATGTATTGTGACAGAGACTGAACTTACCTGTGTTAGTACAAAGAAACTACTAATTGCTTAAAGGCACGAGGTACATCCAGCCATTTCTCCCAGATGGCTTTCCCAAATATTAATGTGTATTCAGCACAGGTTTTCTCAGGAAGATTTCTCCTCATCCTTTCCTTCTCTTCCCTCCACTTCCCTCCCTTCCCCTCCCCTTCCCTGACCTCTCCTCCCCTCCTCTCCCCTCCCCTCCTCGTGGGGAAGTTAAACAGTCAAGGGCCAGGGTCAAAAGCTACCCACCTGTCCCCTCTGCACCACCTGTCACCATTTGCCACAACTCTGCTGCCGTATCTTCCCCCTACTCCCAGCCCAGACAAGAAGTTAAAAACCAGATTATCTTTCACAAGTCTCTGCCACCTATGTAAAACCTGTATTTTAAAGTTTTGCACTGCAGCAGATCAATAAGAGTCATTTACTCTTGTTCTAAAAAGGGATAGCATCAAAAGGAAGGTTAAAAACGATTCATTTGTCAAACAACAGGCATGAAGAAGGATCTAAACATTTAACTATAAAAGCGTAATTGATCCAGCTCACAGGTTTAACAAATGAGGACAACAAAGGCCCAGAAAGCAGAAGGAATGTGTCTCTATGTCGAGAATAAGTCAGGGTCTGAGAATCAGTCCGTCTGGTTGACAGAGTAACCCAGAAAAGATAAGCAATTTTGGAAAGGCTAAACAGCGTGATGAATAAAAATTATTATTTTTTGTCTTCATTACTTAGTCAGCAGTACTTATAGTAAGAGAAACCTCCAGGTAGATGGTCTGTGCAGCAACTTTTCCTGTAAAATTCTTCTGAGCCATGCAATCTAACCAGTGATATACTGAAGAAATTACACCATGTGCCAGCATCACAGCCCAGTTTTCCCTCCCCGTGAGCATACCTGTCAAAGAGCCTGACTGCACCTCCTGGGACTCTCAGTCACCGGCCCTGTGTTGCAAACATTCCCTGTTTTAAGGCAGCAACTAGCAAGTCTAAACACAGTATCCTGACACTTTGAAAAGTCATCAATCAAGTGATGCCTGTTTCACCTTTCCCTGGATTAAGGAGCTATCTTCAATTACCAGTAAACTCACTCTGCACAACAGAAGAGTGTTTTCTTCTTGGGCCGTCAATTCCGGATTCAAGTCTATGCCAGTCCCTTCTCTGCTCCTGCCTCTCTGGGAAGCTAACCATTCAGAGCTCTCCTATTTAAGGTCTAGCCTAACAGAAAATTCCCATTTCTCTGCCTCCTTAGCTTAGCACTAGAATTTAAAGATTAAAAAAATTTAAAAAACCTCGGCTCCAATTTTGCTTCAGTTTATACCCTAAATGTAAGTCTGAATCACTAGAGCAAATCAATCTGTCCCATGTCCCCAGCGGTTTCTATTTTTTAGGGTCTGGTGCTAAGGATTGAACCCAGGGTCTCACAGATGCAAGGTATGTCCAAGCTCTCTCCCAGTTACTTTTAAATTTTAGATTCATCACAGGAAAGCCATTATTTGTAGAAAAACTTCATCTTTTTTGTTTTTCTTACAGAGTATCGCCTAAAATAAAAATCACAAAATATTTAAAAAATTAACAGTGGAAAAGTCTCCCTCTACTCCTACGCCCATTCACTGTCTTTCAAACAAACTGGTGGTTACTTTATTAGTTCCATCTATATAGTTTCCATGGTTTCTTAAATAATATATGAATTAAGCATATGTAAACATACATATGTAAATTGTGTTTTTCCCTTTCTTCACTCAAAGGTAGAATATTACAAGCACTGTCTCACACCACACCTTTTCCATTTAGTAACTGACATGCACAGGTGGCCCTTGAACAATGCAGGGGAGGGGGCTCTGACTCTTGGCACCGGCTGACAACCAACCGAGTGTGGGTCTGCCCTCCAGACACTTGGGCTCTCATGTTCTCAGATCTACCAACATCTGCAAAATTTCTCAACTGTGGACCCCAGGTCTAGAAAAAATCCGTATGTTCAAACCTAGGTTGTTCAAGGGTCAACTGTATTTTTCCCTAAAGCATTCTTTATCATAAGAACAAGTTAACACCATGTTTTTTCATTGGACAACTTATCTTGGGATCTCTTCATTCAATTCATAGAGAACATGCTTGCAAAACAGCTCTGGGTTAGGAGAGCCAAAGGTGCAACAGATGACATCAGTGTGTTAATATCATGAGATCAGGAAACAGTGAGCTCAAGTGAACTGTGATCACCCCAAGCTCAGAGCTCTCAGAAAGAGCCTCGGGCCAGTCCCTTCTCTGCTTCTGCCTCTCTGGGAAGCTGACCTTTCAGAGCCCTCCTATTTAAGGTCTAGCCTAACAGAAAATTCTCATTTCTCTGCCTCCTTAGCTTAGCACTAGAATTTGAAGAATATTAAAAAAAAAAAAAAAGAGCTCAGCTCCAATTTTGCTTCAGTTTATAACCTAAAAGTCTGTAAGTCTGAAAGAACCCCCATCTAGAAAACCAATCACCGGGCAGATCCAACCGACCCAAGTTACACCGAACACAGAACAAGGCAAGAATCCTACTCACTGTACCATCTCCAGAGTTCCTAATTAAAATTTTCTGAACATAAAATGTTCCTTGGGAACAAAGCTGGCACTTCCATGTCATCTTTAGACCCAGTTCTTCCCTGGACCTGAATCACTCCTTCCACAGGGCCACACCAACTGGTCTGTTAATGTACTCAGCCCTGAATCTGCTCACACTTCGGTTTTCCCAAACCCTCTTACCCACAAAAGCACTTCCCAGTCACTCTTCTTTTCTTCCCATACAATTTCTATTTGGTTTATCTCACCCCCACTGAAGCCCAAGTGCTCTGAAATATGAGGCATGTCTTTTTAAAACTTTCTTATATGTAATAATAACTCACATGACAAATATTCACCAAATTTAAAAATATATACGTATGCATAAAGATATGATACATTGGTAAATAAATTAAGTAACATATGCCAAGTTGCAAAGACTCCACTTAATAGCTAACTCTGAATTCCTGGGAGTCCCAAACAGGAAAGAGAAATAAGTCAGGGAGGCAGCAAAGGACAGTGGGGACAGATGTAGTGAGGCAAACCCAGGCACCTGGGGTTAGAAAGACTTGCCGGAGTTCTCGCCTCTGCCATGTGTAGTCTAACGCATGTTCTTTACCCCTAGTCAGGTCATAGTCCACTTGACTGTGCCCAGAGAGCACCAGGGAGAATGATTACTCTAGGTGCACTTCTCAGGAATATGCTTAAATTCTTGCTCTAGGAAGAGCTTTATTTAGAGTCAGGGCTCAGGATGTGGCTCAGTGGCACAGCACACACAAAGCAGTGTGAAGCCCTGAGTTCAACCCCTGGCACCATATACACACACCAAAACAAGATACACTGTCAATGGCCGCACAAAAATGTTCATTCTTTGAGAAAATATATGTAGGTAGACATACTTTGTCCATGCAGATATATGTATAAACTTTATCAGTATCTTTAATGTTTTGACGACAAGCATATCTTTAAAGGGTCAACGGTGACAATGAACTTGGGTTATTGGCAAACTCTTAGCTGAAACCCTACCACACAGCCCTGCTCACCAGCGGCCAGGAAAATGAATTGACGGGGAAAGAAACCATCTACAATCTCTTGTACTATGAGTCTCTTGAGCACGTGAGTCATCTATGGCTTCCACTCGGGTGTCCTATACTAGCTGATAAAAGGAACCACTTCATCCCCAGCCCTCTGCCTCCCTAAGCTCTCTCAGCAATAACCTCCAGAACAGGTCGGCACTTCTTACTGCAGTTGGTGAATAAGGAAACCAAGCCCTGGCCCAGCGATGCAGCTCAGGGGCGGAGAGCCTACCCTGCATTACAAGCTGAGATGTCTCAACTTAGATCCCCGACAACACCTCACTCTCAGCCTCAACCAGAACACTGCAATCAAGTGTGTGTGACTCGGGAAGGGGCAGGAAAAGAAAAATAAAACACAAACCCAAGTTCTAGCTCTTCTACAAAGAAAATTCCTCTTCAGAACTATGCCAAGAGTGATCCCTGAGTACAGAGGCAGATACACAGTGCAGAGCCAGGTATTTCCTAAAGTCAGCCCCCACCCCACGCCACCCCCCAGAAAAGAAAAGAAAAAATTTAAAAAAAGAATCCTGATCAAGAAAAAGAGACAGAGACTGAAAGAATCCTGACATTCAAACATACCCAGTTCTTCCTAATCTGAGCATTTACAGTTCTAGCTGACAGATGTCCCCTTAGATGCTAAATCTCCAATCATCTCCAAAATTTTTCAAAGACCACACCATAGTTCTCACATATTCTCAAGAGAACTCAGCACAGGGCTTCCTTAGTACAAGGACAATTAACATGAACTATTAATAAGAACTAAAGTTCAAATGAAAGTGTAGTGAACCGACTCAGAGCATACAAAGAATTTAGGAACAAAGCAAAACTTTTTTTTCAAAAAACTCTCCCTAACTTTCCAATTTAATCCAACTCACACTCTACTAAGACATCATTGATCATTCATATTATATCTTGTTAGTTCCACAAAGCAGTCCATCTCCAAGGAGACAGAAATTAGCCACTTGCATTTCCATCTCAAATGTTATTTCCTGGACTGAGGAGATAGTACAGTGGGTAGAGTGCTTGCCTTGCAAGCTGCCGCCCTGGGTTTGATTCCCAGCATGGTATTATGAGCCCACCAGGAATGATTCCTGAGCGCACAGCCAGGAGTAACTCCTGAGCACTGCCAAGTCGGCCTGCTCTCCCATACCCACCACCAAATATTATCTCTCAAAGAACCTACACTTTATGACTTTTATTGACAGATCTGCTCCCTAAGTTGGTTATAAAGCTCTCAAAGAGAAGACGACCACCACCTAACTGATCGTCAGTTTTACAATCACTGGAGTCTAGTTGTGGAAAACACAAAAGAGCACTTAATCATTAGGGGAGGGAGTTAAGAGGAAAAGCATGTTGAGGGGAAGAGTGTTTAGAAAGAGTGTTTAGAAAAAGTGTAACAGTCAGCCAGTGGGTCCAGCTATATCCTAATAAAAGTTTTATAAAAAAACAACATTAATGAACAATAAATTAGGATGAACAAATGTATGTGAAATCCAAAATAAAAACAATTGAGTTCAGCTTCCGTAATTTTCACCTAACTTGAAAGTACTTCAAGTGAAAATACTTAGACAAACTCTTTCTTCTTTTTTTTTGAATTGAGTCACTGTAAGACCCTAACAAAGCTGTTCATGATTAGGTTTCAGTCATACAGTGTTCCCACACCCATCCCTCCACCAGTGTACATTTCCCAGCACCAGTGTCCCAATTCCCTCCCATCATAGCCCCCATCTCTATGGCAGGAACTTTTCTTCACTATCTTTCTCTCCCCTCACACCACCACCCCCCCCCCCCCGCCCTCGCCTTTTCTCTCTTTTTCGCCTCCGCTCCCTCTCTCCTTTTGGGCATTGGGTTTTGCAATACAGATACTGAAAGGTTATCTGGCATATGGTATATCCCTTTACTTACTTTAAACATTCAGTTCTTGTGCAGCGTGATCATTTCCAGCTATCATTGTCATCCCAGTTCCTTCTCTGTCTTACCTACCCTCTACCCCCCACACACTTGTGATTGATTCCAACCATAACTAGTCGTCCGAGACCGTTTTCCCTAACCATGGATATCAGTCTTGTACTGCATGTATTTTTCATAAACCACAAATGAATGCAGTCATTCTGTATCTGTCCCTCTCTGACTCAATTCACTAGCATGGTACTCTCCAAGTTCATCCATCTATAGGCAAATTTCATGACTTCATTTTCCTAACAGCGGCACAGTATTCCACTGTGTCGATGTGCCATAGTTTCTTTATCCATTTGTCTGTTCTCAGGCACCCTGGTTAACTCTGTCATTCTAAATACACAATTCACCCAAAATAAATCTTTCTTGCTCTCCGCTTGGCATTTTAGAAATAATTGTATGGCATGACATAGGTGCTGGCTAATGCTACAATGGCAATCATATTCAATTACAAATGAATCATATCAATATATATACCTCAATCTTATATGTTAAATTTTTTGGAAAAAAAAAGACAAAAAGCTGAAACATCACTGCTGTGCTGGGAGAGAACTGGTCATTCTGCATTATGTTCTTGCCTCATAGCTAAAGAGAAGCAGAACACTAGGCAAAGATCATGGTCTTTGAGTCCAGACTTTCTATGCACCAACCTTGAGCAAGTTACTCAGTCTCTCAAAATTCTACTTCAACAGAGTTAAAATAGGAATAAATCCTATCTTACAGCCCTTCAGAGTCTATATTACATATACAGACTAGCATATTATAGGGATGCAATAAATGTTTTTCTTGACAATTTTTCACAACCATGAAATACATATTCAACACTTCATTAGAGCAAATGGACAGCTTCCCATTTCCATTTCTGAAATGAGGTCAGAGTTCATCAAAATATTTATACATGGTGAAAAGTATCTGTGCTGGTTTTTAAATTCAAGAGTTCTTGATAATAAAAACAAGTTTTACAAGCAGTCTCCTATAGTCAGAAACATTTTTGAAACTGCCTTCAAAAACTTATTTCATTATGCAATTTGCTGCAACACTGCTGGAAATGGAAGATATCACGTTGAGTGAAGTAAGCCAGAAGAAAGAAAAACACAGAATGATCTCATTTATCTGTGGTATATAGAATGCTGGATGAGGAAATACTGAATGAGGAATTGTAGTGTAGGAAAGGGGGATGCTTAGAACACCCTTGACCCCAGTATTTAGAGAGGAGGAAGACAGTGGAGGAAAGAAATCCAGGGGGGGGTAGAAAAAAAAGGAAGTAATAGGTAAACAGGCAACAGGGCTTTGGTTACACTGGTGATGTGGGTGAGTGGTATAACGATATATCCAAAACAGACTCAACAACATGGAAAACATGAGATCTAAGCTGCAACCACTGGAATTTTGTAATGTGCCTGCAAAGCTGACAGGCAGGGATGGGGAAGAGGTTGAGATTGGAATGTGGGAAAACCGGTGAAGGGAGGTTGACACTGGTGGTGGGATTGCTGCTGAATGCTCTATGCCTAAATCTCAACTATCAATGACTTTGTAAAATTACAGTTCTCTGATTACAAAAATAAAAGGAAAAACACTTATTTTAACTCCTACTGACTATGGAAAACATTGCTACAATTGGAATAAGACATTTATTTAAAAAGAAACTACCTGCCAGAGAATCATGAGAAGGAACCCTTTTTATTTTTTCTTTGGGGGGTGCACACCTGGAGATGTACAAGAATATTCCCAGCTCTGTACTCAGGAGTGGACCCTGGCACTACTCATAAGCAGTACCTGGAGTGCAATCAGGGTCTGCCATGTATACAGCAAGCATCTTAATTCTTATTTTTTTAATCAGTCTAATTTTTATTTTTATTTATTTTTAAGTTTTGAATTTTTTAATTAATCGCCGTGAGGTAGTTACAAACTTACAAACCTCCGTGCTTATGTTTCAGTCATACAATGATCGAGTACCCACCTCCATGAATGCTCATTCTCCACCCCCAATGTTCCCAGTATCCCTCCCACCCACCTCCCCCCCACCACCCCCCACCTGTGGCAGGCACATTCTCTTTTACTCTCTCTCTCCTTTTGGGTGTTGTGGTTTACAATATAGGTATTAAGTGGTCATCGTGTTCAGTCTATAGTCTACTTTCAGCAAGGCATCTTAACTCTTGTACTCTCTTTCCAGTCCTAAAAATTGAAATTCTTGTCAGAACATTAGATTTCTATTTAGTTTAAAATTTTGACGGACTAAAGAAATAGTATACTGGGTAAGGCACTTCCCTTACATGTGGCTGGCCTGGGTTCAATCCCCAACATCATATATGGTCCCCTGAGTGATGCCAGGAGTGATACTTAAGCACTTAGCCAAAAGTCAGTCCAGAGCACAGATGGGTTTGGTCCCAAATCCAAACTAAATCAATATAACTTTTGACAATTTCTACAAAATATTCATTTTCCTCCTAAATATGAGCTTACTCTGCAACCATATTCTAGATTTACTTAGTTAAACATTTGCAGAAAAATGAACTATTTTATGAGTTTCGGTGGCCGCCCACCTACGAGATGCTTCGTCAAAACCCTGAACAAAAGGTTTGAGGTTCTTAGTGTTCCTGGAGCGAGCAGATGACATCAGGCTACACTAGCACACACCAGGGACAAATGGAGATGTTACTGGCGCCCACTTGAGCAAATCGAAGGTCAACAGGGGTGACAAGTGATACAAGTGATTTATGAGTTTCTATCTATATGGTTAGATCACCACATAGTGCTAAGTTTCTTTCTGAGGAAAGAAACTAGCTTGGGATTTATACCAGGAAGACAATTTCAACAGAAAAAAAACAGCTTTCTGGAGATGGCTTGTTTTGTTTCTCAGGGAAGACCATGTTCCTACTCACATTTTGTCATTTAGAAGAAACATCAAAATTTCTTTCCTCTAGCATGTAAGAGTAGGATACTAGTTAGCATGCGCTATTTTTATGTGACAGTAAGTCTATTTTAAGCCATTTTAATCCTAACTGGTTCTTTGGCCAAGAAAAAGGTTAGTATGACACTGGCAAGCTAAAAAGCAAAGTCTCCGTTTTTGCTCACTTAATAAGCACATTTCTTTTTCAACAACCCCAAGTCTATCTTCTGTTATAAATAACAATACAATTCAAAAATACGAGCCATTAAACCACACTGGGAAAGTCTACCTTTTGTGCATCTCCTGTAAAATATGCAATGGCCAGGGTGGGCAGAATCATGAACAGTGCATTATAATAGAGCAGACCGTATTTTCCCAGCTCCTAGAAGAGAAAATAATTAGATGTTTTATTGCTTTTAGCAGACAGAGACAATCTGGTACAGAGTACACCTCCCTTTAAATGTAACTCCCCCATATCCACGGAGCAAACTAGTCATTAGAAGTTTGGCAAATGTTAAGAAATACCCTAGAAAGATATACCCAAAAACCAAGAAAGAAAATTCTAAGATTTGCAATTTATCTGAAATAGATGGAGCTGGAGCAACAGGACAGCCAGCAGGGCACTTGTGTTGCACACTGCCAACCGAGGTTCAATCCACAGCAGCCGTTTGGTCCCCCTAAGACCCACCAGAAGAGATCCCTGAGGGCAGAGCCAGGAGCAAACCCTCAACACCACTAGGTGTGGTCCCAAAACCAAAATAAAATTTATCTGAAACAGATGACAGGAGTAAGTTGGGAAGACATCAGTTTGAGCACTATGAAAACTCCTATGTACAGAAATATTTCTTTTCTCTTTCCGAAAATGAAATAAGCAAACCGTTTTTTCAGAACCACAACACAACACCATTTACCGTATAAACGGTTAGATCCAGACACGGATCTAGACCAACTGAGATGCAAATTTCCAGGTAAGTAATTCTGTGTATGTGAAGTGCAATAAAAACTGAAGTCCCTAGAGAGATGGCTCCAAGAGGCGCAGCACACGCCTGGTATGCTCAAGCGCTGGTTCCTTTCCCAGCAGCACCAGAAACACACCCTAAGCCAGGAGTAGGCCCTAAGTCCTTCTAGGCGTGGTCCAAAAACAAAAATAGAGAAGAGAAAGTAAAATTAAGACCGCCACTGCTCCCCAAACAGTCTGAATAGATGTTCCTTCAGCTACTCTGGGCCCACCCTGATTCACACATTTCCCAGACATTCAACAAAAGTAGGTCAGTGCATGGCAGAGAGGCTGAGCGGGGCTGAGGATGGTGTGGAATCTGCCTGGCTTCTGTGACTGAAAGATCACGGAATGGTGTGGAAAGTCCACCTACCTTCTTAAAAGTGGCTCTGAAAGACTGAAAACATTTGTCAACAGAAAATTAAGTGACTGGACTATGACTGGCTATATTATGATGCAGACACACTATGAAGTATTATGCAGTCACTAAGAAGGTTTGAAAGTCCTGAGGTGGGGAGGCAGTTCAAAGGGCTGGAGTGCACAGTCACATAGCACAAAGCCCTAACTTTGATCCCCAGTACCATGTGCCCCCTCCCCACACGCCTGGTGGCCCAAGCACTGTGAGGCTGGAGAAGCACTGGATCACCAGGATTGAATTGCCTAACCCAAGTAGTAGCCAGGTTGTGTATTGCCATGAGTGGTCTCAAGGCTTCCTGAGCACTTGGGAGAATCTCCCTCCCCACCTCCAAATGTTAAATAATCCTAATAAGGATCTTTCTGAATCAGGTTTGGGGGCAGGGGAGAGCCTCAAGGAAATGATACCCAGAGTACTCAAGGCTTACTCCTGGAGGGGCTCAGGGGACCATATGTGGTGCTGAGAATTCAGATCCCGGTCAGCCATGTGCAAGATCCTACTCACTGTACTACTGTTCCAGCCCTCATGAAAACAGTATTTAATAAAACATAGATTATAAGACTTTATATATCATACCTCCTGTTTACAAGTTTACAGAGTTAAGCATATACAAGTACACAAGTACCCGCACAAAAAATGTATATTTATGTATATATTTATATATATGCATAAAGTAGCGTTCACATACATACTAGTGGTATTAAGGGACGCACATGCCCCACCTCTTCTGGTTTATCTTTGTTTCTACAACTTCAATCAGAAACACATGTATTTATGTAATTTAAGATTAAAAATGCTTTAAATCCCACGATCACCACCACCCACCACCACCCTCCCCCCAAAAACAATGCTTTAAAATAAACAGCATTCAGATCTAAAACAGAATCCTAAGTGTTTATACCACACGACAGACCCACTCAAAGGACTATGATTAAAATTCCACGTGACAGAACTCCTACTAGGAGTATGTCAGTATGGCCATAAACCAAACCACACTCAGGGCCACCCTAAGTATTAAAGAAAAGGTGCACCTCCCTACAGCAGCAAGAAAAACAGTATTAGGACAAAACACCTTTAACAGGTATGTAGTCAGCCAGTGATAAATAGCATTATCCAGGAAGAAGGGAAGACAGCAGAAACATATACACCCATGTAACAAATGACAAAATCTCTTTCTCTTATACACATACACACACACACACACACACACACACACACACACACACACACACACTCATGCATAAGCTGTCCAGACAACTGACAAATGCCAAAGTCTCATACTCTCTGTCACACCATCCAGACAACTAACAAATGCCAAAACCTTAAATGCCAAACTGTTCTGTTTTTCTCTTCACATTTAAACTGTGCTGAACCTTTCCCCTGCCATTGTAAACAGAGTACAATAAAGCTTAATTCAGGATATGACTGTAAACACACAGTTCTGGATTGTGTCCTTATGCAGTGCTGCCATGATACAAGTTCTCTAGAATCTAGTATTTATATTTTTGTTTCCAGTTTTGGGGGCACACCCAACAATGTTCAGGGTTCACGCCAGGCTCTGCACTCAGGACTAACTTAGGGCAGTGTTTGGGGTATCAGGCATTGACCATCTGAAAGGCAAGAGCTCTACCCACTATACTATCTGTCCAGCACAAACTTAATTTGGGTCACACCAGGCGATGCACAGGGGTTACTCCTGGCTCTGCACCCGGGTACTCCTGGTGGCGCTCAGGGAACCATATGGGATGCTGGGAATCAAACCTGGGTGAACCGTGTGCAAGGCAAACACCCTACCCGCTGTATTATCGTTCCAGCCCCACACACTTAATTTTTAAAACTGTGTGGGGGGGGGCGGGGGGCGGGGGGAAGCAATGGGAAAGGGGTCACAAAATTTTTAAAAATATTTATAATTATTGTAAATTCTGGTTTTATATGTCCAGGGTCATGTAAAAATTTATTGGGAAAATAGGGGTAATGAGTAGAAAAAGTTTAAGTAGCCCTGCTTGAAAACAGCCCTGCTCTTGTACTTTTATGACTCCTTTCTATAATACCCCTCACTTATCCAATCCTTCTCAAAGCCAATATTCCCCTATCCTAAATAAAAAATAAGGCTGCTTCTTTATTTTTTTTTTAATTGAATCACCCTGAGATACACAGTTAGAAAGCTGTTCATGGTCAGATTTCAGTCACAATATCCCGACACCCATCCCTCCACCAGTGCACATTTCCCACCACACCAATGGCTCCCAATTTCCCTCCCAAAATAAAGCTCCTGTGAGAGCATTTTATCCTCAGATATCATCTATATCTTTCCCATAGCTCCTAAGTATTCCTTTCCTTCCTACCAAACCTGATAAACTGTCATTTACAGCATTAGCAAACATTGTGAAGGAAGCTTCAGATTGCTACTTACTTTTGAATCTAACTTTTGTTTTACATATGCACCATTTGCTGCTGTCAAGACATCATTTATCAGAATAAAAACATATCCTTCCAGATCAAATGCCAAATCAGAGCTGCAAAACATAAGCAACGTTTTAGTGACAATGCACATTCTTAAAAGAGCATTTCATTTCATTTTAAGTAGGTCTCAATTACAACAGTTTCAAGAACACATTTTATAAGTCACAACAATGTCTTAATTTCTGCTTCTGGTTTGCAAGTTCATGGTCAGAAATGAGAAGCACTAATACTTTAACACAAACATTCATGAGCCTAGATTCAAAGTCAAACAAAAAGCAGCAACGAGTACAGACATGTGAAGTGGGCAGAGGACAGCAGCTCAATCTCAGATAAGAAAACCAAACTGATGAAGTTAAGTTTTCTCCCCACCGGTTCACACGAAAGTCAGACTATGCTGCAAAAGTGGCTGGACTGCTGGGTGGAATTTCTGGCTTAAGGGTGGTGGCTATTTCGAACTGACGTCAAGCTACAACACAGAGTAGGAACTTCAGTGCAAAAAAAGTCTGCTCAGTAAGCCTAGGAAATGTAACCAGCAGGAAAAGAAAAACTGGTCTTCTAATATTCAGCAGAGCGCCAAGAATAACATGAAAATTTAGTAAACTGGGCTGGAGTGATCATACAGTGGGTAGGGCGCTTGCCTTCCATGCGGCTGACTCGGATTCGATCCCCGGCTCCCCAGAGCCTGCCAGGAGTGGTCCCTGAGCAGAGAGCCAGGAGTGAGCCCTGAGCACAGCTGAGTATGGCTCCAAAACAAAACAAACAAAAAACTGAGTAAATCACAGAAAGAGCATCTTTGAAGAAAAAAAAAAGTATGTTGGAGGCAGACGTTAGTACCTTAGCTAAAATTGGCTTAGGACACTGAAATATACCTGTAGCTGAACTACTATAAGGGATGAACGTCAAAGACACTCTGGGCCATCGCAACTCTCGACAGAACTAGCTTACTGTGCAGCCTGCTAAGAACCCCTAGCCTTAAGACTCTGTTCTTCCCTATCTCTTTCCCACGAGAAAGGCTGAACTAGATAAGGCCAGTGCGGACAGCAATCCTCCTGAAAAACTTTGAGTAAGCCCTCATTAAATCCTGCTGTGTAGCTCAATTTTGGATCCCAGCAGCCTTAATTGAAATGCCTTAAAGACAAAAAGGCCATCTCAAAAAGAAAGGCAGGAGGATGGTACAGAATGTTTCCCAGGGATGCAATGATGTTTCACCAATATAACCAAATTTGGGCAAATAATGAGTCCATCCTCTATTTTTCCTTCAGCAAGGAATTTTATTAGAAGATGTAGGGTAGAACAGAACTGGACTTATAAATATCCCATCACCCCAACACCATCTTCATCACCACACACACCTTTCCCAGAGGTAAAGGTAAATGAGCCAATTCAAGAAGTACACTAGCACTCTCAGATGGAAAACTGTCACTCAGCATTTGTGGTACTAGCAAATCCATATATGCATGCCCTGGGCTGGTGAAATGTTGCAGAGGTTTTTAGACATCACTGAAATTGTCTTTTTTTTTTTAAGGTATACATTGTCAGTATGAGTTTTTAAGACTGAAACGTAATAAAGTACAGCCTTAATAATTGGAGAGAATACCAAGCACTTGGATATACCACTGTGAGGTGAGGTAAAGCAATCCTCTGTTATTCTGCATCAACCGACTCCTCTGAGACATCATTGTTTTTAGCAGCACACTGATTTAAAGAATACCAATCATCAACGAAAGCACCCAGCTTCAGAGCCAAGCATAGATTCAAATTCCAACTCTGCCATGTATTAGTTATGTAGTCTTGAGCAGATTATTAAGTTCAGACTTTAGTTTCCTCAACTATGATACAGAAAACTATACCTATATTCTCTCGGTTATTGGAAAGAAAAACAAATAATACGTATAAAATGCCAAATATACTGTGTGGCTCATGGCAGGTGTTCGGTAAACAGGAAGACAACATATATATCCAAATTATATAAATTTACTTAAGAATTTTGAGAGTCCGCTATTGTCAGGTTTGATCTAAATAGAGCCAAAATGATTTAGCTTTTGAAAAGTTAAGTAGATGCTTTCCAATGATATGACTTATTTAGCCTATAACTATGTAACTGATCATTTGTTATCAATAATTATAATTTCCAATTTAACTTCATAAACTTTACAACAGCCCACATCTTACCTGGCAGCTACAAAGGCTCCAATAATCATTGAAAATACAGTCATCTTAATACCCCAAGAAAAAGTCTTTCTGCAAAAAAAGTTTTTAAAATTATGTTTGTCTTTAATTATTCACTATTTAATTATTTATTATAAGACAGCTCCTCCCTCTCCCCCAATTACATATTTTCTTATAAAAAGCTACAAATATGGGCTGGAGTGATAGTACAGAGGTTAAGGCTCTTGTCCTGCACATGGTTGACCCAGGTTCAATCCCCTGTGTCCCAGATAGTCCTCCAAGCCTTGCCAGGAGTGATCCCTGAGCACAGAGCCAGGAGTAAACCCTGAGCATTGCCAGGTATAGTCCAAACACAGAAGAGAATTTTTAAAAACTTTAAAGCTATAATTAAATATTCAATGTTTCCAAGGAGTTAGAGGTTTAAGAGTCTTCGTGATAAAGCAAAATTTTCAATTTTTATACAACCATACTTAGCTTTCTTATAATTATCATTAGCTTTTATTAATTTTTACAATTCTGAATTTATCTAAAGACTATCAAACACGAGGCTAGGAGACAGAACAGCGGGCAGGGTGCTTGTCTTGCACGCAGCTAACCCAGGTTCAATAACCCTGGTATCATATATGGTCCACTGAGCACACCAAGAGTGATCCAGAAAGGAATAAGTCCTAAGAATAACTGGTATGAGCAAAAAAATAAATAAAAAGAAAAGAAAAAAAATCAAACATATTTATGGTAAAAGTAACCAAAACATGAATACTATTTAAACCTAAACCACTGGGCCAGAGAGAAAGCAAAGCAATTCAGGTGCTTCCTGCCTTAAACAGTAGCCAACCCCAGTTTGAATCTCTGGTACCAAATTTGATCCTCAGTGTACCCCAGGGCCAATCCTGAGTATAGAACAGGAGTAGCCCTTGAACATTCCCTCAACCCAAACTAACCCCTTCAAGAAAATTCAACTTTGAAAAACAGTATTTTCAGGAACATTTAGCTAGCTTTCCAATTCTAATGAAGAATCTACTAACTATTCTCCTCACAAACTATCAATTCCTAGCTAATGTAATTTAACCTTTTCGAAAGATAAAGTAGAAACTAGACATATAATTTTAGTATCTCACACACACTGGCCACCTTCCAGGGTGACTGGGTTTTGTTAAAATCTAAAATATATTGGAAATTTAGCTCACTTGAGTAAAACTCCTTCAGCAAACATTGTAAACAGGATAGAGAACCTTCTCAGGACTGTAAACATTGGCAAGCTATTAAAAAAAAAAAAGCAATAATTAGGTAAAAGATAAAAATTATTTAAAGTAAGATTCTTTGTGTTAATAACATAAAATAATGTAAATCCCTTCCTGTTATGGAATTCCCATGCTGATATAATTTGTTATGAAACGCATATTTCTCTAAAAATAGTTTTCACATGGAAGTCTCAAAGGATTTGCTTTTAGAGAACTACTAAAAATGAGAAAACACTAAGCATAAAATGTAGAGATCATACATCCATTATCAGAAACGAAAATATCCACATTTTCATTTTATCCACATATTAGGTAAACAGCTTGGACAGTGACTGTATTGTCTTACAAAGAAAAAAATATCTTTCTCCTTTCTTCCCTCCACTGACTTCTCTTCCCATTCTTTAGCCACTAACCATATATGAAACATTCTGAACCATATGTGAAACATTCCGTGACTTTCCTTTTGTGGAGGTAATTTTGCCTTCCTCTAAATTCTCAAGGCGTTTTGCCTGCTCTGGTCAAACATACGACGTCTCACAATATAGCTGTTTCTAAACAAATTTCACCCTACTCCAACAGTGCTTTCACCTTAAGTGGCAACCAAAGATGGAGCATGCACAAATGGATGGGTGACAATGAATGAAAAAAGAAGAAATTCTAAGGGCATTTGCAGCAGGCCTGTATTTCTTTCCAAAGGAGAGCTGAGATGGGACAGATGCCACCACCACCCTGCACCAGGATAAATCTGAACTCCCTGGACCCCTTCCCCGAGATAGCCCCTGGGTGACTGTCAGATCTTGGGTCTGATGAAATAACACTGTGTCTGTCTCCAGTGATCTCCCCTGGATCAAGAGTGTTAGCTCATCTGGAAGAGATGAAGCATGGGTTCCTAGTCAATGGTTTCCCTGTGTGTGTGGTTTTAACACATACACCCTGCGCGCTTTACCAGAAGCTTCGAACTGGGTGCTCGGAGGATGGCCAGGCTATGTTGTCACGGAGAAGAGAGCTCTATTCTTTCTAAGTGTGTCTGCTGCCTCCACAGCTATACTGCCAAGGATGAAGCAGCAATCACATTTGCATCAGGCTGCCACTGGATAGAATTAACTACTTCATGCGGAAAGAAAAAAAACTAAGAAGTTCTCACAGCCACCCTCTAATTCTGTGTGGAGAATGTTCCTGAAGTATAACATTTATGAACCGGCTAAGGAACTGAAATCTGAGAAGCTTCGCATCTATCCTTCACTACTATGGGTCTAGAAAAACAATGAAAATCCCTTGTCATAACACTGTTACATTTATAGACTCCCATCACCAAAGTATTTTCCCAGCAAGTGGGACAACAAGCAAAAAGTCCTCTCAAAACAGCTTAAATTAAACTTGGACATAAAATCTTAGCAGAGACTTTCTGATCCTTTCTCTTTTTTCCCAGATTTAAAAAAAAAAAAATCAACGTATTAAGTATTTGGCATTCACATACAATTTTAAGAACACATTATATAAGCCGCACTAGAAAAATAAAGTTATCCATACTTCAGTTTCTTTGTGCTGAACAGTCCTGTGATTTGGTTCCCAAAATATAGTAGAGGTAGTGGAAACGTCTAGAAAATTTAAAAAGGGATAACAAAACTCAATAACAAAGATAGCTGCAACAAGGTCCTTTCAAACAGAAACAGTTGTTAACATGATCAAATTCTTTCCACTTAAAACACAAGATTAGTTTTATACACAATGTTGGCCCCAAGAAGCATTAAGTGACAGTTTATTCCTGGATAAATACTGTGGCGAGAGAGAGGGAGGGTGGGGGGGGGGGGCGAGCAGAAACAGGCATCTGATCAAATGATATTAGAAAAAAATATTTGCTTTACACATGATAATGCCTTCAGCCCAAGGCTCTAAGGTCAGTTGCAAAAAAGAAAAGGCAATTCATCCCCCAGTGGAGTAAAGCTGAGGCAAAGAGAATCAGAAAATAAATGCAAAGAAAAATGAGTACAGAATACACTGACCAGATCAGATAAGTGGTGAAAGTGTGAAAACTCTTGTATTCCTAACAAGTGTCCATTAACTAAGCCAGAACCCAAAGACTTCTAAAATAAGTTTCTTTTTCAAAATTACTGCATTTATCATGCCGACTCTTATCGGGGTGATTTCCAGGCTGCAACATTTAAAATAAGCAGGCACTACATATATATATATATATATATTTTTTTTTTTTAAAGTGTGATGTCCTTTTAGAAAAATGATGCATTTTGTTGCTGTCTTCTGTGTGTTGTTTTACCTTTCGAGGTACATTTCTGTCAAGGTCAGGAAACGTGACCACTCTGAGCGCCTTTCCCACCCAGAGAACTGCCACAGTGGCCACCATCTGCAGGCAGAAAACACAGGTTCACTGTTCGCCTTATAAAGACACACACACAAGTTCTAACGGCATCAACCGCGCGTCGGGCCGAAGATTCCAACTAACCTGGCCAAGTCCAACACATAGTGAGGAAGGAAACCTACAAAAAAAAAAAAAGAAGAAAAAGAAGAAAGCGAGGGTGAGAGAGAGAGAAAAAGAGGATCAGAAAAAGCCAAAGGCAGTTCTGTGCATTCAAAATACAGATACACAACCTGATTTAAAAAAAAAAAAAAAAAGCTTTTCTTCTTTCTTTTGATTTATTTCTTTATTGCTTTGGGGCCACACCCGCCCAGTGCTCAGGGCTCATTCCTGGCTCCCCTACTCAGGAATCACTCCCGGTGGGCACGGGGATGCCCGGGGATGGAACGCGGGTCGCCCGCGTGCAAGGGGTGCAGCCCTTCCCGCCGTCCGATCGCTCCTGGAAAAGCGGTTTGGTCCCCGAACCCACCACCTCCTGTCCGCGTCTTCTCCAAAGGAATAAAATAAATAAATAAAAATTTGGGAAAAAAAAAAAAATCTTCGTTGCCGTTGCTGCTGCTGCTGCTGCTCTTGCAGCTGGCGGCGGCTCGGGATTCTGTAGCCTCGGGCGGCCACTTGTCCCGTCTTGTCCGCCTCGCCCGTTTCCCCTCCGTTGCCCGGCGCGGGGGGGATGTTCCCGAGCGCTCTGGCCCCTTCCCCACCCCACTGCATCCGCACCCGCACCCCGCCGCGATGGCTCTCGGCGGGGCGGGGCAGGGTCGGGAGGGAAGGAGAGGGGTGCGGGTGCTGTCAGCGATCGCCGGGACCCCCCCCCAAACCCCCGGAAAGCCGCCAAGAAGTGTGTGGGGGGGGGGGGAAGGTTGCATCCTCGCAGGCACGGGCTTCGGGGGGCTCATTAGGCGGGGCGGGTATCCCCAAATCCTCCAGCCACGGTGGACAAGGGGTGTTTGGGGGTTGGAGTGTGGGGGGGGGGCGGGTCGCGAAGCCGCCCGAGCCGCGCCACCCCCATATCCCCAGCGCAACTTTGTTGGCCGCAACTTTGCCGCCCGGGCGCGGGGCGCCCCCCCCCCCCGCCCCGGCCGCTCCCCGGGGCTGGGCGCGCGCGCGGGGCCTGCGGCGGGCGCCCGCGCTACCTGTAGTTGGTGAGCACGCTCTTGTTGACCACGACGATGAGGAAGGAGCTGACGCCGTAGAAGCCGGCGGCCAGCAGCTTGAGGAAGACCGTCAGCGTTTCGGCCGGCGCCATCGCCAGCTCCTGCTCATGACTGTGTGCGGCGGCTTTCGCGGGGGCTTCTCCTTTAACCCCGGCATGCTGACGTCTATGAACTTCCGCCATGGCTGAGGCGGCGGCGGCGGCGGCGGCGGCGGCCTGCGAGGAGCGCGCGGCGCGGGGGCTCCCGGGGGACTCGCGGCACCGGCACCCGCACCCGCACCCGCCGACAGGGCCAGCGCCGAGGTGCCCGCGCGGCCGCCCCGCGTCCCCGCCCAGGGGCAGGGGCGCCGCGGTTTCCACCCTCCGAGACTTTGCCCGGGCATTGTGCAACGCGGGGTCAGAGGGGAGCGAGGGGCTGGGCCGGGCCGGGCCGGGCCGGTCGGGGCGGGGGAGAGCGTCAGGAGGAGGAGGAGGAGGAGGAGGGGCAGCGGCGGCGGGGCGCCCGGGCTTTCGGGGTGCGACGGGTGGCGGGGTGCGGACCGCGAAGCCCGGGAAGACGGCGACGGCGGCGACGACTCGGGGGCGCGGCGGCGAAGCACCGGCGCGGAGTGATGCGGCCCCTCTCGCGCGCCTGCGCGCCGCCCGCCCGCCGCCGGGTCCCTCCGCGGCGGCTACCTGAGAGCGGGGGATAGAGCCCGGCTGCGGGGCTGCACGGCCGTATTCTCCAGACGACGGGCGCAAGCCAACTACGCGCCCTCCCGCGCTCGCTCGCTCGCTCCCCGGAGTGGCAGAGTGAGCGTTTGCACAGAGTGGGTGTCCCCGCTACTAGACTCATGTGGAGTGCTCTTTAGGGCTCTCTGGCGGAGGATCAAAGTTCTTCTGCGATGTCAGGTTTAGCTCTGGAGTAAACAGGCCGTGGAAAACTCTTCTTTCTGCTTTGCCTCCAGCTAACTTTTTCTGGAGACTGGAAACACCAAACCCCGATTTGCATGGCAGAGCCAGGGAGAGCAGGTTTATGAGAGAAAGTATTGACTTCTTCCAAAAGAGGGACCAGATAATCAAGCAGTTTGGGGACTAGTGAAAAAACAAGATGCTGGGGGGGTGGGAGGGCAAAAGATATGAGTTCCAGTTCTAACCTTCCTAGAATTGCCCCCCTCACTAGTTGTGTGCCCTTGAGCCAGTTAATTGACTTCTCTGAACCTGGGTTGTCTCATTTTCTGCATGTTTAGCTAGCACTGAACTAGCTTTCTTCAGTGTTTGGCAGCTATTATTGAATATCAAGACAAATGATCCACTTAAGCAAAGAAATGGCATTTAATCTTGTGTCAAGAACAAAAAAAAAGAGGCGCACTCCCCCCCCCCCCCGTATTTTAATATTGTAATAAAACACACAGAGAAAATTTACCCTTGTAATCTCTTTTATATAAAGCTCAAAATTGCATAATACCAGATTTATCATTTTAATTCTGAGCAAGCAACTCATTGCATTGAGTACATTCAATGGTTGTGAATTCTTTACTCCACATCAAGCAGTGCTCAGGGCTTAACTCCTGGCGGTGCTGGGGACCATTTGTGGCCAGTCAGCAGCATGCAGGGCAAGGACCTTACCCACTGTACTATCTCTCCGCCCAATTGTGCAATTCTCACCACTACCATTTCCAGAACTTTTTCATTGCAAACTGAAATTAGGTAATCACTAAGCAGTAACTTCCTCCCCATTCCCCCAGCCTCAAGAAGTCACAGTTCTACCTGTCTCTATGCATTTGACTCCTGGCAGACTTCACATAAGGGAGATCTCACATTAGTATTGATCGCATTAAAGGGAGATCTTCACGTAAGTATCGATCCTTTTGTGCTACGTGTGGCCCATGGAAATGTTTTCATCCGCATGTCCAAACTTCCTGTGTAAAGCTGGCTCCCATCCCATGGTATATATGGCTTTAGATCTGTATGTTTTGATTATTCTGGGAACAGCTGGGTTCTGATGTTCCCGAAAGAAAAACTTCCATGGCCTGCAAGGGCTCAAGTGACAAAGAAGTCCACAGGCACCTCTACAGATGTATCCTGCGTTCCCCCACCACCAAAGAGGCAGCTTTGCCTGAAAAACAGTGTGACTTCTGCTTTGTCATGACACCCATCACTTCTTCCATCTGGGGCACTTTTTCTCCCCCTCCCCTGCAGAACTGGCCCTGAAGCAGCTGTCTGAAGGACTGCCTTCTCTCTGAGCACCTTCCAGCGCCTTGCCCCGCCTTCTGTCTTCTGCACACATTGGACATCTCTCCTCCTAGCCCTGACTCCCCACTTTCCAGATCTCCTTTATAGGGATTCTGAAATTACAGCTCACCTTTCAGCCTCCTCTGGGACTTTGCGCTCCTTGAGGGTGGGGCGAAGCTGGAACATTTGGCAGAGTTCAGATTGGTTCTGTTGAATGAATCGTGTAATTTTTTAACATTGGAGAAGGGCTAGATTTCCTTGACGGCCCATCAGCCAAAGAAAATAGCCAAAAACTTAAAATCTGAGAAGCAGCCTTTGGGAAAATTGCAATTATGTCCTGCATTGTGTAATCGTAAAATAAATCAGTGAGTGAGCGACGTCGTGGGCTCTCTCTTGCCTGCCACATGCATTTGGTGACCATGAGCCGCTTCCTCACCCCACCCTGCAGCCACTGCCAACAGACACATGAAGGAGGGAACAGGTCTGCCAGGCTGGCTGTTGATCAGTTACTGTTTATTCCATTCTCCTTACAGTCCTGTTCCATTCTCACCAAGAGCCCCATTCCAGTCTCACACTGCCCCTCATTCCCATCTCCTCCTGACCCCATGCTAGTCTCTCCACACTCCATCTTGCTGCCTTAGTGTAGAGCCCAACCTCCAAGTGTTGGGGGCAGCAACTATACCTAAGTCAGGTAGCACAATCAACATATCTAAAGCCCTTCCTTGGAGGAAGCTCTTCTGAAACAAAGATGCCCAGCTAGGAGATCTGCTCAAGGGCAGAATTTCATCTAGGGGTGCTTTTCTCCTTTCTGTAGTCCAACAACCATTTAAACATCTTCATTCTACTTAATAATTTTATTCATTTTGACCTAGTTGGCCGGGTCAGCTGAGTGCAAAGCAAATGCCCTGCCCACAGTGCTGTCGATTCCTCCGCCCCTCTTGGAGACCCTGGCAAGCTACCGAGAGTATCTCGCCCACACAGCAAAGCCTGGCCAGCTCCCCATGACATATTCAATATGCCAAACACAGTAACAACAAGTCTCATAATGGAGACGTTACTGGGCCCGCTTGAGCAAATCAATGGACAATGGGAGAGACAGTGCTACAGTGTATGGACACAGTAAGAGATACATTAAACTTATAGGGTGACTCTCCTGGGTACATCTCATTATAGATCCCAGACTATAGTGCTCAGGCCGGATGAGTACTTCCTAACCCAAAGCAGGGTCCTTGTTGAGTTGTTTCTCTTTGAATCATGACAGAATTTGTCATATCTGTGCTTTTAACATATATTTAAGGATTGTGGTGTTTGGCTTGGCCCATTTTGATGCCAGAGTAGCTCATAGCTTGCCCTGGGTCCATTCAGTCCCTTTGTCAGGCCCCTGCGTTGGGATGCTAGGAACGAAGGGCACCTGAGGCTTAAGTTGGGTAAATAGATGCCCAGAAGTGAATATTATTCGAAATTAATTAACTCCAAAGTTACAAAAACGTAGCACTAACTATCTTCCTGTGTCTATACAGAAAGGACATTGCTCTGAAGTAAACTATGCAAAGGACATAAGGAAAAGAAAAGGAAAAAAGCAATGGTTAATTTACAAATACAAATCCAGAGATATCTGAGGAATTTGACTTTACAAGTCACAGGTACTGCTTAGGAGAAATAGGTAATTAACTAGTTGGGGAAGAGAACACAGAGAAGAAGTTAAAGATAAACACAGAGGAATGGGAGTGCCTCAGGAGCACTGTGATGGGTGTAACCCAATAAACCTAAACTCCCTGCAGCCAGGGAGAAAGGACAAACCAGTGTTATCCTACACTGCATAACAGAAGCAAACCGACAAAAAGAAATGAAAAGAAAAAGATGTTAGATAAAAACACGGTAAGTGTTACTGGACTCCCAAACTACACCTTTCAGAGAAAGCCTCTGTTCCCAGTTTGGAGGTTCATCTTAGATTCATTTTCTGTGTGCATGTTTATATATATATATAAACATGTTTATATATAAACACTCATACAAACATGCTTTCAACATTAGAGGGACACAATAGCCAGGTCAGAAGAGTAAGATTCCCCAAGCCAGGCACTGTTTCCCACCCGTTTTCTGACCTTGAACAGTTGTTGAAGTGCCACAACCCATGTGAGCATCCAAATATCCAAATGAGATATGCAAGTTTCATATGTGATCCCCAGCAAATGCTACAACCAGAAGATTCACGGGCACTGTGTGCTGAGTGACACACTAGAATGCTCACAAGCATCACAACTAAATGAGTGAGAGCATGTGTAGGATCCCTTGAGACCGGTACGATCCCTGGCAAACAGCACAACCCACTGTGCTCCTGAGCCAAGGTTACTGCAACAACAGAAAAACAGGGAAGGGAAGGCAGGGGGCAATGAAATGAAATCTTTTTTTTTTAAATAAAGTTTTTAATAAGTAGTACAGCTTTTAGAGAAGAATAAAATGCCAGGTACGATTTTTGCAATAAGTCTATTGCAATGATATCCAGTAAAAATAAACCCCTTCCTAAAAGCATTTATTTGAGAGTATTTGTTATTATTTTTTTCACAGAATGATCACATGTGAAATAACACGATTGTTATTTAGGAACAAATGTTAAGAACTCTCTGTAGTAGGCCAAGCACTATATTGAGTTTCCCCCACTTGATCTTAGCCAGAAAGCTGAGAACTGTTTTGAATTTTCTCAACAACAGTAATGATTTGTGGATCTTCAGTAAAATGCTATGATAGTTAATGATTATTAGTAGGTATTTGACTTCTGGCTAACTAGGTTCTTGCATTCAGACTTATTTTCTACCTCAGTAATATTTAATCATGAAATTGTATATGTGACATTTTAACGTTACTGGATAAAGTCATGTAAAGACTGAAGCATCTCTTTAAAAGTTAAACAATAGTTTCCTTGAGCACAGGGACAGACGTGAGCCTTAAAAACTGCCAGGTGTGGCACAAACCAAGTCCTCAACACTCCCCCAGAAAAAAAAAATTTAAATTTCTTGAAGTGTTTTCACTGAGACATAATCTATATGGAAATATTCACATTGTAGCTTGACACATTTTGTATTGATCTCAATGGAACCACTAGCATGAAAACCTTTGGAATTAAATCACATTTTTATAGCAAAATATTACTTGAACCAAGAAATTCCTCCATGAGGAGAACTGATTCCTTGACAAGACTCTTCTTTCCTCTACATTTCTCCTCTTCTCTGGGTTCTCTTGCCTTTTTAGACTAGAATTTAGGTAGATCTTTTTTGTGTTCAGTCACCAATTTCTTATTTCACTGCCAGCCTAGGTTAGATGCATGTTCCAGCACTGGCAACTTTCTAGCCAGGAAAGCAAAGATCATATGTGTTTCTTAACTTAAACATTGCTTTAAAAAAATTCAGAGAACAGAAGAGCAGGAAAGGACAATGGAGCTGCTCCCTAATGCCTCAGAGGACACGCCCCTGAGGGTCTGCAAGGAATGAAGGGGAGCCTGGCATTTGGTTTTACTGTTGTGATTCATTAACTCATCTCCTTCTTAGTACCTCAACAGCCAGGACTGGTGAAAGAATTGTACACAGGAAAATATGGGCAGGGAGAGAGAGAGAGAGAGAGAGAGAGAGAGAGAGAGAGAGAGAGAGAGAATGTGTGTGGAATGTGTGTGAGAGAAAGAGAGAGAGGGTGGGAAGGAGAGAGGGAGGAAGGGAGGGAGGGAGTCATAGTGTGTCCCATCCCAGTCTTAAGTGACTATCGATGAACTTGACCCATCTTTTCAGCATTTGGTCTGTGCTTCTCCACTAGGCAACCCTGCCTCATTCAGAATGGGTGGGCTTGTTTTTACAAGGAGAGCTGGCAGTGCCATTATCTTCTCCAATCACCAGGTTTGGTGTTTATCAATCCTATGAAGAAGAAAAACCAATATCAAGGAATTGGATTCTAGGTGAACTGTGACCCATTCACAGATAAGCAGTTCAGACATCAACCTGTCACTTCAAACTCGGTATGTCTGCAACTGAACTTCCCTCATATTCCCTCCTAGTACAGTGCCTTGAACCCCTTGTCTCAGTGAAGCCTGATACCCACCTATCCACCATGTCTCTGCCCACCTATCCATCATGTCTCTGCCCACCCCCACTCACTCTTTATCCCACTCCAAACTTTTGCTTCTTTCACCACATTGCAGCTGCTCCTTCTCAGACACTAGTGGACTCCATGGAAGCAGTCTCCCTGCCCCTACACACACACACACACACAATAGCATTTGCATTACCCACCTTTTTCTCTTCTTCCCGTGACCTCTGGCTACCAATGCTCCTGGCTCTCTGGATGCCACATCTTACAATGCTTTGTAGGTTCCTCATCTTCTACCAGATCATTCAAGTTTCACATTTATCAGAGCTTGGGACTTCTCTTTTCATTTCATATATGTTCAAGGAATCATCTCATCCATAGGCTCCATTTATAATTTATCATTTTGTCAAGTTTCCCCAAATCTACATCACAAGTGTTGCTTGAACTTCAGACCAGTACAGACATTTTCTGAACATCCTCATTGGGATAACTCTCTGAGATTCCCCAGCATGTCTAAAATATCATCATTATCTCTTTTTTTTTTCTTTTGGTTTTTGGGTTACACCTGGTGATGCTCAGGGGTTACTCCTGGCTCGTGCACTCAGAAATTACTCCTGGTGGTGCTTGGGGGACCATATGGGATGCTGGGAATCGAACCCGGGTTGGCCGCGTGCAAGGCAAATACCCTACCTGCTGTGCTATCGCTCCAGCTCCCTGATTGTGATCTCTAGGCACCACCCAAATTGCTTCCCCAGGTGTCTCTGATCATACGAAATGATACATTCCGGCCAGCAGAGATCCTAGACTATTATTTAGTTATCCAAAAAATTTCTTATATACTACGTCCTGCTATATTATGACTGGAAGAAGGATTGTGAATAGAACTCAAAAGCAAGAACAATGCACTTACTACTGGTCTCCTGTAGGAAGAGATGCTGCTTCTACTTGGTCTGGATAAGCTAAGAGAAATAAAGCCATTTGCTATTTAAACAGCTGAAGACTAAATTTCAGGAACTGTAGTATTAACTGCTCCAGTGAAAATATTTAATCTGTGGTTCAGAGAGTCTAGGAAGTTAGAATAACCTCTGCACATAGAACCAGGAGTAAACCCTAAGCACAGCTGGGCATAGCCC